TTTTGAAAAAGAAGTAGTTCAGTAACGAAATCTAACAAAGAAAAATCTTAGAGTGACAAATTTGCCAGGTTTCTATTGTTTAGTAATTGTTTTTGGAAAAATTCTTTTTTAAAGTGACTATAATTGACAGTATTTAATTGTTTAGTGATTATTCGTACTTGATATTTCAAAATGTAGTTCAAAATATTTTTTTTTCAAAACCAACATTCAAACAACTTTTTGGTCAAAATACCATCCAAACAACATTTTCATTTCCCATTTAGTTTTCAACTTGAAACACTTTCCACTTTTTTAAGTGGCAAAATGAAATGTAAGATGACGTCCAAACAGCACATAATCATCTTCGTGAAGGAAAAAAAATTGTTCTTGTTTCATTTTGTATCTGTTTGTGAAAAATTACAACCCATTTTCTCCAAATATACGACGCCGAAGAATGTGTTTGTAGTTGTGCAGTTTATATAATTACCCCTTCAAATTCAATTAGATTCCGGTTAATATCCTTTTATATAGCTGTACTTCTATTTTTCCCTCCTTTATGCAATTACCAGGAATATGATGGCATTTACTCACTTTGAAATACTTAAATTAGAGATGAAATCTAATGGTGAATAAAAAGAAAGTGGTGAATTTATTTGTGTAGGATTAATGAAACAAGTGTTTTTTTTTAAGTTTTCAAAATGTGGGAAAAGAGTGCAATGAAAATTTAAATAGTTAACTGCAGAAGAACAGATTAATCATCACTTCATTGCCAGGCGTACAATAATCTCAATTTACCTAATGTGTGGCAATTTATTTCATCCATCCTATTTTTTAATGGTATTAAACTAAGATATATGTTTATTTTCACTTCTAGTTCAAATTGTAATAAAAGTGAAATCTCAAACTGTACAATAATTTTAGAAAAGAAAGAATACTTTTCTTGTACGAGAATATATAAATGATCAGGATGGAAGGGAGTTATTAGAAGTACATAAACTATTATGCACAGCTGCCGGAAGAGAAGTTTTAGTGAAGTCTTGGATGGAAGGGCATTAGGAGTACATCCATCAGTCATTATAAGATTTGGTTTCTAATCAGCTATTCAATTTCACAATTAACTTTTGTGAAGAATATTCAAAATAGTACTCCCTCCGTCCCATAATTATTGTCTAGTTTGAGTTTTTATTTATAGTTCAAATTGTACTAAAAGTGAAATTTCAAACTGCACAATAATTTTGGGATGGATGAAATACTACATTAGTAGTATTTATTAGTAACACAGACAAGTCTTGTCTGAATTGCAGCATAGGGGGCTACGGACAACAAGGTATAGTTTCATCTCAACCCATATCACATTTTCTATTTTATCTCGAATTCGGAAATTTTATTTTCCCTATATGAATTAAATGGGACGAAAACATAAAACGGGTGTATACTATAAATATGAACCCACTAATTGCTGTGGACAAAAAAAGGGTTAAACAAGATTATGAAATAGTTGTGTTCCCCTGGATTCAAGTGAAGTGAAAGATTTTGAAATAACTTTTTTTTGGGGGTAAAATTTCAGTAATTATGAAATAATTCACTCAATTAAGTTGTCTGCAATTTTGGCCAAACAATTATGTAAAAACTATTCATAAAATTATTGATGACTAGAAGATGCTTTTTCAACACTCGATCCTATCATCATAGCGTTGTAAATTTATTTATTCGTATCAAGATCTCAAGAGGGGCATTCAAATGGGTTATTGTTTCGTAAAATGTTTTCGTATATCTAGTTCCTTCATGTTCATTCATAGTCCCGAATGCCCAATGAACACACATGTACATGTATTTTTGGGATCTTTTCAACTCAAGGACTTTTTGGGCGTGTTTTTCTCTCAAAATATAATTATTTTATTTATTATATATCTTCTATTTCAAAAATAATTCTTCGGTTTTTTATATTATTTTTAATATAATAAAAAGAATCATTATTTTAAAATCAAAAGAACACTTAGAGAGGGAATACTTTGCATTTTACTATCAGGTCGAATTAGATTAAAGTATACATGGAAAAATATGAGATATTGTATAAGGTGCAATCTTCGTGCCAGTACTCGGTCATCAATTGAAATTTTTCGGGCTTCTAACGTTGTTCACAAAAGATATGTTCAAATATCCAGCATTCTTCAAGAAGCACAGATACTAATCCCTCGTCTTAATGTTGTGTTTTCTTTTTTGTTCTTGGGGAAAAAATAAAATCAAAGGGATAACGGGTTAGTTGTTTTTAGAATAGAATAATAATACAATACATTGATACTGGCTCAATCCAACGATTATTATGTCTATTAAAGTGTCACATTGAAGAATAAAAACGACATTCAAACTTGTTTGTGAAACTTGTTGACCAGATGGATAATCCTCCGTTGCTTTTGAAACCCATTTTTTCTTGGTCTATTTTATTTTTAACATTAAAAAATAATTGTCATATTCTATTTTCATTGATTCAATATAAATTTTTTAACAAGTGATGGTTTAAGTTATACAATTAGAAATCGTGTCTAGGTGTAATTATCTGAAAGTATCGGAAAATGACAAATTTACATTTAGCTAGTACATTCAGATTCACTGTTGTTAGCTGAATTCAAGAATTCATGCACTATTGTATTATTACAACGACATCAAAAAAAAAAAACCTTAAGAAATAGGCCGAGTTGAGCAAATCTGATAATTACTCTCTGCACTAGCTAGTTAGGGACAAAGTACAACAAAATGTGGTTAGCTCAAATACGTTAAATCTCGAACTCTAACACTTTATTGCAAAAATAGGAATTTACAAAACGTCATTAGGCCAATTTGTAGGTAAGTTTGGCAACATGCCACCAAAATGCCTATTGGTCAACACCTCTAACCGCCAATTACCGGACAACGAAAACCAAAGTCCCAATTAACTTAGTATTCCTATATCTTTGCAAAAAGATAATCTTCTCTTACGTTGTAGATTTGTAATGTATAAACATTACACATAAAATTGTACTTTGTACTATTTAATTTTATCGTGTAGCACCAAATTGTTACAAAATTTGAGTACAACTCGAATCACGTCAAATGATAAAACCTCATTATCATTAATTATAACTAAAAAAAACCTCATTATGTTTTTATGTGTTCCGGCACGTCTTATGGTGATCTTGATTATGTAGAATTCATCAAACGTAAATAATCAGATGGTACTAGAGTAGAGTCTAGTATCGCAAATTTCTCAATCCAGTCGGGTTTGACAATCAAATAATTGTTGATCATACCAAAAAACAATAATAAATTATGGCTATGACGAGATTCTAGCTCCGGTCATCTTTCCAGTTTTTGTTGCAAATTCAATGTAACTAGTTGTGAGCACGTTCGTTGCCCGGATTGTGGAAATATTTTGGTATAATTAGTGCAGGAAAAAAACTTGATAAAAAGTGAATTATAAAAACACGGCACATATATCTTTAAAATTTTAGAAAAAAAAAGATTTCAAACAGTAAGTAAATACGGAAATATATAATGGCCAGACATTTTTTCTTTATTATGATTAAATGTGGTAACACATATGTAATATGTTAGAACATATAAAAGGGCACGACATCTTTATTATGATGTATGGTCTCGCTTATACATCGTTTAGCAACATAGTTATCTCATCAATCTGCAGCACAAAGTTATTGTTGAAAAAAAAAAGGATAAACTACTTGAAGTGACTAATTCACCTTTCAAACGGGACGGAGATTGACTTTGCTTATGCATCAGACTGCTGTCACGGCCTCTAATTTGGGTCATTTATAATACATAAGATAACTATGGTCGTAGGGTTTAACATGTTATAGAATATTTTTGGTAAATATTTTATATGAGTAATTATATGATTTTGTGGATAGGTTAAAACTTTAGGCTTTAGTGATAGAATTTGGAGCAATTAATTAATATATTTGGGGAGTTTGTGAATATGGACAGAATATTATTCTGATTAATTTACCCATAATTTTTAAAATAAATTTTATTTATTAATTTTCGGATGTGGGAGGGAATTAGGGAGATCAATTTAAATCTCATTATTTTTTAATTTTAAAATCATATCATGATGTGCTATAAATGTGGATATCATATTTGAAAATGATATCTATTGTGCTTTTTTGAAAATTCTGAAAGCGTTTAGAAACGTTTCAAAATCACGGTTGATGTGCCATACGTCCGGACCATGTTCAATGTTAACTAATTATTACGTTTTTGATTTATCTTGATTAATGAAATATATATGAGTAAATAAGTTGAATTAAATTGTTACTAATTTTTTTACTATATCTAATTAGGCTTGATTTTTATGATTGTTTGATTGGACATCTCATTATGTGACACATGCCCGAAAAGCTTATTCTCTTAATATATAGGATTGTTGAGCATGTCACTAGGTTAATTACAAGTATTTTAAGAATATGTTATAGCAACTCGAGCTACTTTTATGTTAGTGTATTTGTGAGACCGCAGACCTGATGTAAAGAAGTGTCACAACTTTATTTATTAATATGGATTTTAGCCTACTTTATTAATACTTCATTCGTCCCGAAATTATTGTCCAGTTTGGATTTTCATTTTTAGCAAAAATTGAACTAAAACTAAAAATCTAAACTAAACAATAATTTTGGGACTGAGAGAGTACATCAATGTAAAAAAGCGGAAGTTTCTTTTCAGTATATATAACCGTATTCTAAATTTTATTCGAAATTAATATATTTTTATTAATTGACAGTTGTAAGTTTTTTTCATTCAATTTTCATAATAGAGTGCATATATGTTAGATGTAACACTAACTAGATAAGTTGCTTCCCACCAGAGATTGTAAGGAAACTCATTCATATTTCAGTGGGGTTTATTAAGATGGTTTTTTTTTTTTTGCGGATACCATTCAAAAGTTTAATTTTTAATGATTGATTTTTAAGGGACTTATTAAGTTAGAATTAATAGCGATGAGTAGTGATTTCGGACACCAGTTTGAAAAACATTTATATTTGTGTATATATAATTTTTTTTTAAGGAGAAAATATACAACTTGTTGGGATTGCTGGGTGTGAGCCTCTCCCTGAGGCTTAGCAGAATCACCGCCTTTTGCTTTGAATAGAAAAACGGTGGCTGCTTTCTCTCCACACCAACCCACCTCACAAAAAAGTATAAGAAACAAAACAAAAAAGCTCATTCCCTTTTGCTAAATATACCAAATTCGAATAACCATTTCAACAAACAGATTCAGGGCGTCCTTTCTTTTGGTCCCTCTCGCACACTTTTCTGGTACGTTTTGCTCTTCCTTCAAATCTTATACTAGATCTGTGTTTTCTTTTTTTACTTCTTCCTGTGAATATATTACTCGAACATGCATGGTTAAGATCCGAGTCCTCTTTTCAAGGTTTTTGATTGTTCCTTTGTTTGCAACCAGTTCCACGTAAGTACGTTTATGTGTTTGTTTTCGTTCTCGTTTCCTGGTGTTGAATCTTCTGCGTTCACTTTTCTGATGTTGCTGCTTCTCGAAGTTATTTGGGATATCTGCTTCTTTATGAGGTGAGTGTCCTACGATGGCATTGTAATGTGGAGATGTTCTCATTTTTACTTCTACCTGAATGCTAGGAAACAGAGTACTGGATATATGCCTATTTCATTCTCTAATGTGATGACGGGAATAAGGCTTACAATCGAACTTCAAGTAAAGTTTAGTTTGATAAACTACGGAAATTCATACATTTGGGAAGGGATGGTTGGGACTTTGGAATATATGGATTATTAGTCATTGAGTATGAGTTGATGGGCAGGGCAAGTCATTTTTGTATTTGTGGTTGAAGATATCAGCTAATGTGTGGAGGTGAGGTGGTTGTGGATTTTGTAAAATAGGAGCCCAGCTAGAAAATTTGTTGTTACTCTTCCCCTCCAGTGTTAGCTCGAAAAGATTTAGTCATCGAAGAATCCCTGATTTGCTCATAACTCGGAATAGCTAGTCAGTTTGAATTCATTACAAAGAAGAATCGCCAGAGGAATGTTAATTATTCCTTATTTTAAAAAAAAATACGGAGAGACCAAGCAGAGATTTTAAGGATTTAGATGACCTTATTCTCTTACTAACTTGCTTCATTATATCAAAAGTTCCAATAACCTTGAGCCATGGTGTACAGCTATTACCTTCTTTTGAAGAGTAGTGCTTATTGTTCCCCTTGCATGGTGCAGAATATTCACTAACGATATAAGATTTCTTTTTCCAGTATTTTTATAATACTTGGAAAGAAACTATTAAAAGAGCACTTAATTTATTCAAATCTGAATGAAATGTATGCATTTAGAGGGTACGGTTGCGGCGTATGATCCATTCCGTTGATCCCACATAGCGGGATTAGCGATTAGCTCATGTTGTTCTTTTGGCTGCAGTGCTTAGTTCTGGCATTCTCTCGTCTGCATCTTGAGGGTACTTGATAGCTTATCATCCATCTGAATTGTGTACCACTTACCTCACGTCATTTTTGGGGGAAAAGGCCTGTTGTTTTTGGTTGTTTTTTCATTTCTTTCGAGGGAAGTAAAAATAAGCTTCCTCTGTTTATAAGTTATTTATTGCAATGGTATCTTGTTTGAGACCTTGGTCTATGGTCTAACTGCCAAAATTTACTCTTACAGAGAAGGTACAACGGGATTTCGTTTACCGGAGTTTTGGATCCGTTAAAGATAAAGCAGAATGAATGTTTCAATGTGTTCAACTTCATCTGATAAGGCATTTTCTTCCTATGAGTGTTTTCGAGGAAGGAATCTATGTTTGTCACCTTCAAAATCATTCTGTAAAGATACCATCCGAGTGCATAATCGATGTACGAGAAAAGTGATTGTTTCCAGCCATTTGGTACCGTACCATCTGGAAGGTTCTATTCCAGCAAAGGCGCAGCTTAATGGGACTAATGGAAAGTTACAACATGTACGAACCTTGTTAATCGACAACTATGACAGTTACACCTATAATATATTTCAGGAACTGACCATTGTGAATGGCTGTAAGCTTTTCATTCTTTTCTGCATTTTTTTTAATTCACCTACGTTGAACAGTCATGCTTGTAAATATAAACGAAGTCTTGAACACGTATTAGTTGGCCTCTGCTTCAACAGTTCCTCCAGTGGTGATCCGTAATGATGAGTGGACATGGAGAGATTTTTATCATTACATATATCAAGAAAAGGCCTTTGACAACATTGTCATATCACCTGGCCCTGGCTCACCTACATGCTCTGCGGACATAGGTCGGATTTGAACTCTCTTATCCACCCCACATCATATTTTTGTCTCAAGAATACTCCATCATCAATTCATGATCATGAACATGGGCATATCACAGCATATTGTAGTTTAGAGAAAGGGGAATTGTTTTTTCACATGGCTAGGCATTCTTGGTAACTTTTATAGATTCTGGGTCTAGTCCTACTTGTATATCAGAAATCCAACTGTTTATTTCTGTTTGTTCTAAAGTATGTCGCAATACATAATTCTGTTTATTGTATTTCTAGTACAGTAATAATCCTGTGGCTGCTTGAACTACTTGTAACCTTTTCATGAAATGTATTGAATTCGTCGTAGGAGGTTGCTAAGAGCTTGCTTTTTCTTTTCTTTTTCTTATCTTTCTTTTAATGACCAGGAATATGCCTAAGACTGCTGCTAGAGTGTGGAGACATTCCAATTTTAGGTGTGTGCCTTGGTCATCAGGTATCTCATGCATATTTTGCCGATAAAGGTTTTCTTCTTGTTTTTTTATTTTTTGTAAGGATTATAAAAGTTTAGAACAGGGGATTGTTAAACTCAAATACGAAGTCATACTCCCTGCAATTCTAGCTTCTTTCTCGTACATCTCTAAGCATTGAGCAATGGTGTAAGTTCAGACATAATTCAGTGTCATCTTAAACTGTCAGGGCTATATTGGAGTATAACGTTCTGAAACAGTACAGCTAAGAGTTATCAAATAGTCAGCAACTCAGCATTTTTTTTGCTTTGGGAAAATGTTGATATTGACATACGTGATTTACCTCGTTGTTTGATTTTCCAGAATATAAAAATAAAACTGAAAGATAGAGGAATATCTCACCTAGGAAGTGCTTGATATAAGTTGTACAGGATTATCAGATTATGCATCTTAACTAGTTATCACAGGGGATTTTAAAGTGATTACTTCTGCATGTTGGAAATAGGATTCGCTTCAAGATCTAAACTTTTCTTCTTTTATTTTTTATTTTTTCTGTATTCTAATTTATGTTGGTCATGTTGACTGATGGAAATACTCGTATTACATGTTCTTCAGCAATCTGATGATAAAATTTTGCTTGCAAAAGTTGTATGCACTTCCCTCTATATTCACTTGCCAAAAGTAGTTTAAAAAAAGAAAAGAAAAGAAAAAGAAACGTCATAATTTAAGTTATATTCAGATGTATGATTAGTCGTATTTTTAACAGGCTTTAGGATATGCCCATGGAGCTAAAGTTGTTTGTGCACCTGAGCCTGTTCATGGGCGATTAAGGTATGCTTGCTCACTCTTGAAATTCAATCACCACCGACGCCCCGTCCCGCGAGTTAAGCATTTCCATGTTTTGTAAAATAATTTTCATGATATACAATGGCTGTTTACTGATCTAGATGCATTGCAGCTTTATCTAGTGTCCTTGTTGTGTATCAAAGTATGCTGTTTTTTTATCATGATAATTAGAGGATCTGCTGTTTACGCCAGATCTTTTACTATTCCTTTTCTCCCTAATCTATTTGCAGTGATATTGAGCACGACTCCTGTAGGTTATTCGATGAAATACCTTCAGGAAGAAATTCAGGATTCAAGGTTAGCCGGTTGCTATTTGCCTTTTTGTTCTGACCAACATTGGTAGTCTGCTTATGTCTGCTTTCTGTTAGTTATGCCTTTTTTTTTGTTTATTTTGGTGGATTGGTTTATATCAAATTATCATGAGGAAAAAATTTGGACCAGGATATTCATTTGAATGTGCTATTGCTTACAGTTGCATCAGCATTTGCGACATTTGTGTTCGGATAGTTATCCTTTAGTTTATTGTGACACAGTGCATGCCTACACGGTATTCTATATCTTCCGATTGTGGCAAATAAGTGCATAGCGTTGCTATTTCAAATTTCCGGCCCATATTCTGTTCCCTTTATATTGCTCTGCAAATTGAAAAATTAACTTCTGGAAGGGGAAGTTAAAGAGAGTTCTTTAGCAGTCTGTGTTATGTATTTTGCATTACTCTTTCTGGAGAGTTTTTCATGCTCCATGTGATGGGCCAGGATTGATTTTTTTTGTTTGCGTGAATTCATTTGATACAAGGTCTGTTTGGGTTTTTACCATTCTTGGTGTGATAATTCTCCTTATAGATGGCATAATTTAGTTAGGTTGATTTGCACTCTTATTGTAACTTTTTTTTGGTGTGTGCTTTTGTATCAGGAATGTGAAAGGGTGTATTGGGCGGGAATGTATAAAGTAGATATAAAAAAATCGGAAAAGTTGGAAAACAAAACCTTATTTTGTGTTTGGTGTTACTTCTACTCGTCAAAAAAGCTCCTGAACTATTTTGATGTACATATTCATTGTGGTTAACTTTTGATACATTGAGTAATGGACTACGACAACCATACTTTTCAGTGCTTGCTTGTTATGGATAACCAGCATATAATTCTTCTAAGCTGCAAGTTCTCTTCTTTCCACAGGTGGTTAGGTACCACTCACTTGTTATTGATCCAGAATCCCTCCCCAGGGAACTAATACCAATAGCATGGACCTCCTCGGCAGATGCTGTTCCTTTTCTTGTCAATCAAGGTTCTAGTTCCATTAATGGTCATGATGGACATGCTAGCCAACAAGTGTTCGTTGACTGCTTACCTTCTAGTTTAACCACAAGGAAATCAGGACCTAACTGTCAAACTGAAAAACTAATTGGAGAAAAAGTCCTTATGGGCATCATGCACTCAAGCAGGCCTCACTATGGTTTGCAGGTGAGTTTTGCTCATTGCTTTCGCTTGAAACTTCCCCAGTAGTCCTTAGCTGTAATGAAATGTTTGTTTGACATCCAGTTTCATCCTGAGAGTGTTGCAACTGGTCACGGGAGGCAAATTTTCAGAAACTTTGCTGACATCACAAAGGATTATTGGTTCAGATCAAGGTCAACTCCCAGTCGCGAGAGAATTTATGCTGGTAGAGTTCTTTAAAATAAGAAAAAGAACTGGATGATATTTTACAGTGTTTCAACTTTTGTTTTCAGAAGAGCTATGATCTTTAATGAATAATCTAAGAGTGAACAATGTTGTGATTGATTGCTTGCCGAGGACTTCCTTAAGCAAGAAGTTCAACTTAATTTGTCATCCAATGTGCATAAGTAAGAAAGAGAAGTGTCAAATGTGTGATATGAGAAAGAAAATACTTTACAGTAAGTTCAACAATTTCACTGTCATAATTTATGAGTTCTTATTAACACTTCAGTTTGTTTTACGGTTTTTATCTTTCATTTCCTAGGTCTCTACAGACTGTTCCAAATTGATGACCATGAAATTCATAATTTTGATGAGCTTCAGATACTCAGTAGTGATAAAATTAGACTTGTGTTAAAGTTGATTTCTGGAAATAAACTATGCAACTGAGTTGGTTTTTTGTTGTGCGTGTGTTCTTTGTAACTCTTTCATCATGATGGCGAAATTGTCTTTTTCCGTTGCAAATCTCTATTGGTCTAAAAGATATTTCTGTTGGCCTAATCACAGTATGGGGTCAATCCTATCACCTTCCTCTTTGAAGGAGTTGAAGTCAGGGTGTTGTCAGGAAGTTCTAAATTACCAGTGAGGACATGGAAGTTTCAAATAGGAATAGTTGCAGGATCTTAAAATTTTAAGTTTGTCAAGCATATAATCAATTAGATTGGTTTACGGCCATTAGCATGTGTTTGCTTCTCCAATTGTTGTCTCATCATACTGCATGTAGCTTGGTAAAGTGAGAGTTTTCAAGAATTCGATGTTTCTACTTTATTTTGTTGGTTCTGTATGTCATAGCCTGATGTCAGTCTGAGCAGTAAACTTTACTTAGCACGCATGCAGATGCCAGATGTTAACCAGCTTTTCCAAGGTGTTTTCGGAGGTCATTTGGCTAGTAGAATGGATGATGCTAAACATCTGAACTTGAATGATGTGGCAAAGCTGACCAATTCAAGCTGTAATGTAAAATTTCTCGAGTTGAGATGGAAAAGACTAGCATCCCTGGCAAGCCGAGCCGGTGGATCAAGAAATATATTCTGCAAGTTGTTTGGTGATTATAAAGCTGAGAATACTTTCTGGCTGGATAGCTCATCAGTTGAAAAGGTCTGCATTTTTCATGTTCTTAGAGTTTGAAGTATTAAAGATGTCTGTATTGGCTTGCTTTGGCTTGTTTGATTTGTGATTCCTTTCTTCTACTCAGGAAAGGGCTCGGTTTTCATTTATGGGGGGAATAGGTGGCACCTTGTGGAGAAAACTCGTGTTTACATTGTCAAATGATAGGTTTGTACGCAAGCAATCTTCTCTATTATGTATACTCAAAAAAAAACATTTTTTTTTTTTTTGGTTGGGAAGTATTTTTAAAGTAATAAAAAGTTGTAGTTTCACATACTCAGTGAAACGGCGTTGAATGGGAGAGGCTGTCTAATAATCGAAGATGCAGATGGGTCTTCCCAAAGCATGCATTTAGAGGATGGCTTCTTTCAATTTTTAAACAAGGTACTGTAGCTAGTTTTTCTTTTGCATCTCTCTGTGCACCTTACTCGAGAGTCAAGAGGTACTTGATGGCAGTCTGATATGCGTGGACTATGTATCACAAAAATATCTGAAAGCATAGAGAGACTGCCGGAGTATGTATATTTTTGTAACTTAATCGAAGTGATGATTGTAGCTGTTACAGAATGATAAAGTTTCTCTATTATTTATCAGGAGCTGCAGTCATTTTGCTATGATAAAAAGGATTTTGAAGGATTACCATTTGACTTTTACGGTGGTTACATCGGCTATCTTGGGTATGTATCACTAAATTACACCCCTTTCTGATTAGATTCTCGGCTCAAATGGATAAACATTTCATCATGATTTTCACATCAAGATTTCATATTGCAGGTATGATCTCAAAGTCGAATGTGGTGTGGCCTTGAATCGTCACAAATCAGAGGTCCCAGATGCTTGTTTTTACTTTTCAGATAACTTTATTGTGATAGATCATCAAAAGGATGATATCTACATAATGTCTGTTCATGATAAAAGCACAAGGGGGAGTACATGGTTGGATGATGTTGAGAAAAAGTTGCTTAGAATCGCAAGTCATGCAAAAAAGAACATGGAGTCTCGGACATCTCAAAGTTCCGCAAAACATCCACTAAATCTGGGCTTCTCTGCTCAAAAGTCTAAAGAGCAATATATCGAGGATGTATACAAATGTCAGAAATTTATTAAAGATGGAGAAAGCTATGAGTTATGTCTTACCTCTCAATTAAAGAAAAAGATTGGGGAAATGGATCCTTTTGGACTTTACCTAAATCTTAGAGAAAACAATCCAGCACCGTATGCTGCTTGGCTGAATTTTTCAAAGCAAAACTTGTCCATTTGCTGTTCTTCTCCAGAGAGGTTCCTCCGTTTAGATAGAGATGGTATTTTGGAAGCAAAACCCATAAAGGGCACAATTGCTCGTGGTTGTACAAAAAGTGAAGACAAATTACTTAAACTGCAATTGCAATACAGGTAGTATATCTCTACTATTTCATTTGTTACTTAAGGGTCGTAGTGTTCTGTATTTCCTTTTCTTCTGTTTCCTTTGCACGAGGGACAAGACCAGGATTTTCAGTCTCACTCTCTATGTGAATTTGTTCTTATTCTCGTGGTAGTTAGGGACTAGACCAGGATTTTCAGTTTCACTTTCTATGTGAATTTGTTCTTATTCTGGAAATTTCTCGTCTTATTCTCTGCTTCTTATGCGACTAATAATTTCTCACTGCCCCTTTTCTGTAACAGCGAAAAGGATCAGGCTGAGAATTTGATGATTGTTGACCTTTTGAGGAATGATCTTGGAAGGGTTTGTGAACCTGGTTCTGTTTATGTACCCCATCTTATGGAAGTTGAGTCGTATGCCACAGTTCATACTATGGTGAGCACAATTAGAGGGAAGAAGCGAGCGAATGTATCAGCCATTGATTGCGTCAGAGCCGCCTTCCCTGGTGGATCGATGACAGGTGCTCCAAAGCTGAGATCCATGGAAATTCTTGATTCCTTGGAAAATTGCTCCAGAGGTATCTACTCTGGCTGCATCGGTTTCTTTTCATACAACCAAACCTTCGACCTAAACATTGTCATAAGAACTGTTGTCATACATGAGGACGAAGCTTCTATAGGAGCTGGAGGAGCCATCACATTTCTTTCCAATCCTGAAGAAGAGTACAAAGAAATGATTTTGAAAACAAGAGCCCCAGCTAATGCAGTTTATGTCACTGAAAGCAGCAATGCCCTACCAGTTCAATAGAAGAACATTGGTTCAGGTGCATACATGACATGGCTAAAGACGACTTCCTGCAAAATCTATTGGAAGTGGTCATGGTGGATTTTTTGGCATTGTTGCGACTTCAAAACTCATTACGGTAACACTTTGATTGGAATATAGTAGCTTTTTTTCCCCTTAGTGATGGAAATTTGGTTCACCGATGTGCGCATTGAATGGAACTACAAAAATAGTTGGTATACGGGTTGAGATTCTACTGATATCGGATTTCTGGTGTAATTTTTCAAAAGATGATTGATTATTTCTTGCTTGCATCCAGACGGCAAACTTGTGATGGCTCACGCTTATATCTTGTGTCTTCATGTTCGAATTCTCTGACTAGGAGAATAGACAATAGAACTGAACTGAAATCATACCGTTCAGATTCCATTGATTTTGGTTGTATTCTTCTGTCTCAGAGTAACCATAGTAGTCTTTCCACCATTGCGATTAATTTGGTTCAAAAGCAATCTCCAAAACGTGCATGTGGCTTAGCAATAAACGCGAATCGCTTGTAAAAGTGTGGGAAGGGACTTTATACATCCTTTTCAATATACTCATTTCTGATCCTGGAAAAGGGGTTAGGGTGGGTTGGTAGTGACTGAGTTGAGTGGATGGTGTTGCATCACGTATCCATGAACAAAATAAATGTAATTTGTGCACATATAGCCCGAATCAAAAAGTAACACAACCGATTTGAAGCCAAATTTGAGCTGATTAAAAAGAAAATAAAAATAATTAAGCTCGAATTAAGAAATATAAATTTGATGGTCTGTCATGTATACCGCAAATAATTTTTAGTGGGAATTATAGTTCTGTCGACTAAACGGATCAAATTATAAATTTGATGGTTTATTCGGTCTACTAGTTATTATTATTAAAGGAATTATAGTCTTATTGACTGAATGGATCAAAATATATGAATTGGATATAATGTTTATAATTAAATCCGGGTCTAAAAAAAGAAATTAAAATAAAAATTTGGGGTAAGAGTAGGTGGCTGTTTGGACCGTTGACCCCACAATTTCTTCCCCTTACCCGAAATTGCTATTCATCATTTCCAGTTCCCTCCCTCCTACCAACTTCCCCGCACCAAACCAAATTTTCTTCATTGGCTGGCTGAAGTCCATAGCAGCCACCAAACTCCATTTTTGATTATTTATTCATTTCCTAACATTTGGCCAAAGAGAAAGGCACGGCAGTCTGTTTGTCGAACGACGTCGGAGAAATAATGGCGGCGACGTCGGCGGCTTCCTCACTCTCTACCAAACAATTTCTCGGAGCCTCCTCCGCTACTTCCGATCTCGGATCCTTTCATTCCACTTCCTCAGCTTCATCTTCTAGGCTTCTTTCTCTGCGGTTGCCTGAGCGCCGTCATCCTCCCCATCCTAAACGCCTTGGTTTGCCCCTTTCCGTTTTGTAAATTTTGCTCTTTATTATTTGATTATTGCGGCTCTTTGATTTGTTTTTTCCCCTCTTTGTTTTGGTGCATTGTAATTTCTATTCGAAGTAGAAGAGTCGAACGTTGAATGTTTTTTTAACATACGTTAATGAATTTGTGCTTTTTATCTCATGAACATTTTCTCTGTTCTGTGTTTTAGTTCAAAGTAGGTTGTCTGAGCTTAGGTACATTGCTTGTCAAAAGATTAGATTTTAAAAAGAAAGGCATCAAATAGTGATTGCGATCTTTTGCCTGGAGGATGTTGAATGCTATATTATCTTTTCAGTTCTTGCTGCGGAGTTAGTTTATCACTTTATCTCGAAATGCATTGAAAACATTGCTCTGTTGGATGAGAGGAATTAGTCCATTGTTGTCACTGTCAGTCATATTGGCTAAGCATTGGTGGTGTTCTCTGTTTTAGTGTTCATTTAGTGCCCCGATGGCAGTTGCTTGTGCTCTTATAATTAGTTTTGTTTGTTTGTTTACAGAGATAAAGGCTGCTGGTAGCACCTTCGGCAATTTCTTCCGTGTTACAACCTTCGGAGAATCTCATGGCGGTGGAGTTGGTTGTATCGTTGATGGATGTCCTCCTAGGATTCCAATATCAGAAGCTGATCTTCAACGTGATCTTGATAGAAGGTGATTCTTTTATTGTTCTAGCTTGTTGCGTCTCGTGTACTAAATGTTAAATGTACAGATATTCATGCTTATACTGATTATGAATCGAACCTTGGAACTGTGCTTCTTAGGAGACCAGGTCAGAGCCGAATCACCACCCCTAGAAAGGAGACTGATGAATGCTCAATCAAGTCTGGCATTGCTGAAGGTTCGGTTTTAATATGAGCAAAACAAAATTATCGTGTCCTGTTAACCAAAATATAAACAAAATCCGTGTATCTTGTTTGTTTATCTTTTCTTCTTAGTTTGTTTGATATTGCACCTACATATTGTATTTTGCTAATGCATGGGCCATCTATGCAGGAGTCACTACTGGAACTCCAATAATGATAATAGTGCCAAATACAGATCAGAGAGGGCATGTAAGTACTGCCATTATAACATTTCCATCTGTGTTGATATTATTATCGATGTAGGTCTCGGATGAATTCTGGTTCTGTGTCCAATACATGAATACTTGCTGGATATTTTCCAAGGAATTCCCTTGAATATATTATTTGATAATTTTGATTAAATTCCGGGCCTGGGAAAAATTCTTTTATGATCATCTAACAAGTGTTACTCATTTCCTCTATATTCTGTTGACATCATGAATTTATCTAGCAACTGTATGCGTTTAGATTCTTTTACCCCTAGCTCTGATGGTTCAGGGCTCCTGTTATTAATGACTTGAGTGCACGTTTGGGATATGGCTTTCCTAGAAACTCCAGTGAAAATGCCCATATTTATACACATATTGGAGGCATGGGTTAGGATACCCTGTTCGCTACCCTTTAAGAGATGTTATACATTTTTGTTTAAGTTGTACTAGTTTTGTAGCATCTTTAATGTTAGTTGACTTCGTGATGATTAATTGTTTATCTTTTCTTTTCTTTTGACTAATAAATGTTATCTTTCCGGGCATATAACTATATGTAAAAGTTGCCTTTACATATTAAACTGAAAACTGATTCTGCAGGACTACAGTGAAATGTCGAAAGCCTATAGGCCTTCTCATGCTGACTATGTGTATGATGAGAAGTATGGTGTGCGATCAATAGCGGTAAATTTTTATTAAAGTTCTGAATATCACTATATTAACTCATATGTTAATGCATATGATTTAATTATAGAAACACTTCCTGGCACTCTTTAACAATACAGGGGGGTGGTAGATCTTCTGCAAGAGAAACTATTGGGAGGGTTGCTGCTGGAGCTATTGCCAAGAAAGTACTCAAGCTGGTAGCCAATACTGAGGTATGCTCATTTAAGACCTGATTTAGTTCACATACTATATCATGTTTCTCTTGCACTATCACCATATCTACTGAGCTGAATGTTGCATCCTTTTACGCATTTGGGGCACTTATCTCTGTACCCATGCTGCAGATTCTTGCTTATGTTTCTCAAGTTCACAAAGTTATTCTTCCTGATGGTTTAGTGGATCATGAAACTCTGACCCTTGATGAGGTTTGTTTACATTATTATTCTTCTATTTCTTGAACTACCGGTTTAATGTGTATAATATAGTTCTAACTTCTAACCATCATCAGCTATGCTAAAATTTGCACCATCAACGCTATTTGCATCATCATTTTTTTTTTTCTTGTAAATTCATCTTTGTAGAATGTCAGAGATGTTTCTCTGTTGCTGATTTACATGCTGGTCTTATTTTCGAGTTATTGGATATTCACTGTATGGTTGTGGAAATTTCCCTTTCACCTGGTCTTTGGCATTATATAATAGAAGTTGTTTTGGTTAAGGAGCATGCTCTGTCCATTTTTGGTGGTGGGTGCAATATTCATCTTTACATATTCAGTTAGTTAATTCCCTTTTCCAACTGAAAAATATGCTTCTATCCCCGTAAACTATTACTAATACTGTGTTCTTTTTACAGTCTAAAAATGTCATATGATGTGCATAAAAACTATTGTATAGGTGCAAGTTTCCTGTAAAAGAATCTTTGATTAACCTGAAATTTTGGATGGGGGGCTGATCTATCGTACTAATAAATGTAACAAGTTTCACCAAAATGGCTTTCAGTAGATAACATGTGAAATTATTGTTTGGATTGTGTTGAATGTACATTGGTTAGAGTGAAATGCATTACGTATATGAAATAAGTCTCTTTCTACATTTTTGAATCATTGACACAAAGGAAGTAAGTTCCAGACTCAAATATATAATTTTATAGATTGCTTTCTTGCTGCCAACGTATAATAGAAAACATATGTAGTTCTTGCTCTCAGGGTGTTGGTGGTGGGTTGGTAGCAATATGGTTTAAACAATCTTTTGTTCAGTTTCTACTACACTTTCATCGCCAAATTCTGCAATTCTTGTGGGCCATAAGCGATGGCAGGAAGAAGCTGTTTGGTCAAATTCTATCAAAATTGAAAAGACAGATCCTTGTCAATGTAACAAAAGTTGTTCCAATTTTGTTCCCATTTTATAGTATATGCTTACGAGTATTTTCAGCCCATGTTGCACCCTTGTTCTGGGGACACCGTTTAAGAGACACCTTATAATATTTTCACATCATATGTGGAAGTGTATGTGCTCACTGGATGCTGTCATGTTCTCAGATTTGGTTAAGAATTATCAGTTGTGAAGTATAAAACATTAATACAGTCAAGTTACATTGATAAATAGAATTTACTCTGTTGGAGATGGCCTCTTTCCTAGTAGTACCCTTCATGAATAGAAGGAAATTTTCTTGCTAATAACTAAGTTTTCAATTACTTTTACCAGATAGAAAGTAATATTGTACGGTGCCCTAATCCAGAGTACGCAGAAAAAATGATTCGTGCTATTGATGCTGTCCGAACCAGAGGAGATTCTATCGGTGGTGTGGTAACCTGTATTGCTCGTAATGTCCCGCGAGTAAGTTTTTCATCTGTATGAGTGCGTTTTGATTTGCTCATCTGTCTTTGATTGTACATTACTGGTTGAGGACACTGAAAATTGCAAAATCAGATGGAAAAATTAATGAAAATCACTTATTTTCTTGTAGGGTCTTGGTTCACCTGTGTTTGATAAACTTGAGGCAGAGCTGGCTAAAGCATGTTTATCTTTACCAGCAACTAAAGGGTTCGAATTTGGCAGTGGATTTGCAGGTACTAGATTCAAAAGGGTTCAATTCACTTTTAAACACAGGGCTTGATTTCTTTTCTTTTTCGTTTTCTGCCACTTCTCTGATGTTTGCATCTGTTGAGGAAGTGTTAACTATTGGACTTCTTTGTGTGCCTAACCATGCCAGGTACATTCTTGACTGGCAGTGAGCATAATGATGAATTCCACATTGACGAGCATGGCCTTGTCAGGACCAGGACCAATCGATCTGGTGGAATTCAGGTGATTCAGACATATTATACACCACCAAGTAAAGATTAAATATTTGTGTCCATGCTTATATCTTAATCTTGTGATGGTTTGTTGCAGGGTGGAATATCAAATGGTGAAATAATAAACATGAGAGTAGCCTTCAAACCAACTGCTACAATATCTGTAACTCTCTCTCTCTCTCTCTCTCTCTCTCTCTCTCTGTGGCAAATATCGTTTCATGTGCACTTGTCAATCAAGAATCACATTATTTTTCTTTGTATTTGCAAGTCAATTTTACGTGTAGAAGCAAAGTTTTCTTTTATATATATGAAATTTCTTCACGTTCAAAAATGTTAAATCTCATGGTTTAAACTGGTGTCTTATGCAGAGAAAACAAAATACGGTGACCAGAGACAAAAACGAGACAGAACTCATAGCTCGTGGACGCCATGATCCTTGTGTTGTCCCGCGAGGTTTGTTTCCAATTAATCGTTGCCTGTGTTGTGTGTTCCTCAATTAATGATAAAACCCTTCATCCTTATTTTTAACTGTCCTTTTGGTTCATTTCTCTTTTGGAATACTCCCTCTGTAGTCTGAATGATTGTCGAGTTGGATTTTCAATTTTAGCCAAATTATACTAAATATGAGAATCCAAAGACGGAGTAGTTGATAGTCTGCAAACAATAAAAAGTTTGTATATCCTGCAACTAAAGTAGTTCAAGAAAATGCCTGAAAAGATATAATGCTCTTAGAATTCGTTGTAATCATTCATACAAAATATTGTGTTTCATAATTTGAGTTTTCTTGGTCAGCAATAGGTGTGTAACATCTGAACACAAAATGAATGTCTTGCTGTGATTTTTTAGTTTCATTGGTTTGTATGTGAAGTTAAAGAGTGGATGAAAGTTAAATAAGGCAATGATTGTTTGATTTCCATGCGCAGCTGTTCCGATGGTTGAAAGTATGGTAGCTCTGGTTCTTATTGATCAGTTACTGGCACATCACGCACAATGTAGGCTATTACCTAAAAACCCGGAGTTACAAGAATCCCTGCAGAATTTGAGAGTAGAGCCAGTGCAGATTCCCCAGTGAAGTTGTTTGGTGTCCTGGTGTTTGTTCGATGAGAAACAGCAGTTGCTGAAGCAAAAGAGTGCAACAGAGTGGTTAGATGTACTGTTTTCTGCTTTTTCCAGGTTTTATATGTCTATAAGTTTGTAGAGCAAGAATGCGCTTGTATTATCTCTAATCTATTTACTGTTTCCGGTCCACAGTTATATGTGATATTCATTTGATGTAATAATAATAAACGTAATTTGGCATGTCACTTTCTTTCCTACGCCGTGCGTAGGAAGTTGGTCCCAACTGATGTGAGGAATTTTGGTTGAGGTTTTCAGCCACGTATGAACATGTTCTGAGGCAGCGAGTCAATGTAAGGCAGTCAGTTTTAGCAACGATATGCATGTAGGGCGGAGATATATATTATCTCAGTTGCAAAATAAGACTCTTGTTTGTTTAAGCGGGTAAAAAAGTACACTGCACATCATAGCTGAATATACGCTTGTAAATCATTTGGATTGTCAAAACCATTTTAACATTCGTACAGAATGAGAAGAATGAACAATGAAAGCTTTTTGAGAACTGTTCTTAAACATCTTTAGCTAACCAGTTGAGGATAAATCTTCTATCACATTAGGTAGTCTATTTTGTTACATTTCAATATGACAAACTACTAATAAGATAAGATAGAGAGTCTTGAGAATGATTCTCCAGACATTCGGTTGTGATTTTGATTTAGCTATATTTCTATTTCAATTGTACTCCTGAGTTTCGGTTCCAGTGTTCTGTATCCTTTGAGTATTATAGAAAGGAGTTAGTACCGTTAATGTTGTAGAAGATTTCATTTGCTTTTGAGGAGCTGATATGGAAAGGATGAATAAAGAAATTAAAGATAAATATGTCTAGTGGGCCAGAAGAAATTATGAATATATCAAGATTCTCCATCATGTATTATAAAAGTAATCTTCATGATAATATAGTCGAATGCCAATGGGATTTCTGAAATGAATTAGATGACCAACCAAATTACAAAAGAACAAAATCTAACTTGAGACATAGGTCCATCCATAACATTAGAGCCACATAAATCATGATTAGGCAAAGCTAATCACATGTCTTAATTAACAAATACTTGATGGCTCTTCTTCTTGTTCATTGATGCGTACTCTTCTTTTTCCTGATTTCTAATCAAATATTCTAAATGACATGCTTTTGTAAGACAAATTGATTGATTTAATTAAGTACTTACTCTACTTTTTTTTTTTATTTTTTAAAGTATGATTGAGTGCACGGATGAAAAACTTTAAACCCCACAAAGTCATCATCGGACCTCATCCTTGTAAACACATACATATCTATTTTAGCATTATAATTAAAACTATCAGTTCCAGACAAATAATTAAAATACTTGCACTGGAACAAGACGAAATGAAAGACAATCATCATCTTAAGTGTGTGGATAGGCAAGTTGTGTTATAAAATCAAACTTCATAATCATGGAAAAAGGCTAAGTTGTGTAATAATAGTTGAACTAGAATGCTACCACTAAAGTAAAGATTCTTTGTGATAATTGATAAAAAAAAGTTAGGCTTAACAACCATCAATCGATCATCCACAGCATAATAAGATTACACAATATTTTTTTGATAGGACTAAGGTACGGATACATGTCGCTGTGTTTCTCAATTTCTTACAACTAAAATGATCATTATTAGACAGATAAAATTTCAATGGTGTACTTTAATTTTGAGGTCATCATATGGATAGGGAACTCCAAATTGCTCTTTTCAATTTTTCTGTATTGTTATGGTGCTACTAGTCTTCGATTATCTGAATTGAAACTCAATTATTTAGAAATGGTAGGCCTAACGATAACTCAACTTAATCATTCCGGAGAAAAAAGCGGGGGGTTTTTTTTTTTTTTTTGGTTTGAAAAAAAATTATTTTTAAGTATCAAAGTGTTGTGTATAAGATTTTTTTTTAATTATTTATTTATTTTTTTAAAAAAAAAAGTCGTCTTACCAGAAAACCTAATCTAGAGCTGACAATACTTAGTAATAAGAGTAATAAATCGAAAAAACAAGCTACTTAGACAGTCTCAGATCTTTTGGTTTAGCTAATTCAAAGTGCGAACGAGATCAATATATTGCCCAATATTCTCCATACGAGTCCTTTTCTTCAAATAAATAAATAAAAGTTGTAGGAAGCAAATTGCGTTCAAATATTTTGTGAGGAAGTTTATATCATCAAATATTATTTCCTCCCCTCAAACACTTTGTCTAGTTTGGATTTTTTATTTATTTTTTGTTATTATAAATTGTATTGTACTAAAAATCAAACAAGATAATTTAGAGAGAGTACGTGTTTATATTATCTGGATGTTAAATTTCTAGAGGGGAAAAAAATATTTTTTTCCTTGAAAGGGATTAAACATACGTAGTGCTTTCCCTCAATATCATTAAAATGACATTAGTGGGGAGCCTTTTGGTTAAACAGTCTTTATCGCAAATTCAGCCAAAAACTAAAACTTCATGAAAACCTTGGACAACTGTGATTTGGAAAAGCATCAAGAATAATTCAACGCTAATTAATTGTTTTATGTTCACGTGTATATACAATTTTTTTAAAGTTTGTTTTAAAAGTCCAACCATTAGGAACATTCTAACTAACCCTTATTCATTCACTGACTTGTTTGGGCAACCAGTTTTCTTAAGAAGATCTTGTGAGTATCGTCTGAAATTTATTTAAGGTTACTAAAAAAAAAAGAAGAAAAGACGTAAAAGAAGAAGAAGAACAAGTTGTGTTCGATGATTCAGTTGTTGAATAGTACTCCCTTCGTCCCATAATTATTGTCCAGTTTGGGTTTACATTTTTAGTTCAGATTATATTGAAAGTGAAATATCAAACTGGACAATAATTTTGAGACAGGGGGAGTAGAAAAAAACACATTTCCTCCGTCCAAGTAAGAAACGTAATAGGAGAACTAGAAGAGTACAATGAATTATAACCTTTTTATTTAGAAACGAAAAAGAGTAGTCTTCCGTCCCATAATTATTGTCCTGTTTGGGTTTTTTATTTCTAGTTCAAATTGTACTAAAACTGAAATCTCAAACTGGACAATAATTTTGGGACAGAGAGAGTATTACATAAGAAGAAATTAATGATCAAAGAATGAAATAAGGATATGTCTTCCATGATCTTTTTACCTTTAAACCTACCTTCTTTGTTCGATATACATGGCAAATTTTAACAAACTCCTCAAGAAAAAACTAGTTTAAGTGTCAAAGAAATCAATATAACAAATTTTGTTGAATGTGAATTTTTTTTTTTATTTATTTCCTTCTTTTTGAGTTTTGGATTTTTGATCTTTAACTAATAACAGAATTTGTTGGTTTGTGTACTCCCTAAAAGTCAATAATAAGAAGAAGAAGAAAAACACATGATTTGTTAGGTTTGCCGAACCTTGAAGCTAGTAAAGTTCTTAAAGAAGAATATTCCAATATTTTAAGCTAGGGTTACACCCAAGTACAGAATCATCGCACGTTAACCATAGCAGCCTAATAATATAAATAGGTAAACAGTCATGCAAAAAATATTCTTCTTGAATCCGATATTTATATAGAGGACTTATAAAATTATTTTTTCAGTTGTAAAACCAGAGTTGTGATCGTTATAATTGTTAATGTTGAAACGAAAAAAGAGATTATACGATATTAGTTGGGTTTTTTTTTTTTATTTTTAAACACGATATTAGTTGGTTGTGATGAAAAGTAGTGCATTTTGAATCCCACATCTCTACCATATTACAAATTTACACCGATCACGGCAGCAAAGGCAAAAAAAAAAAAAAAAAAGGAAATGTTTTCTTTGTGTGCAAAGCCTCCAGGCTTCCTGGCCAAATGTGTCTACCACCACCAGCATTTCAAAAGTAATACTATAAATTTGAAGCCCTCCAAAAAAAAAAAAAAGAAGCCATAAAGAAAAGGGCATCCAAAAAACAAAAGGAAATGCAAGGGAGGGAAACTATAAAAATTTCCAGGTCCCAAAACCCACCACATCTGAAATTATAAAAAAAATCCCCAAAAAAAAAAGTCAAAAGCACAATGAGGAGGAGGAGGAGGAACAACATAGATATGGGAAATCTCCAATTTTGAATTGACCCAATTGAAAAAAATATGGGGATTTTTGCCATTTGGGAGTTTGCTATAATCCCACATAACGCCTGTCTTCCTTGGCCAAACCAGAGAGTTCCCACCAAGATTATGAGATGATCCACCACTTTTTTTCATCCAGTTGTTGATACTTGACTGTTTCCCCACCCTCCTTTAGGCCCCCCTTCCTTTTTGTTTAATCAAAATCCTTGACCACCACCTCCCCTTTTGCCCTTTCTGTCTTCTCTTCAACAAAGTGAAAGTTGCTTCCTTTTTTTTTTTTTTGTGGGTTACTGGTACTATATTCCTTCCACTACTTCACACATTTTTACACACTGCAAATCAAAACATAAAAAAACACATTGTTTAGCACTAATGAAGAAAGGCATGGATAAGAAATACAGATTCTGCACAAGTCAATGTTTGGAGAATTACACCACTCAAGAAAAAGGCAAGTAGAATGATTCAAATGTAGACTTTGTAACAGGATAACATGGCAATTCTTCTGTTTACTGAGAGCTTTGCATGGGAATTCAAAAATGTTGTCGAACTATGTGAATTGTGTGATATAGTTAAATGATGGTTTTTAGCTTTCTCTTCTTTTTTACAAGTTAGACCAAACCCCCTTTTTTTCTCCCCCCACTTTTTACCCTAGTCATCCTCTTGCTGCTATGACTAATAGTGTTTGGTTGGTAACCGTAAATTCCTCCTAAAACACCACTTAGCAATCATAATTAGAATCTCAATTGACTAATTGCAAACAAAGAACTTCACGAAAGCAGAAAGACGGCAATGCCGAAAAGTTAGACTTGTTGTTGTCTCAAAATTGAACTTGTTTCCCGCATTTTGGTTTGGATTAGGAGTAAATGTGTTTGGAATTTGGTTGTCTGCTGCTTTGTTTAATTATTAAAGCAACTTTTTTTACATGTTAAAATCACCTTTAGTTAATGCCTAAAGTTACCCACCAACTTGTTTTAATTAGGAGGGAATGCCCCTGTTCTCTAAACAGTCTTATTGGTCCACCTATATAGCTCTATGCACACGGCTGCTTATCTTTGAACCCCCCAATTAAAGGAAGACTACCTAAACACTAGTCCTCTCATTTCCAAATTTATTCCTAGTTCATTATCATTCACAAGTAAAATCCACTATTGCAACTGTGTAAAAACAATTGCAGACATCATCCTGTCTCCAAGTATCTTTTAGAACTAAAGCTTTTTGTTGGTGTTCTAATGTGAAAGTGATAGCAACTCTCAATAGTCTACTCAAAATCTAGACATTCCAACTACCAGAGTTCTATTAGACCTTAGTTCTTACATCATTCAAGCAAAAAACCCACTAAAATGTAAATGCTGGGGAAAAAAGGATTTGCACTAAAAGTAAAACCAGAAGCAAGTGTTAGCTATAGCTTTAGGATGAAATGGAAGAAAAGCAAGAATTGTAGGACAGAATAAACCAAGACTTCAAAGTAAAAAATTGATCTTGGATCAAGCAAAATAGTTTGACTACTCAACAAACACAACCCTAGTCCTACTCTCTTAAAAATTTTTAATCTTGACAAATGAAGTCGAAAAAAAATGTCTCCACATATAATAAGTGAAGACACATTAACTTCTCAAGAAGACAAATGAAAAGACCTTAAAAAGTTAAATCCAATTCAAATCAGATGCGAATCTCTTCAAACAATTTGGAGAGTGACACGAGACAAAGTAACAAAGGTCACCCTCCATCCACCTCCCCCATTCATCCAGAGGTAAAGGGCGGGGCCAACACACCTAACAGGTACTACTACTATTCCTTACATTTGTACAAACTCACTTAAATGACAGATGTGCCCCCTCAAAACTCCTAGAAAAACAAGTGTCGGTATGCCGACAGTTACTAGCCTTTGTAGCTCTTATAGGAGGAGTTGAGGCCTCTTCATCCCCATTGACCTTTCTTTCTCCAATACCTCTCTCTCTAAGAAGAGTTGTTACTAGAAACAAGTACCCTTTAATAAAGACCCCAAAAAATAGAGGCTATAAGCCTATAAGGCCAAGGCATTTAACAGCCACCCTTTGTTGTATTATGGCACTTAATTTTCAGAATCAGAGATATTGAGGACGCATTTGAGCCCACGGGTGGCAAAGCATCAGCTGAATCTTCTACTGTTTTTCTCGTGACCCTTCTCAGACAGATTATTCTACTAATCAATACAGGAAGGAGCCGATAAAGGGTCAAAAAAGAAAATGTCTTTCTTTGTTTGTTTTTACTTTTAGCTATCATTATGTTTCAATTATGAGCTTAAATGCATAATGGGGTCCTATCTTAATCAAGAAACTATTGTGCACAGTGAGTCAGTCAATAAGGGCCAATCAAGATAACATTTTTATTTGATGTTTGACATAAATTAAGACAAGAAAAACAGGCATTATGTAAGTGAAGAATGAAAGAGAGTGCTTAACTCACCATTTTTTTAGTTTTTAAGTGTTTAAAATCTCTTCTACTATTTAGGGGTGTTGTTTTGTTGCTGAGTGGCTTGCTTGAAAGCAACAGTGGGAGCTATTCTGCAACTCCTCCTCTGATGCTCTTGCACAAGCTCACCGGCGAACCAGTCCAGTTTCTCCAGATTGCTCTGTTCTCCGATCCTCTTCCCATTGAACAGCACTGATTCTACATTCTTTTGTTTCAGCATTTCATCCGCTACTTTTACCAGCAACTTTACGTTGTCGGGGCTCGGGTTGGAGTCGATATCTGCCCCGCAACCTCCAAAGCTGGACCCAGTTGCCTGTCATTCAAAAATCACAATTTCTTTTTTATAAGGTTATAAGCAATGAGCCATACAAAGTGTTTTTAACTTTGCACCAAGAACTACTATTAAACAAAACAATGCTGTCTGAAGGAAGCGGAGCAATGACAAATAAACAATTTTTGGCATCCACTGACCAATATTTTGCTTTCTTGCAATCATTGATTGACCAACATCTTAGAATATTATCACGGATAATCACTAAATTGTATTATTAACAAACTACAAACCGATCCAAATGAGTTATTAAAATGCAAGTAGAGTTTCAATAAATTATCCTACATTTTTTCCGTAGCCAAAATTTCCCCTAAAAGCAGGGATTTCCCACTTTATTATTCAATCTTTATCATCCAAACCCACGTCACAAAACAAAAGGATGAGCAGGTACAAAGCGTCAGTAGCTATCAAAATAAAGAAACAGGGGTACACATTTGCTAAACCATCAACTGAGAGAAGCCAGGTTTAATTGGTACAGTGAAAGTGAGTCTTGAATGTTTATGAGGGCAGGGCACCGACAAAGAGGAAGAACGAGGACCATATCAAGACTAAAAATGGCCATAAACCCCACGCTTAGTTAATATTCAGATGAATTAGTTGAATCATAAAAATGGTAAAAACGGAGACCACTTCCTGGACCATATCCTCCATCACCAAAAATGTACGGTACATCATAACAGATGCCACAGTAAATACAGACAGCATTATATATATACTTCAGCCAATTTTTAGTATAAAGTTGACTATAAAGTGGAGCAGAATGAGTGCTTTTTCTAAGGAGTCTTTGTACCCAACTCAAATCCTCTTCTACAGCTAGCATTATGATTTTTACCTAGTTGTTAGTATCATTGAATACAGAATTCAGAGGTATTTCATATCATCCAACACTTTTTTTTTTTTTTCCTAAAATCAGTCAGGTTTTTACTACATTGCCTCAGGTCAGATGAAAAAGAAAATATCCATCATAATCTGCCATGAAGCATGATGTTGTTGAAGAAAATTTATATTATGCTGTTGCCACGCCACAAGCTACTTATGTACATTGTGGTACATTGCGTATTCAATTTCACAAAATCATAAATGAGGGGTAGAAATTGACAGTAACTTCAAAAACTAAAAAGATGATAGGGTCAAACGAATCAAAACATAGTTAATGCGAAGTGGTAAGAAAACACATCAATGAAAAGGAATTAGAAAAAACAAACAAAACCCAAGTGGAAAGAAACAAACTTTATGAATCACAAACATCAAAAGAGTTAAAAATCTGGGGATAAGAACATTAATAAAAGCAAAGACAAAATTTCATAAATTTGGCTTTAAAAAAAAAAAAAAAAAAACTCATCAATCTCTCACGCAATTCAAGTAGCAGAAGAACAAGAGGGCATTCAACCAAAGCAGGACAAAATGTTGAACAGCTAAAACCCAGGTTTTTTTTCTTTTCTTTTATTTGTCCTTGGCAGTTGGCAAACAAATTGTGGTTGATCAGATTAAAAGAGAGAAGAAGGAGGGAAAAAATGGAAAAATGATGTCTTACTCTAGCCAACTAATGTATCACTGTCATCATATCCATTGCCCCACTTTTGCTGCAACCATTTGCCAAATCCCAACAAATATACTTACAGATACTCCCTCTCTGAATCATCTTCTTCCTCCCCCCTCTGTTCTCCGAAATAAAATTTAATTGCATCCCTTCAAAAAAACCTTTATGAACACCAAACCAACCAATGAACCAGCCCAGAAATTCGCCTCCTCAAAAAACAAAACAAAAAGAAAAAAAGAAAAGAGAGGATGGCCCATGCAACTTTAAAAGAGAAAAGTCTCAATGCCATTTTTAAACCATGCACATAAGTCATGTAGTACATTTGTACCATCTTAAGATCACAATCACATACAGTAACAATCAAATAATAAACCCAGATAAAAGAAATTAATGTATGAATAAAATTAATTAGCTTACCTGGACTCGGACGTAATTACAGCTCCGGCTCTGACCAAAAGCCATGGAAACGGCGTGATCGACTAAGTCGGCGGAGCCATCTCCGGCGATACGAGCCAGAGGTCGAGCCCAGTCCTTGGGCTTCCAGCTCTTCACTTGCTCCTCTGAAAAGCTTCCTTCCAGGAGCTGGCCGGTGCCTAATGAAAGTACCAAAATGTCCTCGACGCCCCGCACGAAGGGGAACTCCTGCTTGTTATGGAGCACGTGCGTGATTGCCGCCGACGTGGGGTTGCTCATGGCCAGGCCGCCGTCGACGCCGACGCAGCGAGTCTGGCCGTCGACGGATTTCATGAACACCGGCTCGAACGCCGTCGGCTCGGCCGACGTGGCCCGGCAGACCTCCCAGAGGCGGAAATCGAAGCTGTCGGTTTCCAGGGCGTCGGCGCGGGAGAACAGGAACGGCGCCGTACTGGACAAATCGTAGCAGGGGATCAGTACGGGTTTTAACGTGTCCTTTAAAGTCAGGCTGCGACCCGTTTTGTTGTCCACGAAAGCCTGCTTCATCGATTTCTCCAACGCCGAGGATGAAGCAGCGGCGGGGTTGGCCGCGCCTCCGCCCCGGAAAACACGCCTCAGAAAACCGCCGCCGGTTGAATTGGAGGAGCGGTAGAAATTCTTGCCTTGCTCTGCTAGAAGCTTCCACGTTTCGTCGGCGTGGAAAATGGGGCGGTTGTGGTCCTTGGTGGCGAAGAGCATGGTGGTGAAGATACCTCCGACGCCGGAGCCGGTGGCTACGTCGAAATAATCAGCAATCCGAGCATCGGGATTGCCGGATTTTACTTTCAAGGCGTTCTCCAAATAGGCCAAGGCTTTCCCGGGGATGATGCTGCGCATTCCGCCGCCGTCGATGCTCAGGACGCATATTTTGCCTCTCTGATTCTTAATCGCCTGAAGACCATCCACCTCCGCGGCAGCTTTAGGGGAGGTAGAAACGACCTCTTCAAGCAGGGGCGGGGTTGGAATCTGTTTGGGTATCCATAGCTTTTTATCATCATAACCAAATAAGAATTTGCTCTCCAGAATCGAGAATATTTCGTAGCTGAGCTTATCTGTATCGATGCTGGGCTCTTGAAGCATTTCCGATGAAGGATGACGATTATAAGACATTTCTTATGAGAAGAAGGAAAAAAAAAAAAACAAATTTTGGACGGGCCCGTAATCACCGAAACAACAACAACAACAACAACAACGTCAGCTCCAGAAATTCCGTCTTCTCAACCATAAATAGTAATCCAGACATTAATGCACATAACAGAATCGATCATCATCAATCAGCCCAATAAAATTAAAGAATACCCTTTGATGTAACATAACACAAACATGGATTAAATGATGCACAAGCTTACTTGTAAGAGTGAAAGGGTGTAAATGAAGAACAAGAAAAAGGAAAATTTCTCGGCAAAGTTATAAATATTTTTTTTTATAAAAAAAAAGAAGAAGAAGAAGAAGAAGAAGAAGTTAGCTTTAAGAATTAATTTGCTTGGGATAGATAGAAGCAGAAACAGAGTAAGAGAGCAGGGACGTGATAAGCGAGGAAGATGGAGGAAGAATCGAGGTTATGGATTATGGGATTATGGAAGAAAGAAGAAGATATATATAGAGATGATGATGATGATGGAAGAAAGACGGCAGGAGGAGAGGGAATATTGGTAACAGAGCGTTATATGAAAATGAAAATTAATAAATATTTGGTTTCGTTCTTCTTCTTCTTCTTCTGCTGCCGTTCTGTTGGCCTTTAAAAGCCAGATGGAGAGAGAGAACGGCGCTTGGCTATTTGTTTTTTATTTTCTGACTTTTATATCCGTTTTCACCCTTATGGTAATTGTTTTTTTTTTTTAACCCGCTGTGATTCCAGCTGGATTCAGTTTGAGTACGTCACTGTGATGAGAATCAAAGGGTTGAGATTCAATTATAACCGCTTTTTCTCCGGGATCAACGGCTTAATTGTCAATATTTTTCTTCTTACCAGTAAGAAGAAGGTCCAGTTTAATATTTTTTTAAAAAGAAATATCATAAATTTTTTTGTTAAATATTCAAATTATAATTTGTACATTATATTGTTTTATAAATTATTTATGCAATAATAATACAGAAAGCACCCTCTTACATCAACAAGATAAACTATCTCGAAATTAATATAATAAATTACATAATATCGTAAGCTGTATCGATCAGTAAATTCTTGAATATCTTCTTCGTTCATTCGCAAACCATCGTTGAATTGCACGTACAAAATATATCACCATTTTTACATCTGTGAAGAATTGTGAAATTTGTTATCTGAAATTTCCTCGTAGATTTTTCGCATCCCCTTTTTCCCCATATATTTTTAATTACTGCTAATTTTTTTTTTTAAGAGGATTTGATACTAGGGGGAATTGGGAAAAAGAAACGTGGACCGGGGGGGTATTTGTCTTAGTGACTGATATTGTTCGTGACTAGGAAGGGGGGTGGGCCCACAGAGGCTGGGAAAACGCTGCTTCTAATTGGCTATCAGGCGGGTCCGACACTGTTTGATAGCGCTGACGAGACGGCGTAACGTCGTGGGTCACAGTAATGTAACGGGGGGGTGGCGTAATCTGAGCCAGGGTCACGGTTCAATTGAGTGGACCAGACCAGGTCCGAGTCTCTCTATTAGTGGGGGTTCAATCCTTCGACCATTCACTCGTGTGCTTATTTGCCGTCCAAACTTCCCATTAAAAGAGATAGGATTAATGGACTACTTAATCACGTTTCTTTCCCATTTTTATCTTCTTCATCCTCCACTACTCCTTCATTTCCCATTCCCATTTGGCACACTTTCTCCTCACACGCTACACTTTTTTTCTTTCTTTTTCTTTCTTTGGTAATGCAGAACTCACTCGGGACAGAAGGTAAAAGATAAATTATCTTACACAAATTTTGAGTCACATAAAATTTATATTTTATTTCTTTTTGGTTTCACAATTAACAATTAACGTGACGAGTCTTATATCATTGCATTTCTCTCTTTTACCTCTAAAATAAGAGTGCGCGAACCAAAAGATGCTAAATGATTACGAAGACTGGAAAGTAAAAGATAAATTATGTTACACAAGTTTTGAGTCACATAGAACTTATATTTTGTTTCTTTTTTCGTTTCACAATTAACAATTAACATGACGTGTCTTATATTATTACATTTCTCTCTTTTACCTTTAAAATTACAGTGCGCGAACCAAAAAATGCTAAATGACTAAGAAGACTGGATGTCTCTTGTAGATAATTACATTTCAGAGTTATGTTTATTTTGCTAGCCGTTATATACCTACTCGTTTGAGTCCTTGACAAAATTAATACTGCCAATGTCACTTTCTGTGTAAAAACAAACATGCACATATCCGTCTGCTTCCCATTTTCGGCCAACGTTAAAAATAACAAAAGTCGTGGAGTCCGTTACAAAACTTACATCAAATGAAGAACAATTTAAGGTTAAGTTCACGCATGTTTGGCTCCAACAAAGGCAATAAATACATCCATTAATTAATTAAACTTGAATTAACATTTATTCAATGATGAGAAGCTTCGTGCGTGTGCTGTGTGGGCTTGTGGTGAAGGACCTGAAGCCCATTAATTGATTCTGTTATTACGTCTTTTTTAGGATTTTAGTTCTTATTAAGAACATGTTAACAAGGAACCAACGCTTCTTTGTTCTTTACATAACCGTACGTTTAAGCTTCGACATTTTCATCCATAAATATGGACTGTTCAATGAAGTTCATTACTTGATATTTTGTCAATGAAATAATGCGTGTCGACTTTTTCGCTAGCTTTATTAGATCAATGAAAAAATTGAGGATAAGAGATTTTTTTATATATATTTTTTAATTTAAATTATAAATTGTTATGATTAAAAAAGTATTTGTGACTTGTGAATTTAATTAATCCTCATGTATCAATTGAACCAAACCCTTCTCCTTTGATAAAACTAAATCTATTATTTTTCCCAAGGGCACGATGTACCCTTCTCTTCTCTTTCCATCAACCGAGTGCATATTGTAAATTGCGAACTGTATTATTATTTAATAATAGTCTACATTTTATAAATTACAATATAGATTATTTTTTTGGATGAAGGACAATTACAACATAATTCGTATAAATAAATAACAAATAGTTGAAGACTTGAAGTAGTATTATTTTATTTTGGGTAGAATGACTATTAGACATTTAAACGGGGTCTAATCGAGAACATATGTTTTCAACGACCTAAATAGCAATTTCATGTATTCTCTTTCGTTTTAAACCCTGCAAAATAAACTAACAGAAATCCTCCGTTGCCGCTACTCTCTCGGACGCCGCCCGCCGCCCGCCGCCCGCCGCTAACTCCTCCATTCAGCTAGGTCTTCGACGTACTAAATTAGCCGCCACAACCATATTTCAGCTTCTCCTCCGCCCAATCCTTTCGGTTAGGGAAAAATTGGTCTCAGAAATTTGCAGATAACCGTGAATTTGGTTCTGGAGATAGTCCTAGTACAAGTAGACAAAGGGGTTTGCACTTGGCCTTTATCCTTTAAAGTCAACCTTTTGGGTTACTAGCTTCCTCTCTCCATTGGTAAGTAGGAATACTTTCTTCTGCTATTTAATTTTTCAATTTTGATTGCAAAAAAGTTGGACGTTCGAGTGTATCTCTGCTGTTGAAGCGTGTAAATGCACTTGAAATTATTAGTTTATGTTTGGTTATTGCTTTTATATGATTTTTAATATGTGTTAGTTTTCGATTTTAGTTTGTGTTGGAATAGATTCTGGGTTCCAGTTTGCTCGAATCCAAAACATTACATCTGAACTTGTAAACAAGAGTTGTCCCAAAGGGATTTTAAAATACGAGAATAAAATATAATATGCATGGAATGACAGTAATTATTTGTGTATCAATATGATCGGTGATCTTGTCTTGTGGATAACTTAACTTATTTGTGATGCCATCATTTTGCTCAGAGTGTCACCACTAAACTGAAAGGTAGATATGTAGAAATTGGCTTGTTTTGGTTTAAGTGGTTGACATCAAGCTCCTTAGTAATTGAAGTTATTAACTAGTTGGCAAACTGATAGAGCGAGTGGTCTGCATTTTTGTGTTGGCTATTTGTGACCGATTTCTTTATCATTTAATTAGTAAAATGGCCTGTTGGGAAAGCCTAGTTCTTACGATTGCAAATAAAAACCCTTGCTATGGTCAGTTGAGGTATTTGTCGCTAGCTGAGGGTTGAGTGCAGCAAGGCATATAAAGAGCTCCTAATTAACTATATTCTCTGTTGGATTGCGCTCTGTCAAGTTTCTTACATTCTCAATTTCAATTTTGTTTGTGTCTTGCAGTACTAAATGGAGCACGGTTCGGAAAAGGATCCAGCAAATGCAACATTTTCGTTGACAGATGAGGATCATACCCTAGCAAATTCACTTAGATTTTGTCTAAATCAAGAGTAAGTAATCTCCTTTTCATTTCCGTAACATTCTTTGTTTTACTGTCTTGATTTATATTTACACCATCCTTGTTTGTCTCCGGGGGTTACTTGTCAAGATTCCACTTTTTATTATCCTGTATGTTCACGTCTTCATACAGTCATCAACTTGATATGTAGTTGAAATCTGGTTTGCCGTGCATTAAAGTTCCATAAGTAACATCGTTGGGATCAATCTTTGAATGTTCTGGATCTGTTTCCTCTTCGTTCTCTAACTATTGTTCTTAAAACTATATTGTTAATGAGAACTATAGATATATGCCGAATGTGAAGATCCTGGTAGTTCTTTTCCAATTTTATTATGTTGGAAATATAAGTTTGAAACTCCATGATTTCGCTGCCAACATTTTTCTGTCCGTACTTGTTTGACAAAGTTTGATTTACTTATTGGTGGATGAGCTTTTGATCACTCCACTTACTTTTGTTTGAGTTCAGTTTCTTATTTTGTGCACTTTTAACCTTTGCAGTTTAAGAGTTAATTTCTGTGGATATAGCATCCCCCATCCTTCTGAAGCTCGAGTAAACATAAGAGTCCAGACTACAGGTGGGGTTTTATACTGCAGGCATTTGTTGTACGTGTAATGGTGACTATGTGTCACTATGTTGGAACTTGTTCCCCTTTCCATCCTTCAGAGTTCAGACTAATCCTTTTCACTCTCCAGTACATCTTTAGAAACAATCCATGCACCCTTGGTCTTATTACTGAATTCTTCACCTTGTTTTGTTTGTAGGTGATCGAGCAAGGGAAGTTTTGAAGGATGCTTGCGAAGATTTGATGTCTAGGAGTCAACATATTAGGAGCACATTTGAACAGGCTGTTGCAGATTACAAAAATCAGCAAGGTCCAAAACCTATGGATTCAGATTAGCAATGAAATATAGCTCTCTGCTTCATTAAGTCGACTTCAGAAACACCGTATTCAGATTAGCAATGACATGCACCTGTCTGCTTCATTAAGTCGACTTTAGAAACATCATATGCGAGAGACATGAAGATCTTTCAAATATTTGTGATGACTCGTTTTGTTTTGTGCTCTAATGCCAATTCCTGAAAGAATGTGTATTCTGAAATCTGAACATCAGAAAATTTTATTCAGGAAATCCATGGAAAGCCTTTTCTCAGTTCTCGTCTGTAATTTTTTTTTTTTTTAAAAATAAATTAACTGAATCTGTTGCTCATTTGATCCATAATCTTCTTTGCCCCGACTTCTTATTTCCCAAGATATAAATCTTCGTTAAGCGAACAGTTAAAGTCTATGAAAGAAATGTTGTAAAGAATTGAAAATGATAGTATTCTTTTCAGAAAGGGCACACAAAATATCCAACAGTCCCATAAATTTTTTGGTCCACTGGTTTCTGTGTGGGCTCATTTGTTCATTGGTTTTTTAACGACTGCTTAAATTGGACATAATAATACTCCAATGCAATGCTGAATAATTCCTCCAAGATATTTGGGAATGCTTTTAGATTGTGGTCCTCAACCTTCATTTACTCCTCCATGATTCAATAAACTTCAATAGGGAATCTCCTTGGATCCTGGGTACGGAATCTGATATGAATCTTCACTGCAGGCCTCCAAGTCGTTCATGGTCATTATTCCCTCAAGAGAGTACAACAATTTGCCTGAAGTTCAGGATGTACGAAGTATCAATGCAGTTTGATTTATCTTCTTTTGCTGAAAAAAAAAACTAGATGAATCCCAATCTTCTGTGTCTTTGATCATTCTTTTTCAATTTGTGTTTACAGCCACTTTGATGGAGTAAGACAAGCACAAAGTCTGAAACTTTCACCAATCAGGAGGAGGAAATGCATCGTCCTGAATTTGCAAGAGGAGTCTGCCAAGAAGAAAGGCACCATTGCTGGTGCTATTTCTCTCATAATTGGAACTAGTATTGGTTCCGGGATTCTTGCCCTCCCCAAAAAAACATCACCAGCGGTAACTTTTACCTCTATCTTGACTAAGTTGCCAAGGGAAATGATTTATTGTAGTTCATGTTTGATGTCATTTTGTACTTTTTGATTGCTTGATGTGATACTGCAGGGCTTGCTTCCAAGTTCGATATCTATGACATTATGCTGGGCGTTTCTATTAGTCGAAGCGTTGTTGCTTGTTGAAGTTAATGTGGAGCTGCTGAAGAGGAGGAATGTAAACATTAAAAAGGATGAACTTGAGGTTCTATCCATTAGGACTATGGCTCAGGAAACACTAGGGGAATTTGGTGGAGCTTTAGCCACCATTACCTATGTGTTCTTGGGTTATACTTCTATGATCGCTTATGTATCCAAGTCGGGCGAGATCCTTAACCATTTGATTGACCTTCCAAAATCAATCTTAGGCATTTTCTTCACTGCTCTTTTCACCATTCTCATATTTGTTGGGGGAACACGAACTACTGATCGAGTCAACCAATGGCTCACTATATCCATGATAGGTATTCGATGACATTGTCTTTTAGAAGATAACTTGATCCTCTAATAAAGCTATAGTGTCATTTTTGAATGCTGCTGCTTTAATCTTACATCCTTAAGGTAACAAATATGAGAACTCGCGAAACAGGTTTGCTGGTGGCAATTGAGGTTGTGGCTATCGTATTTGGAGGTTGGTCAGGTATTGGAGGAAATGATGACTGGGGAAAAGTCCCTGCGACAATTCCAGTCATCATATTTTCTTTGGTTTATCATGACCTTGCTCCTGGTACGTAATAAAAAAAAAGCCGAGCTCTTGAATGAGGATTGCAGAGAACTGATAGTAATCGCCTTCTAGTTCTGAGTTAGATTTGTTTCTTGCAGTTTTGTGTGCGTACCTAGAAGGGGATCTGAGACGAATAAGGGCCTCCATTTTGGTTGGAAGTTTTGTGCCTTTGCTAGGATTACTTATTTGGGATGCAGTAGCACTTGGACTTTCTGAGCAGGTTGATCAAGTTGTTGATCCTGTTGAACTTCTTATGAGGTCATTCATTTCCAGAGCTTTTATTGTGGGAATACTGGATTTTTATCACAAAAGCTGTTGATTTGTCTGTGATTGCTACTTTCAATACGAACGACCACTGAAATTTGTTTTACTTCAAGCTCTAGTTACATATTTGCAGATTTCTTAGCTTGAAACACACTCCTGTTATACAGAGTAAGCTGGGGAGGGATGTCATTTATGGTTGAGGCCTTCTCACTTCTGGCAGTTGGGACTTCACTAATCGGCACCCTACTTGGCTTTTCAGAGTTTTTTAAAGAACAGCTTAATAAACTGCTCACCATATCCGCCCAAAAACTTAAGGTAACATCATTGTATTCTGTAAGCCACACTAGTACATGGTCTGTCAATTGTGTAAACAAATTAAGGGGTAACACCAGATATGTACTTGCAGATATCAGATTCAGAGCTTGGATTGCGTAAATGGTGGGTGAGTAAGAAAACAAGCTTCATAGCGACGGCAATGGTCATAGCTCCATCCCTTTTCGTATCAACAACAGTTCCAGATGCTTTTTCTGCCGCCACTGATATAGCTGTAAGCTACACTTCTCTTCTGCTGGATGTAACATACGCAGAATTCCACAATTTATTCCCTACATACGCCGTTTGTTTCCACTCCCTATGGTTTTATGAAGCAAAGTTCACTGAAAAAATAGTATACAATGTGCAACAGGGAGGCTACTGCATGACAGTTTTGTATGGAGTTTTTCCACCAGCAATGGCTTGGGCTATGCTTTCTAAAAATAGTGGAGACCAGAATAAAAAAGCAGTATCTAAAGCGAGGCCAACACTAATCTGTGCAGGACTATTAGCCGGTGTGATACTCGTGGAGCAAATACTACAAGATCTCTCAATTTTGCCCTCTTAAAAAGGTTGCTGACAAAAAGACCAGAGCTGAAATTGCAAAATACAAAAACAGAAACTTCTGAAGTATTGTCCATTCTGATCTTTTATCATTCCTCCAAAATGAAATTCAATGCTGATCCAGAGAAATCATGTCTTCATCCATTTTGGAGAACCGGATTCAGAGAGTTAACCATGTTTTCATCCATTAGGGGATCCGAAGTGTTCAGATCAATTCAATCCCACAACTACTTATTTTTATAATGATATCGATCTTGTTAGCTATGTTTTCATCATACATCTCTTTCTTCCTTTCTCTTTTGGTATTTAAATTCCCCAACAGGGGCTTACAGTTAGGTTTGTAAATCAAATGACTAGGAGGGTGATTAAAAAAATAAAAAATAAAATTCAAAGGATTTATTGATACAAATACATCAAGAGTATACGTGTCTATCATTTCAAGTATCCGTAAAAGTAACACTTACTGATACAAAAAGAGAGTCATTTTTTTTTATTAGAAATGCCACAATGAACAAATACAAATGATAAATTACTAACATACAATTCGATGCCAAGGGTGCCCTTCCCTGGCATGATCATCCAAAGAAGAAGGAAATTGCTCAATTGTTGAAACACCACTCATCCTCCAAATTCTTATACCTTTACAGTGGTTACATGCCTCAGAAGCATTTGAATGACATCCTGGGAAATTCTTTCAGACTCACTTTTAAGGTGGCCGATCTTTGCCTCAGTTTCTTGTTCAAGTCGTTTCACATTAGCACCTGAATCTCCACTAGTCTGGTCAACAGAACCAATAAAGTCACATTCAAGTTCGAACATAAAATCAAATTTCAAGTAAAGTCATAATAAAAAAAAAAATGTTCAAATGAAGGGTTGCAAGACATCACAAATGGGAAATTTATCATGCAAAGATAATAAGAAACAGCAAGGGAAAATTATTCTCAAAAAAAATAAAAAGTGGAAATGAAATCATGAATAGCTAATCTAAGATGATAACAAGTGTGTCACCGTAGGGACCTTGGACCATAATATTGAACTGCACTTGAGAGGAAAATATGGAGAAGCTAAAAGCTATTTTGACCTTTATGCTTAAAACTTTAGCAACTGTGTTGGTAGTCCATTTATGTATCATCAACTAAATACACTACCCTACACTATTTTCCAATCTGTTTTTCTCTACTATTCCACAGCCACAAATCATGATAATTTCCAACAGCATAAAGTCGCTAAGCAAGCAGCAGAAAACAGAAAATTCATCGACAATAGAGCGTGGGTTTATTGAGCAGTATTAGCATGCTAATTATACATGAGGGGGACCTATGGTGGCTGTACATTCAAACAAATACCAGAATGGTCAGTGGCTGGGTTGAGTGGCATTTCTAGAAGGAAAAGAGATGACAGAAGAGATAAGAGAGGACATCTAGGCTTTTTACAGGAGAAGAGAGTGGAAGCAAAAGGCCAATATGTACACAACACCAAAAAGATCTATATCCACAAAACTCCAATCCTTCTTTTAGAACCAACATCTTACCTCAGCAACCTTTCGCTGAAACTCAGCTTCCATTTGAGCACGAAATTCAGCAATTTCCTTCTCAGCCTCATCTTTGGCCTGCTTTAGTCTAGCCTGTTTTGCTACAATAAAAAACACCATGGCACTATCAGATAAATGCAGAACACTAGTTACAAAGCATCAACGCCTTCAACTGCATTTGCCAGTGTGAAACATAAAAGAAACTAACACAGACTGAGTAACAGAGCTGATCATGCATTTCATCAAAAGGCATCTAATATCATCCCAAAATCATCATAAATTTTCAAAGTCATGCAAATTATTTGATCTAACAAGGAAATCAACAAACAACCTTTTACACTAAGCTTAAAAGTTAAAACTCTATGCTTCCATCACAACTGTCGCCAATGCAAAGTGCCAACACAAAGAAAGTAAATCATTACCAGATCTAGCCGCATTGACTATGTGTTGAGCTTCCTGCTCTGCTGCTAACAGTAATTGAATTCCATTTTGCCCCCTGTTGTTATCCATAATTATCAGATAAAACCTGATGCGTCTGCATCAACAATGGAAAAGATAATTGTAAGAAAAAATGAACTAGCAAGTCTCAATCTGTTTCTAGGAACCAAACTACTCAGATAATTGCACAATTTTTTTTACCAATAAACAATTTGGAGTTTCTCTATCAAGTATTTCAAAATAGGAAACACGTAGAAAGAGACAGCAAATTATATATCCAGTAGCCAATTAAGATCGCCCATGGACCAAGATGAACAGCGTCAAGCATCCTTAGTCCAATGATTTAAAGCTACCCACGGTCCTCAGTTAAAATTTTGCACATGCTGACAATAGAACAGTCACTCCCTCCACATACATCCCTTCTTCCTATATGGAAAACAGAACATTTGAAATCTAGTGTATGCAACATTCAATCTAGTGATGAATGAAACAGCCCAGACTCTGATTTAATTCCAAGCGTTCACTAGAACAGCACCTAGCAATCTAAAGGAATCGACCCTCTAAGCAGTACATACCAAAGATCAGCATGTTCAATCCACTACTCAATAAAGATCTCATCTTTACAAAGTCCTAATCGATAAAGATTCCCATTATATCAATACATCCTACAGAAAATTCTGCTTGACCGCAAAACGTGCAGAAATTTCTAATTCTGCTGAAAAACACCAAATTCCCATGTTTAAGTAATAATAAAACATGTTTCTAGATGCATCAATGAACATCTCCTCAATCAACCAACAAAAAAACACATGGTTGAACTAAAACATTCAGGATAGCAACAAAGCAAGAGGAGACCAAGAGGGTAGATTTTGAAGGCCAGAACAGATCAATATACAGAGATTAACTGATGCTGTAACCCCAGATCCAAAATTAACTTCATATAAGATCAAAACAACAGAGAGGAACAGGAATGATCTAAACAGGAACCAACAGGAATGGACAAGGATGTTAAATAGATGCCCAGAATCTATAACAGCAGAGGAGGAGAGAAGATGTGGATTGTAGAAGATTTTAAGTTAAGGAGAAGAAAATGGCGGATTTAGAAGTACCTGTAAAAGCGGGGTTAAGGCAATCAACCGAAGAGAGAGATGAACTGGAAGATCGTGTGTATTTTGGTCTTCTTCTGGTGAAACTGTTTGAGTTGTAGATGGACTTTAACAAGACACGTTGAAAATATATACAGTAACAGTAGTATGTCTTTGTCAAAATTCACCCGAGTCCATATGGGACTCAAAGTTAGAAGTTTCGACATTTTTAGTCCATTGTATAGGATTTGACAATTTAAACTCTTACTACAATAAAACATCTATAAATTAATACTCTTATGACCCTAAAAAGTTTTTAATTTATCAATATATTAATTTATCAATAATTAATAAGTATTAATTTATCAATAAATCAACGATTGGTTAATAAAATCTCCAGAGCAATTTTAGCTATTGTTATTAAATTTTGACTTAGTATGAAAATGATAATAATTCCGTGTTTTTTTAAACCAATTACACGTAATGAAACACTTAATGGGGCGATAACTTTTTGAATTTTTTTTTCTGTAACATAAAAGATCTACACCAGAACTTTTGAAAGTAATGCAAAAAATAAAAAATAATATCTCTTTAGATGTAAATTTCAAGAAAAAACCTATGTTACTAGATTCATATTTTACAGCTCCTAATTATTTTATAATGTTTTAAGTCATCATTAATTTATGATATTGACGGGACTTATATTTATATAAGATTTTTCTGAAAAACTATTATCTTATTATTTTATTAATTGCCTTTATTAATTTATAGATATTATTAATTTATTGATTATTAATTTATAGATGTTATACTGTATTTGAGAATCCAAAAATTTTATTCATAATATATATCCTTAAATTAGACTAATTATCATAGGACTTTCAATTATTTAGCAAATATTTTTATGAAGGAAGAAAAAAAGAAAGGAAAATAGTTTTAAAAAATACTTGATCATTAAGAAATGAGTGACAAGTCACGAGTGACATTATAAGAACATATTAATAGAAAAAAGAACGTCTCCATTGTCTTATAAAAATATTGATTATAATTAATGAATTAGTTTCATTTAAAATGAAATGTAACAATTTATTTTCTGTAAATCTATTAAAATGTTCCAACCATTAAGATGACACATTGTAAGAACATATTAATAGAAAAAGAACGCATTGTCTGAATAAGATTTTAGACTTTTAATAAATTGGTTTCATCTAAAAGGAGATGCAACAATTTCTTTTGTGTTGTAACATAATGGATGACAAGATTGATTTTTTTTTTTTTGCACATTGAAAATTCTTCAATTTATGTTTTGTCATTTTGTAATAGAAAGTGCCTATTTATAGTAACAGAGGAATTGAGTTAGGGAAAAATAAAATTAAAATTCTTACATAATAATAATAATAATAATAATAAGAAGAAGAAGAAGAAGAAGAAGAAGAAGAAGAAGAAGAAGAAGAAGAAGAAGAAGAAGAAATTTACATTTTGGATTAAATTTATTTGATATGGAATCTCAAGAAAACTATGTTTACTTGTTTCTATATTTTTTTTACCAGCAACAAATATGAGTCATTATTTATTTATTTATTTTTTAAAATGTGTCATTACTCCTACTTCATGGGTTAAACATTAAGATTGTTGAAAATTACTCCTACTATAAAAGTTGAATATGGAATTTGTCAATCTTGAAACGTCGAGGACTAATATAATCAAACCCGGAAGTAAAAGTAGCGATGAAGAAAAACTCAAGAATTTACCCAAAGTTGAAAAATTACCCCACGCGTCCTAAAACTGCTCTTCTCGTCTTTTACCGTTCTGCTTCCAGAAATTCGTGTTTGGGCTCAAGCAAAGACCACCAGTCTCACAGCTGGTTATCATCATCATCATCATCGGAGTGTTCGCCGGAGATCCTCTGAGGTAAAATAATTGGTAAAAGAATTTGCTCTTGTAAGATTGCTCATGGCTTTATATACATGAAAATGTTGTGGTCTGTGTATTTTAGCTGTTTCAATTGATGACTCTTTGATGAATGAGTTTCAGAAATCCGATCGCCTGCAGCATAAGAGCTTCACAACATCAAAGAGATGCCCAATCGTTTTTGTTCATGTAAGTTCTACATTAATTCATTGATCTTGATTGAAATGAGGCGTGTTTTTTTATTTATTTATTTTTATTTGGTAATATTGTTGGCGTTAATATGAATTTGCACAGGGAAATCCTGTGCGTAGATTGGATTTGCAAGTTGATAGCTCTTTTTAAAACATTTCGTTGCTGAATGATAGAATTATGTTTTTTCAATTTTATTCTCACTCTTTGGGGCATGCTTCCATGAAGTAAACAAGGCACTACCCATGAAGTGAATTCCGAAAGATCAATAGTTATATTTAGGCCTTCATGATTTGGAGCTCTTGATATTTAAGAGTAAACGATGGAAAAACTTTCATTTTTCATAGGGAATGCTCCTCAATTTGTGCAGTTAATGCCCTTAGGCTGGAGCATTTTTTGGTTGCATTTCTTTTTCAAAATTTTGGAGAAAATGTTAATAGTACAGTACAAAAGGTCATAGATCCACACTAAGCTGTGGGAAGTAAGTGCTTTGAATTGGATTCTCGCTTGTAAACTTGTTTACTCGGCTACAGAAATGTAAAGCTGCAGGATAGAGTTATGGGGAGGCAAAAGCTTTGATATGGAATCTTGTTTCATAAACTAGTTATGTGGTTATTTTGTGGAGGTCGTTGATCACTTGATGGGGTTGACTTTTTTCCTCTTGATATTTTCCTTCCTATACTTGTGCATCTGATTTATATCTTCTTCTTTTTTTCTTTTTGGCTGCTTGCATATACACAGAGATTTGATGAACTCTTCTTATTCAGGGTTGATGAAATTTCTAGCTCAGAGGAATACAGCTTGTTTTCCAGTCAATGCTCATAACTAGGAGAACATTAAACTAGGTATACTATTGGATACTGTTGAGTTTTTCTTTACTCTACACTGCAACTTTATGTCATGCATATCCTTGAACTGAACATTGATTTTCTTCTTTTCAGTATAATGTGAAATCTGTTTTCTGGAGAACATTCTACAATCTATCTTTTTATATGTACCTGGAAGTGTACCATATTTGCAACACATTCTTTTTGCAAAATAATTTTGGCTTTGGAGGTGCTAAACCTTTGGTGTATATAGATTAATCCAAAGTTTACATTCTGAATTCTATGCCTCCCTTTCTCCTTTTGTGTCACATCATAACTGCCATCCGAGCCATTAGCTTTTTTTTTTTTTTTTTTTCGGAGCCATTAGCTTATCATACTTATGTTTGATGGTTTTATGTTCTGTTTCTCCTTTGATTCTGCTGTAGCATTGGAACATCTCTTGTTCATAGAGTTTTCTCGTGAACATCTTGGATGACTTTGGCACTGCTTTGCTGTCCTGGCAATTCTTCTTTTTGCCACTGATCCCATGTTATTTCAAGGGTTCTAGCAACTGCTTTTATATGTTTACCTAGCGTTCACCTCAAGAATATCCTCATTATTTACTAATCATACTGGATTTTAGTCTTTTCAATTGTTCCTGCTCTGAGGCTCCTCATATTCTTTTTGCTGTTAATTTTATGCATTCAAGCTCCAACATTAATTCTTGTTTATGCATTCATATATTTTTATAGCTAATAAATTCACCTCCTAAAGGGGCTCAATATTTTGCAAGCCAGAGCTAGGGAGTTGATAAAACTACTCATTCCAGTCTAACAATAATAATAATATGCTCATTAGAATTCCCAATGTTGGCAAGTCTGCATTTGCAAATTCGTTGCATCAAATGGGAAGGATAAATGCAGCAGGTACTTTGATCTCTTGCTACGCTTATATTTGTAGGCATGCTTTCTGTCAGTTGATTAACTTGAGCAAGTATGCAAGATTCCTTTTCCTTTTTTTTCCTGAAATTGTCTAGTTTGGTCTGCTTCTAACCTCATGGGTGTGTTTTTTGTTTTAGAGAAAGGGAGTTAAAGAAAGCACGCTCTTGTAATTTCACAACCAACAGAGACAAAGAATATATGCAGACATATTAAAGGTGTGACTATTTCCATTATCTATGTATTCCTTCAAATTTGGGAATGCGGAAAGGATGCACAGTATTATCTATCTTCTTGCAAAAACAGTTAAATTTGAATCTGGAGCCTAATTGAGTAATATTTCTTGTGAAACTTTTATTGGGTAGGAAAGCTTTAAAACACTGAATTTTTTAGGGGCAAATTTTCTTCTCCAAGAACCAAAAGTAATTTTTGATTCTCAGTGCCAAGTTCAATGTATATATCTTGGGTCCTGCTGCACTTTTTGGCTTCACCTAACATACTGTAATGGTTTGTAAATTTTTATTGCATATCGCAAGTCATCCCAATATATTTGTGGATACACCTCCTGGTGGTATTTTACCTCCAGAGGACTACGATGATGAGTTGTGCTCCAAACTAGCTTTAACAGGTAGATTGCACCTTTTATGATTCAACAACTACAAAAAGCAGTTTCCGGTTGTTCAAGGACGAGTTGATGATCATATCCTTCCATTGCGTTCTATAAAGATACATTTCTGTTTAAGTGTATTACCTGTATTGTTCAAACTTTCTTTTGTTCTGAGATTTTGGTCTAGGTCATATTGTTCAAAGTAATCATTTAATGTTTCAAGTGTCTGTGCAGTATGAAGTTTGAAAATATGAACATTTATCAATGTGATCTGAGTTGTTTTCTCTTTCAAATGTAGGCGTGGAGCTCTCATGGATCCATTGTTGGGGAACTGGAACTAGCTTGTTATTTTCTGGCAATTGTTAACTTGAGCGAGGAATACTTTTAATGGGCATAGTTGTCTGCCATATGGGAAGTTGGCTGTTCAACTCATCTTCATGGAGATGAAAACTCTCACCTGAAAAAGAGGTAATGTGCAACTGATCATACCAAGATATTACCTTTGATGGAAATGCCTTCTTGATTATGTGTCCGTGAAGATGGAGGGAGAGCATGCTAACGTGCATAGAGGGTGGTGTTTCACTTGTAGTAAGCATCATATATATTGTTGTTTGTGTAGGAGGATATGGTTCGGATAACGTGCATTAGTGTTTGATAAATGAATGCATGCTGAGTGATCTGTTCTGCATTGCAAGGTTGGAGGGAGAGAAGAAGAATCAATGATTAAGAAACTAGTCAAAAGTTTCAATGAAAAACCACTTCAAATTCAAATCTTAATAGGCCCAGAAAACAAAAATTACAAACTAAGAATGTGTATTTAATTTTCGACATCAAATGTTGATTGTTGTTGGGTCATCATCGTCAGCTGGTGAATTCCAGACTAACTGGAAACGAATCCAGTGCTCAACATATCTACAGGATGTCTCGCTTGCGATCTTCAAATCTACAGGATGTTCCTGGCATGTCTCCCCATCCACGTGAACGGCACACCAACTAAATTCCTTCACGGAGCCCTCCTGATTCTGCATCTCTTCCAGCTTTCTTTGCAGACAACGACTGGCACTGTGTAAAGCCCATTTATCTGTTGATCTGAATGGCAGCAGGGTTAGAGTCTCAGGACGACAGGCCAAGAACTGACCGGCAAAACCCGTGAATGATTCCTCCAATGATAATATTCCATCCTCATCTGATTCAAATCCGCCGGGTCTCACTTCAATGTGGAGTGATATTTTGGATGGAGCTAAACTCAACAGCCTTTATCTGAATCGTAAGCTAGAGACACATCAGATTTCACTTCGGGTGAGACAGATTGGAAAGACACATCTGGCGATATTGCGTTTACTAGATGAAGACGGAAACGGATGAGGTTAGGGGCATTAACCGCCAGTTCTGCCAGCGAACCATTCTCCGTGAACTCGTTAAATTCGCTTTCGCAAAGCCATTGCAGCAATGGACCTCTAGGGCCTGTATATGTGGGAATTTTTCCTCGAAATTCTCAAAGAATCCTTCGGTAACAGTTGTGTACTCCAATTTCAAGTCATGCAGATATCTATACGGTCGGGACGCAACAAAATGCAATTGAGTCAACCTACAAAAACTAGCAATTTGGAGATTTGGTGCATCAAGTTCGACCGCCAAAATATTGCGACAACCATTTGATGCCAAGTTCTTTCAGGCAGGGGATCAACTTAGCTTGGTTCAAATCTCGGCAACAAAATATGCCCATATACTCGATGGAAGGGAAGTTGGTGATTAAAGAAGCAAAGATATCATTATCAATGGAGACTCCGCCACAGGACTAAAGTGTGGATGTTTTTGCACAAAATCTGCGCCTTCAACTGGGCCGGAAACTTGCAATATTCCAGGCTTAACATTGTCAAATCTTTCGTTTCAAGAATGCATTCCGGTATAACGTATCGAGGAGGAGAAGGCTTAATGTGAATCTCCAGTTCCCTGACTCCAATCTCTCGGAAGATCTTGATCCAGTTGTCCAAACGAGCTGCAGCAGCATCATCGACGTCATTCTTGAAATCCATGGTTACACCCAACCGATAAGGCAACGAAATCCCTCCAAACGTGTGCCGGCGCAGAGTTCATCAAGGTCCTCTAATTCATCCTCATAAAAGTGCTTCTCTGGGTACGTTACATACGCATCGGACCATTCTTGGGATACATCAAGCAGTTTTAGTTTGTCATCATCCCTTAGAAAAGAGATAATACGATGAAGAACGCCTTCCGGCAACGACCCGAATCCGACTGGGTTTTCTTCCTCTATATGTTACGACTCAAATCTCCAGCTCGATTAAAAAAAACTCGTGTTTGATGACTAATTGAGCCGTCCGTCGGGTAATCTCTCACGCAAAGACTTGTGTTACAGAACCAACTAAAATTTTACATTGTTACTTACTAATTTAAACAACGAATATTACTTAAAACAAAAAATCTTTTCAAGATTCTATACAAGTCAACTATAGAGATCACTCTAAACTAAAGACATCTTCACTAGTTATTTTCTCGTCCAATCTTTCATTAGCATAGTTCCTTTGCTAACATAATTCACCTGCTAATCTGTGGTGGAAAAAAAATGATGGGATGAGTTTTAAAACCCAGTGAATACTTTAGACAACAATTCCAAATCCCTCACACTCCATACGGTAATCGAGTCACAGACACATGCAATTATTCACATAATTCATTTTAGTTATTGTTTGTTTTATACTAACATCGTTTAAGTAGTTCTATCATTCTAATCTAATTACAGAATAGAATAAATGATTTTCAAGGTGAATTGTATTTGTAAAAGAACTATCAATCACACAATAACATATAAAGGATGACCATAACCGAGGCCATCAACATATTAACAAGAGGATATAGGTGGAGAGGATACATGTGGATCTTAACTGGAAACTGCCAAAGACTTATGTGGTCTTATAAGCCGTCCTCCAAGTTAAATTCCAAATAGGTTCAAGATTATTTAAGACAAAAGCAGATCATCCTTTACCCCAAGTGGCCACAAAACAAGTATTCGTAGTTCGTGCACGCCTACTAAAGCTATCAATAGTCTATCCATACGTCTGTACCCATCGCCGACCTGTTGGAATCGATCTATGGTAGCGAGGCCCCAAGACTGGTATGATAATGTACACATCCAAGTTTTCAACAATATCATGACAATTCATGCACAAGTATTTCCTTTACAAGACAAGTCGTGTCAATCAAGTATATCTCGGAGTGATAAAGTACACATCCGAGTAAAGGTGTCCAACAAATCAATTCAATTGGCATATATTTTTTTATTGCTCTCTTCCCATCATACAATTTGTGTCACCGGATCTTGTTGATGTCGGTTTGCTCTGAAAACTATATAAAGAACTATCTATAATAGAAAAAGGAGAATAAGTGTGAATATACCCGGAGTACTAATCTTGTTATTTTATGGTCACTCTAGGCTCCTAAATTTCATGATCCTCTTCCTCGTTATATCCTTTGAGACCAAAGCAATCGCAATGGTTCTTTTGGATCTTCCTCTACAGAATATAGAACAAACACAAAATGTATCATTAACATATCTGCAAATTAAGAGTCTAATAGCGATGTTGAATAATAACGATGAAATTTTCTGGCAGAACGCTTATCCAAATTTCATTGATAGAGAGGCAAAACATACATTTAAAGTTCAATCGTCAAAACTGTCTAAAACTTCAGCAACAATTAATTATCTTCCAAAGATCATAAGATGTGATCTATAGGTCGGATTTGAATGTTCTTTATATGGTTGCGAAGCTGAAAGAACCAGCTACAGTTTCTCTTAAGAATTTAGTCTCAAATTCTAACCGTAAACAGGTTAAAAAAACAGTAAATTTGGTCTTTAAGAACTGAAAATGTTGAAGTTCCAGCACGCATAGAATGAATAGTAACAATAAAGTGGGAATCAATTTGGCATGATTGTTGTACCCGAACTCATGGAGTTTGAAAAGGAAATGTGAGACTGGCATATCTTTTCATTGCCGTCGACTGATTGACTCCAAAAATATCCTAAAGATGAGAGATGTCAATCAATCCGGATTTATGATGCAAATAAATTGGTTGATTCTTTCTTTCCTTTGAATTTGAACACAAATTTTACGTTTTGGGATGATATGTGATAACAAATGAATGATCAATTCAATTCTCAATGCACAATGGGCTGGTTGCAGAAATTAGGGACATATTTAATAAGATAGTAGTTATAATTGAGGAGCATAATTTATCATACAGTAAACCTAATCGGGCTATAATTGAGCACCCACGGTTTTATTTGCTGAAGATTAATATCTGTTTATTTTTTATTTTTTCTTATCTCTCTGATTTGCCTCTCTGATTTTCCGGTTGTGTTTTAAGTTTTTGAATTCAAGTTTGATTTTGGATTTGATATGTTCCTGTGAATTTTTCCCTTTCCCGTTTTTGTTGATTTATTTTTGTGATTTTATTAAATTAAACTTCTTATTACTATATTTAAGTTTTTATTTGTTGTCTTTTCATTTCTCTGAATAGTTAGAGTGCCACGTGTCAAAAATAATTTTGTAGTGAAAAACACTTTTGGCGAGAAAATATTTAACGTGGAGCTGACACCTGCTTTTCTTGTATGCTGCTTTAATTTTGTGTTAATAGATAAAAGAATTCTTGATTTGGAGAAAATAAAATAGCTACACATTTGTTTTTTTTTCCCTTTGAGCCAAAAATAAAAATAAAAATAAAAAAATCATTTGCAAAAGGAGAAAAAATATTGAAAAGTAAAACGATGCAGAAATCATACAAAAGAATGTAGAGTAATAAATGGGATAAGTTTATGGGCAAATTTAAATGTTATCTTAATTTGATTGATAAATGATAAGTGTTAGGATTTAAAATTGTGTAGTTATTTTTGTAAAGTAGCTTTTGTTTCTCCGGATAAGAAGTTTTTCTTTTCTTTTAAAAATGAATGACACGTAGCAGAATGGTTAATGCAATATGGTGCATTTGAAGCTAAAATTTTTTAATAAAAAGTTACTCCCTCCATTTCAAAATAAGTGTCATTTTAGCAAAATGAAGAAATTTCAAAATAATTGTCGTTCTCACATTTCAATGCACTTTTTGTCAAAAGTTTCCAAAATTACTCTCAAAAGAGTTGATGCTATTGATGAACAATTTTATAATGGGGTTGGTTGAGGATATTCAAGTAATTTTATTATCCTATTTAAAAGTTTCTTAAACTATGTGCAAAGTGTAGGACGACCCTTATTTTGGAATGGAGGAATACCATATTAACATCATTTATTCTGCTTTAATAAGGTAAAAGGAATATATATATATATATATATACATAGATATTTTAAATTCAAATCCCTTTTATTAATTTCACTTGTTCTACTAAACTTTGCTCAAATTTTTCCATGATTATTATATTGATTATGAAGTGACAAATAATCAAATTTAAATTTACCCATATAGTTCGAATAATCAATCTCTGCTCGTTATTTTCTTCCAAAACTCTGCTTTCAGAAATTGGTCTTTCCTTTGAGCGAGACCACCGTTTAACATCTTCAAATCATCATCGGAGCGTTCGCCGGAGGTCACCTGAGGCAATACTTTGGTAAAAGTTTTACTCTTTTCTTTTAAAAAGATTCTCCATGGCGTTATAAAAGTTATGACACGAATGTTGCGGTCTGCATATTAACTGTTTCCGTCAATGCCTCTTTGAGGACTTTCAGAAATCGGAAGTTTAGCTCACCGAGGGTATAAAAGCTTCAGAACAGCAAAAAAGTAGCGCACCCATTTTGTCCTTGTAAGTTCCACAATCATCTCTTCATTCGATTTTCGTTGAAATGAAGTGAATTTTCTCAAAAGAGTGGTTTAATTTTATGCTTTAATATGATTTTGCACAGGGGCTTCCTGTAAGTACCATGGTTTTGCATACGTTAGTATGTTTAGTGCTATATTATGTTAATGAGGAATAAGCCAGCCCCACTACCAAGCCTTTAAAGCTACCAGGATTCTGGAGTGGAGCAAGCAGGGGTAAATGGTTTCCACAGTTACCAGAACTATCATTCAAAAGTTAGGAAATGCAGTTAAGAAAGTGGCTAGGTCCAAAGGATCAAGCTGGTGGTACACCCCCCACATGGCCGCTGCTACTCGAGCCATTGCTGAGCGCATTCCTTTGGTGGATTTCATCCTTGAAGTCCGAGATGCTAGGGTAAGGATATAGGTATCCATTAATATGGCATGTTCCCATCGATTGTAGGCGTTGTGTTCGATGAGATGCCTGATTAACTCATTGCTCCATTACCTTTTCTATTTTGCCTTTCTTTTTTACCCCCTTTTTTTTTGACATTGCATTTGTTCCGTGTCTATAACTGGTTGATGGTTGCTATCTACCGAATACCACAAACTTTAGTTGGTTCAAAATTTTGAGCTGGGCTATCCGAAATCAATTTCTACCGGAAATTTTTACATTTGTATTGTTTCATTTTGGGTATGGTTCTAAAAATTTCTTCTTGGGTTCGATTTGTAGATTCCATTGTCATCAGAATGCACCCAATTTGGTGGTCTTTTACCTTCTTCGAGGCACATTGTAGTCTTGAACAAGGTAGACCTCGCAAAACAATCAGAGATCAAGGTGACTATTCTTTCAAGTCCCTTTGTTGCCGAGTAATAAAAGTCTATATAATCGATTTTATTCCTCAGACTTTGGCTCATGTTTCCTTGAAGTAAACAAGGCACCACCCAATTGGATTCTTTCTTGTTAACTTGTTTACACGGTTGCGAAAATGTAAAACTGAATTATAGATTTATGGGGCTGTAAAAGCTTTGGTGTGGATTCTTGTTTCAAAACGAGTTATGTGGATGTTATGAGGAATCCACTGATCACTTGCGGGAGTCGACTTTTTTCCTCAAGATATTTACTTTTTATACTTGTTTGTCCGATTATTCTTTTTTTTTTTTTTTGGGGGCTTGCTTGCATATTTTGAGAGATTTGATGGACTCTTCTATTCAGGAGTGGATGAAGTTTTTTGATCAGAAAAGTACAGCTTGTTTACAAGTCAATGCTCATAACAAGGAGAACGTTAAACAGGTACTATTGGAAACTGTTGAATGTTTTTCTTTAGTCCGCACAATACTGGAACTTTATGTAATCCATATCTTGAACTGAACAAAAAGAAAAATTGATTTCTGCAGCACAAAATATAATCCATATATTGAACTAAACAAAAAGAAAAATTGACTCTTGAACTTTATGTAATTCATATCTTGCGGCACAAAATATATTTCTTTTTGCTAACTACTTTTGGCTTCAGAGGTGCAAAACATTTGGTGTATGTAGATTAATCCTTGTTTTTTTTAGCTTGAACTTATGCCTCCCTTTCTCCTTTTGTGTCACGTCATAACTGCTGTCTGAGGCACTAGCTTATCATTAATGGTTTTATGCTCTGTTTGAATCTGTTGGAGCTCTGGGATCATCTCTTGTTTATAATGTTTTCTCTTATGAATATCTTGGATGACTTTGGCGGTGCTGCTTTGCTTTCCTGGCTATTCTTATTTTTGCTAGTGATCACATCTTATTTCAAGGGGTCTAGCAGTTCTTTTATATGTTTACGTAGATTCCTTGCCATGTCAAATGACTGCAAACATTATCCTTTTGTATTGGTTCACCTCAACAATGCCCTGATTATTTCTTAGCCATACTGGACTGCATTCTTTCCTATAGTTGTTGCTCTTGGGCCTCCTATCCTTTATGCATTCCAGTTCCAACATTAAATCTTTTTTATGCATTCAAATATTTTTATAGCTAAACTAACCTCTTACAGTTGCTCAATCTTTTGCAAGCCAGAGCCAGGGAGTTGATTAAGACCACTCATTCTGGTAAAACGATAACCATAATGCTCATTGGAATTCCTAACGTTGGCAAGTCTGCTCTTGCTAATTCATTGCATCAAATAGGAAGAATAAGTGCAGCAGGTACTTTAACCTCTTGCTACTCTTGTATCTTTGGGTATGCTTTCAGTTATTTGATTGTTTAACCAAACTTGAGCTAGTTTGCAACATTCATTTCTCTTTTTTCCTGAAATTGTTCAGTTTGTTTCAGAGAAAGGGAAGTTAAAGCATGCCATTGTAAGTTCACAACCAACAGAGACAAAGAATATAAGCAGCTTAAAGGTGAGGATATTTCCTCTTATCTATTTATTCAAGTTTGGGAACCTGGCAAGGATGTGTGGAGCGCAATTTATTAATATTTGGGAATATATTGGGTATGTTGTTGTTCTTGCTAAACTTTTATTGGGTTGGAAAGCTTAAAAATAAAGCTGAATTTTTTGGGGCCACAATGAGAACCGAAAATAATTTCTGATTATTAGTGCCGTGTTCAGTAAATATCCCTTGGGCCCAGCTGCACTTTTTTGCTTCACCAAACATAATCATTGGTGTATTTTTCTTTCCAGATAGCAAGTCATCCTAATATCTTTGTTTTGGATACGCCTGGTATTTTGCCACCTGAGATGTTCGATGATGAGTTGTGCTCCAAACTAGCTTTAACAGGTAAATTGCTACTTATATGATTCAACAACTATAAAACTAGTATCCAGCTATTCCAGGACAAATTGATGGATCATATCTATAAGGCCACATATTTTTATTGAAGTGTACTACTTGCATGATCTCAGACTTTCTTTATTCGTAGATTTTTCATGGTCATATCATTCAAGTAATAATTTAATGCTTCAACTGCCTTTGCAGTTTTTCTCTTTGGAGTGGAAGTTTGAAATTATAAACATTTATCAATATGGTCTCAGTTGTTTTTTCTTTCAAATGTAGGAGCTCTCATGGACTCCATAGTTGGAGAACTGGAACTAGCTCGTTATTTTCTTGCTATTTTTAACTTGAGCAAGGAATACTCTAAATGGGAAAAGTTTTCTGCCATAGAGGAAGATTGGTGTTCAACTCTTCTTCATGGAGATGAAAAGCCTCACCTGAAAAAGAGGCAGAAGATGCAATTTGCAACTGATCATACCCAGGTATTGCCTTTGATGGCCATGCATGTGGCTTTTTTTTCCCATTACAGTAGCAGTCTTGAAGAACTTCAGATATTTTAACCCTTCAAATATTTTCAGTTAATCATTTCTGTCTTTGTGGTCGAAAAGCCATTTCAAGGATTAGCCATGTCTTTGTGCATTTTTACTTCTGACACAGTTGTCATAAGTTCGATTTATTTTTGGGTAAAAGCCCAACTACATCAAACAACTAAGTTGAGGGCATATGATAAATGATCTCAAACTTATATATATTACAGATATGGTGGAAAGCTGAATAAACGTTTGGGCTGCCTTTTGACATTGTTGATGTGTGAACAGATTCATATGTAGCTTTTGGGTGTCCTTTTTGATACTATTATTTATCACTATCAAATTCCTAAAAGCTCTATCTGTTCTTGCAGGATCTTATCGTGAATGATGTTAGACGAACTCTTTTTGAGGCAGTTTCATCTTTTTGTGGTAACCTAGAAGATGACAAGGATTTTTCTGAGCTCATTGAAGTAGAGTTCTCTATGTTACGAAGAGCATTTCGTGTTGCTCCTGAACCTAATGAGGATGGTTGTAGAAGAGTTGCCACTAAATTACTTGATTTGTATCGCACTGGAAGGCTTGGTCATTACAGTTTAGATACAATCCCAATTCCCAATAAGTTTCTGAGGACCTAGAAGAAATGTAGCTTGTATATGTTTACAGTTTTTGGCTTGGTTAATCTCTGCGCTCCTTCTTCATTGCGAAGAAATTGATAATGAGCTATGCTATGCACAACACAAAGAGAAGGTAAAAAAGGAGCCAAATGAATGATAGATTATTAAACTTGAGGCTTCCTTTTATCTTTTAAATCACATTTAGAACATGCGCTAAGCAACTATGTTGTTAGAGTTGCCCTTGTAAGTCTACCTGAAAAACAAAGGTAAAAAGAAGAAGAAGAAGAAGAAGAAGAAGAAGAAGAAGAAGAAGAAGAAGAAGAAGGCAAGAAGGGGACTACAAGGTCTATTGTGAACAATGAAGACCATGATTATGTACTGATGTAGTAACTGCATAAAAGAGATTGAACAGTTTCTGATCAGCTCAAGTCAAAAACTGTAATCAACTAGACGATTGAAGTTTGTTTATGGTGTTTCTTTCATGCTAGAAGTTACAAGTAATCAAAGTTGAAACATAGTATCACTTTGCTCCTTGGTCAAAATCCGGCTCACATAGGAACACTCCATCCCAAATGAGAGCTAATTCCCTTTTGGTGATTCTGTACACTCTACTTCCTTGGACTACGATTAAATGAGTTCGTCTTCCTTGGAAGGTGACTCTGCGTTAACTTCTTTTTTCAGGGTGGATTCATCCTCTTCGAGAATGGAACTTTCCATTGCAGATTCTTGGGACTTCTCTTCGACATGTACAAATCCAGACGACTCTTCCTTCTCATCTACTGAATTTCCAATGTCTTCCCGTTCAGAAGATGATGTCGAGCTCCTTTGTGGTGATGAGTCCCCCCGGCGTTTATGTTCAGGAGATGAGTCTGGACTTTTTTCTTTCCTGCTAGGTGATTTTGGGGACTCCTTCTTTGGAGAGGAATCTGCCGCCTTTTCCTCCTTTGTCTCATTCACATCTCTGACTGCTACATCATCGTTCCTCTTCTTAGAGACTTCCAAGGGACCAAGCTTCAATTCAAGATCCTTTATCAAATATGCTAAAGATCTTGCATCACGGGCTGCCACCAACCGGTCAATAGATGATAACTGTCGTCGAAGAAAAGAAAATACCATAATCTTTTAGTGTAGAATAAAATGAAGTCGATCAACTTTAAATTCAACACAGCAAAAACAGACAACAAATTTATCAGCTCCTAGAAAACTTATGAGTTGAATTTCTTGTAAACAACAAACTCAGACAAAGGAGAAGTAGAAGCAAAGAACATGTGAAATTAGTCTCTTTTTGAGACGTAATGAGCTCAGAATGCAGGCAAGGCTTAGAAGCTCTTAATTCTTAAAAGACAAGAGGGCTCACAAACCACGAGGACCTTTAGATAAAACTATCATGAAAGGTACTGGAAACACAACAATGGTAGATTGTAGACTCCATTCAACATTCTACTTGAATACTGGGGCCAGAGAGGTATAAGGCTCCCAAATTATCCTACTCTTTAACTGAAAATGTCAGCAGATGGTTGTTAACGTGCAGTACTTAAAGACAGACTTCCACAGACCTATTTCCGCACAACCAATGACTATATTATGGCAGAATACACTTACAATTGTTAATCCACACAAAAGAAAATCAGATCGGTTAGTTTTCAATTCTTTAGACTCACTCACCTTTTCCAGTTGATCGACCCTTTTATTTAAATCTTCAATTGATCCTTCTCTATGTATTTGTTGAAGAATGTAGAGCAAATGAGAATGAAGATGCTCGGAACGATGTTGATCAATTGTCGACTGGGGGATAACAGATTGGCAACCTACTTGATAGAATGGGCACTTTGTAAGTTTCATTGAACACATTGTTATGCAATGCCTGTCCATTTCACGTCTCATGATGGTCTCCGAGCACTTCTGTTCACAGGGAAGAATTTTGAAAGGACAAATTGAGTCGTGGTAATCAAATTGACCTGCACTAAATCTGGCATTACACCCCTCATTCATGCAGTCCATAATCCTGAAACTGCAATTGGAGAGATGATCTGCGAGCTCTTCTGGAGACTTAAACTTTTTATCACAGTGGTAAATGTTTTTGACATCAACATTCTTCACTAAAGTCTGTGAAACAGTCTCTCTCCTTCCAATCAGCCAAAACCCATTTAACTCCATTTCTTGGACAAAATCATCTATTCTGTCTTCTCTCCTCTCGCTTAACAGCCATCCAGATACCCTGCTAAAGAAGTTTCTTTTTGAACTTGCAAAGTCATCTATAAATTCTAAGATAATATCATCAGGGAGGTCAGACACTTCTGCATCTGGACCACCTTCAAGGACCACAGATTCTGCCACAAAATTTTCACTTCTTTGGAACAAATAGTCCACCATTTCTCGTCTTATATCAACAGCCACTGATCCAGGGGTCTTAAAAAGACCACCTATAGTGTTGTCAACACAGGCAGAGGCTAATCCAGGAAGTAAAGCTTCAGCTATCTTGTGAACTATTTCAGTGTCAAAGAGATCACAATGGAAGAGAGGACGTCCCTCTTTTGCTTCTTCAAGATTTTCAGGTTTGACTTCAACACCAGTTGCTGGCGGATCCATGCTTCAAACTGCATTTAACGCATCCCAAAAAAGGCTCTTACAAATATGCAACAGTGAAGAAGGCATTTACAAGTATGAGGGTATGAACTAGAGGTGGTAAATAACTAAAGGAATCTAATGAAGAAAACATTGCAGTTTCATCTAGGTCCGCATAACACGAAAACCAGAATACAGTTATGATACCTCACTTCTGTATTAGATATAGCAAAACACAAGAAATGATATTGGGAACTTGTAGTAGCTGACTCCAAAAGTTAACACGGCCTTGTACAATAAAAACTCTCTAATCTCATCATTCTAAAAATTACGAACTTGATCTTTAATGCCTTCATCAGATCCTTCAGTAGATTGAGAGACAACAAAACATCCTAATACATAATTTCAAGTACGCCCAACAGAAACTATTTTCCATATAAGCAGAGAATAAGTCAGCATCCAGGATGAAAAACAAACAAAGCCAGTGATCATGGTGAAAGCATTGGACAGATTGAACCAAACAAATCATGCAAACGATACCATTTGACATCACATCCGAGTGCAACTATGTACACAAAAAAATGCAGAAATCAGAAAATGTACATCCAAAAACAAAGAAAACCAGATATAATTTCGCTAATGGCCAAACCATACTCCCAATTAGAGAGATCCCAGGACAAGAAATCAAACATATTTTCCACCAACATTTTTAACAATATGGATCAGTTAAAAAAAAAAAAAAGGAAATGGGATTCAAACAGATCACAAGACAAACACGAATTGATCATGAAATGGGCATACCAATGTGGGGAAGTCAAAATTCAAGAGATGGGTTCAATCATTAGAAGAAAAAGTGGGGTATACCTGCAAAATTGGGCAGTTTTCTGGTGGAAATAGATACTCAAATTCACCCGTGATTGAATGGAAAAAGGGCCTTCCTTTTGTGTCGGAAATGCATGATTTCGTTATTTTGTTCATTCATTTTATAGTCATTGTCTTTTTTTGGAGAGAAGTCTGCAAAGGAAAGTGCCGAGTCTGCCCAAATCCGCGTTTTGTTTGGGTCTCGCTTTTATACTTTTTTTTTTTTACAAAACCCTTCAGTATTTGACAAATTTCATTTTAACCCTTCGTTTTGTTTGGCCATGCCATGATTTATTTCTGATAGCTCATTTAGACTAGCAATTGGGAATGATGGTGTGGCGTGGTGAGTAAACAAACAAATCAGGTCAATTTTACAAATGAAGGCGGTGTAAATACATATCTTTTCGTTTCAAAGTCGAAAGTCTAAATATAAACTGATTTTATAAGTGTGCTCAATCTTGGATTCACAAAAATTATTGAATTCATAAACTATAGCTCTCTAAAGTGCAAAAATTAAGAAAAACAAATTTCCATTAGAATCACATGTCTCACTAGAAGAAGTAATTCTAATAAAAAATTATTTTTCATAGTTATAAGCTAGTTAAAGTAAATCAGGCTTGAATTAGATGAAGGTATATAGGCTCACTTATCACCGATCCTAATGTAATATTCTATAAATTCTAATTTATGTTTTATGTTTAGAGAAAATCTTAGAAACTTTATACGGTAAATAGTAATTTATTGATATCAAAAATACAATATATGCTTTCTTTGTTATTTTTATTTTAAATTATATTCTCAATATTTTTAACCAATGTCCTAGTGGAAAAAAAAAACTCTTTTTATCACCTCTCTAACTTTTTTTCAAATTCATTTCACTCTAATTTCATTCTTCTTTCTATTCTAATTATAATGGACAAATTAGTATTAAATTTAATTCAAATTCATAATTTATAATTAGGATCAGATGGAGTAATAAAGATTTTCATTTAAAATTACGTTACGTTATATAAGAATGAAAATAAAAATTGTAAATGAAAAAACAAATAGGAATATTGAAGGGGTTATACAACAGCTCCTTGACAATTGGTATAATTCAGAAAGGTGACAAACTTCAAGTACCAAATTTGAAATATGATATTCCTCAAGGAGGTCTCGTGAGAATACCTTATAAAACCAATTTCCCAATTGGGAATTTCTCCCTGCATGACGATTTTAGGGATTTTGACCAAATTGCATCCTATCACAAAAAGGAGGGAAAAGAATTTCAAGGCAAAAAAAGCGAAAACAAACAAGGAATCGTCAAATTGTTCGGGTGTAACGTCGGGATCGGAGAATGGCGACGGCGACATACCCGCCTCCGCCACCCTACTATAGGCTGTACAAGAAGTATTTGGAGGATCCCTCCTCAGCTCCGGAGCCTCCCCCTCCAATTGAAGGCACTTACGTTCTCTTTGGAAACACTTATACTGTAAGTCAATCTTCAGTTTTAAGATCTTTCGTAACAATTGGATTATGCAAATGGGATGTTCCCCTTTTTGTTATCGTTTAAATTTTTTTTATCCCTTTTACTGGACTAGAGTGTCATGCTTTTGTTATGTATGTTGTAAAGTTGGGAACTTTTTCGTATTTTGGGATAATCTGAAGTGAGTGGGGAGTCAATGCGGTTTGCTGGCTTTGTTGAACATCGTTGGCACATTGCAGCAGAATTTCTGCTGCATTTCAGTGAAATTGGATAGTGGAAAGATGGGTATATTCATGAGGATTTGGATTTTGTAGTAACGGAAGCTGATACATTTAAGGATGATATCGTGAAAAGGTTGTTTTGTCTATTGAAACGAAGGGGTTTCTTCTCTCATGTGGAATTTTGTTCTTGTTGTCATTTATCAACCCTTAATATGTTACGAGTTTCGTGATTGGATCACCATTGCTTCGCTGAGAATCATCTATAGAGCTGGAAACAATTCTTCTTATTCGGATGTTTATAGTCGATTCATTTCCGTATCCAGGACATGGTCAGCCAAAGAAGCATTATCGGTTGCATCATCCAAACTTATATACTGTCTCTGCTGCAAAAGATTTTAAAAAATTATACTACTATTCTGCGAGACTAATATGAGTTCCTTTTTCCCATTTGCAGACTGATGATGTGCTTCCAAGTCTAGAGGAGCAAGGCGTCCGTCAACTCTACCCTAAAGGACCAAATGTTGGTACGAATCACTGTCCACTACTGAGCCTTTGTTTCCTCCTTGGTTTGGCTAATTGATAGGGATATCACAAATGTTTTAAAACTAGTATTGTTTCCCTCTTTGAAGATGCTACATTTCCAGAGTTTAGCTACTTTTTGTCATTATTGCCCGGCATCACCTTTGGTCATTAAGCTACTTTCTGTGCAATGTTTTTGTTGTTGGTTATCTGATTTAACTATAATTGCTCATAGATTTTAAGAAGGAACTCCGGTCACTCAACAGAGAACTGCAACTGCACTTATTGGAGCTTGCTGATATTCTCATAGAGCGCCCATCGCAGTATGCTAGGAGAGTCGAGGAGATCTCTCTTATTTTCAAAAACTTGCATCACCTTCTCAATTCATTGCGGCCGCATCAGGTAAACTTCCCTTGAGCAGTATCTATTTCCCCTCGCTTCTTTTTGGTTCACTTTCAGATATGCTGAGCATTTTCCTCTTTTGTTGGTGGGTATTCCCAATTGTCAGGCTAGAGCAACCCTGATACATATTTTGGAACTTCAAATACAACGGCGCAAACAAGCTGTTGAGGACATTAAAAGGTATAATGTTTCCAGTATTCTAGAGGATTTCAATTTTGTTCTTGAGGGAAGCGTAAGGCATGTTTCCGTTCAACAGTTTCATATTGCTACTGCATTGACCAGTAATGAACTAACAAGTTAAAATTTGAAGGATTGGACTGATTTGATGTATCCTTCATGTTTATCGGGTTTCTATTCCCCTTCTGAGTGTCATACGGTCATTTAACTTGACGATTTGTGGACAGTTGCGAACATATGACAAAGAGATTTGCTATTTTGCTTGTGCAGGAGAAGAGAAGAAGCGCAAAGACTTTTAAAGGAGGCTTTGGGCACTTTAGATTCACAGTAGTGACCAATGGAGAGAATGACTGTTTGGAGCATTTGCTGTGAAAATTGACTTCATCATAATTATTATTTTGTTCGGGGTCAAATTTACACAGTGCATGGGTACTCAGTGAGGTTTCCAGTCTGGTTCCATATAGTAGAGTGTTACGTCTGTGTTGTCTAAGAAGTAGGGAGTCAAGTGTATTCAGTTTAGTTGGATTTTTCAATGTAAAATACTGTTCCCTCGAGATGAAGTTCACTCTAATCGTCCAGCACGACAAAGATTTTTGTTTGCCGTCAATTCTTGTTAATGTATCTTTGATCCCCTCACCACAAGGCTTTAAGTTCATATATCTTTATATCTTGTGACACTATTCTTGTCAAACTTTCATCCTTTCAATCTCAAACCTGAAGTCTGCATGCTTTGTTTGATGCCTTCTCTATTATGTCCATTCAATCACAGTGTAAACTAATGATGCCTACAAGAAAGGGTAGAAGGATGCTATATCACTAGGTTCTTCCATAGTTACACCCAAGATCATCATTGATCCGAGGAAGAACAAATCTAAGTGTTAGAACCTTCGGTTAAGATAATCTTTATTAATCAGCAATTTAGTTAGTTGTTTATACTTTTAAAAGTAATTTTTAAGAAAGGATATATTTTAGTATTTTAGCTATGCTGTAGTATTTTCTGGAATAAAAAAAATAAATTTGGTGTTAACCCTATTTGTCTTTGGTTTAGCTAAGTTTTAGGCCTATACATAATGTAGTTCATACGACGGGACCTGCACTGTATAAAGTGAATGGTCTAGGAGAACTGCTGGAAAGATGGTGGATTGGTACTGGATCTGGTTCAGGTGGCTGTGCTTTATTCAATTGCAAGCCCCTTCATGACATTGACAGGATGTCCGTGGCTGGAGCTACGGAGTTGGCCAAGAGTGCATTGTGTATTGCAGCATATCGTGCGCCTGAGAGTGGTAGATTTGTCAGTGTTTTCCACATTGGAAGAGACGGGATAACACAGGTGGCCTCTAGTGATGATGTAGTGGAATGGCAAAAGCGGCGTTACAGTGAAGCTGACAAACTGTGGAAAGACGCTCTTAAAAAGTGCTCGCCTTTGCAGATTGGTGGCCAGAGCTCGCAGATTATAAAAGGTGAAGAGTAATGCAGCAGTGGTCTTTTGCCTCTTGTGGACCAGATATGTCCCCCTAGGTTTTATTACTTTTTGGGTGTATCCTCTATGGAGAGAGTATGGAGAATCTATATATTTGGTGCGTAGAGGTAGTAATTATGTTTGTGCTGTTATTACTTTTCTTGGAATGCAGAATTCTTGGAATTGAACTGATAATTTAACTAAACTCGTCTTGCTATGTTGAGACTGTGATGCCAAAGGTCCCAAGTGTGATTCCTAGGTTTTCTACCTTGTTTTCCTACAGAATTCTTTAATTTTTCCGCTGCGTTCTATTTTACAGTCAGCCTACAGTCTGATTTTCTTTACCACCCCGCTGGTGCGCAGTCATTCGAAAGTACCATGTGGATTTAACATTTAATCTATGGTATTTTGATTGGGGAATAAAACAAAATTTCGAGGTCTACCTCATCGTGAGAATTAAGTTACATAATTTTTCCTCATCCTGCCCCTTCCCCTTCCTCTATGTATATCTATTTATCCGAATTTAACATGTGAAATAACCTCTCCTAAAACCAATAACATAAGAAGACCTCGAACTCAAAGTTCATCCTTGAGATCGTTGCTGCTGCTGCTGCCCTCATCATGGCTTGCATCGGAACCCTTGGCTTCGGGAGTAGATGTGGCTGGCTTCTGAAGCTTAAAGGGATTAGTTGCATGCTTCTTGAGGAACTTGTACAATTCTACCACAGTGCGGTCTCCGTCAAAAGTAATCTGTGTAGAGAACAGGATCATTCTCAATCAGCTGGTATTAAATATTGATGAAAGAAAAAAAAAAAAAAAACATGGAAGGACACATCAATAAACATAGCAGCAGCAAAGGAGAAACTAACCGGATCAAAGCTTTTATTGCCAGCTGGGAAGAAGAGAATTGTTGGAAACCCATCAGGCTGCAGAATTAAAGGCAAAAACACAATCTATTAGTGCGGGAATTGGAATTGTTCAAAATGAACAATACATTGTACATGGCATGACAAAGTTCACAGCAGCAGTTTTGTCCTGCATCATGTCTCAATTAAATTTGTCACAAGAGAGCAAATGCTTTCTGATGTCCCTAAGTTTCAGGAAGCCATTATTCCTACTAAGCTTGAAATAAGACCCAGCACTTTCTCTAACCAGAAGAGATTTGTCTATACAACCCAACCTCGAGGGACATAAAACAATATATAGTAGTAGAAGCTTGTCCAAATTTAAGATACCTTTGCCCGGTGGTGCTCATTTGTGGTTCCATCCATCTTGGCAATGACTAGTGAATCAATGCCTCTCAAATGTTTTCCAAGTTTGTTGTATGTAGGCTCAAGTGCTTGGCAGTGCCCACACCATGGAGCGTATATCTAACTCAACCCCAAACGCGGACAAAGAAGCATTAGCAGATATTTTTCAAGTCAAAATTTAAAGTCCTGGTCCTAAAGTAGTAGCAGCAGAGATTTACTACCTCTAGAAGAACGTCTTTGGACTCATCCAGGACTATCTCATCAAAGTTATCACCAACCACAATTTTGACATCCCCATCATTCTGCATCAGTATCACTATAAGATGTTTGCAACTTACTCTAAATCACATTCAATTGTGAAGAACTACTCAAAACTTACCATCTCTGGAATCGGATCCGATTTGAAGAAAGGCTTAAGATCATCTTGCAAGAACTTCTCCCCAAACAACTGTGATTGCAAACAATACAAAGGAAATAACATGAGATACATAGGTGATTGATCTATCATGGAACCAAAGCTACGCTTTTAATATATTAAAAGCTTCAAGCCAAATCGAAGACATCATCTACAAGGAACGTAAGAACTCAGCGAACCTTGATACTGCTCAGGGTCAAATCACCATCCAATTTGAATTTCCTAGCATCATCATTTCCTGTGTACGCAATAACCTACAAAAAAGTATCGATCAATAACGGACAGGATAAATTCTGCGAGGAAACAATTGAAAACTTTCCAGACTAGAGGAAGCTTACTTGTGGAGCATCTCCTTGAACACCAAAGTAGTCTGAAACTGGTTTCCCAATGTCCTCATTGTCCTTTTCTACATAAACAAATATAAGCTGCAGAGCAAGTCAATATACTTTTCAAGCTAGTGAAGTATAACAATAGAAAGCATTAAAAATGAGCAATTTCAAAAGCGTAGCATAAACCAGAATACACCAATGATTATTAATTTTAAAGGGCCACAAAAGCAGAACAAACTAGACTTGCAGATTTTTCTATTGTGAAGGATTTCTTGCATGCTAGATAGTCTTCTCCTTTCGCCAGAGCAAGGAAAATAACAGAAATCCTCCATTTACAGAAACCATATGTGCCATTAGTCAATATGCTAGATGGTTGCCAAATTACCTTTCCCTTGAAAGCTTTGGCAGACTCTTCAAATATGGGTAGAATCTTTTCTGAGTCGCTTGAAGTGGTAAATAGTATCAACTGTCCATAAAATAAAATAAAAAGAAAAAAACTGAATGAGTTGAAATAGAAACTCAAGAAACCAAAAATTGAGAAAATCAACGTTGGTGATTATATTACCTGTTTCTTGATTGGACTCTCAAATATAAGAGGAGCATTTTCACGAGTGAAATTGGTGACAAGAGGCAACTTGTTCTTGTAGACGAAATCGCTGATTTCCACTTTGGTGAACTGACCACCTGCACAAGCAAAACTTAGTGAAGCCATTTCCAAATCTAATTCCTAAACATAAAAAAAGAAGTTAAAGAACCCACCGAAATGATTTATCTTTTCTGCTTCTTTCTTAATGAGGACCAAAGCTGGGCGCTTGGCTTGTGGGTCAATGTGGAAAAGCTTAGCAACATCAGGATTGGATGTTTGATAGAAATTTACATCTTCTTCAAGTCTTGAAGCAGCAGCAAGTTCCTCACTTGAGGAGCCCTGAAAATGATGAACAAATATTTTCAACAACACAAAACTATCACATATCACAAAGTACCATGAAGCTTAACATTGTTATGTATAGCTAATTTGCCAGAGCAAAGCGGTCAAAATCACTACAATGTACGGAAAAACTTTTTGTTTTCTAGATACCCTTTCCCGTCCACAAAGCGAAATTTGGCTTGAAAGAAATAACACAGATAATTTGATACAAAACCCAAGTATGACAGAATTTCAGGGCAGTAAAAAAACAGTAATAAGACATCTCAAACAAAAACAGAACACATAAAGTGATCAAACCAGAAAGCTAAAGAATTTATTTACCACAAGAGCATCCAGAAAGCCCAAAACAACTTTCCCTCCAGCAGCCAAGATATTTGCTGCATCCTCAGTAGTAGTAATGTTCTTCAAACCAGGTCCAGTCTTCTTCTTCACCCAAGTAACAATGGAATCTCTGAGCAAAAACCATTCTATTTAAGTGACCATCCCAGGAAAATTATCACTCTACATAAATTCAGATACAAATGAAAAATCACCAGACAACTGGACCGAAGACCCAGAAATGCACTTCACTTAATAAAGATGAAATTTCTCAAAGGCCCTGCTTCTTTATTGAAAAATTAGAAGTTACAGAATGAAAAAGAATCAACAAATAAAGTCACTCACTTGGTTCGTTGACCGGTATAAGGCTTGTGAATGCCCTCAACAAAGAAGTAAACAGTGGGATACCCCTGAACCTCATACTTCTGAGCCAATTCACCGTCCTCCGTGGCGTCCACCTTCGCCAGCACCACCTTCTCCTCCTCACCCTTCAGCTCCGTCGCGGCCGCCGCATATTCCGGAGCCAAAGCCTGGCAGTGGCCGCACCACGGCGCGTAGAATTCCACCATCACATACTTGTTATTGGCTACGAAGTCACTGAAATTGGACTCCTTCAAAACCACCACATCCTTCTCGTCCACCGGAGGCGGCGAGTAGGAATCGTGGCCGTCTTCCGAAGAAGCATCGGAGCCGTCGTCGTCTTCGAGATCGTCGTAGTTCTCATAGTTGTGGAAATCAGCATGGGAAGGAGCCGCCGGAACTTCTTCCGCCTCCTCGAGAAATTTGAGATCTTCGTCTTCCTCCGCCGCGGCAAAGGTCTTGAAGCTGACGAGGAGGAGGAGAAGGATCGAAAGAATCAGCTTTGATTTGATTGCCATTGCTTTGCTCTTGAGAGAGTGGACGGAAGAAAGAACGAAACGTACTTGGATGTGTGAATTTCTTTCTAGTGCGTGACTGTGTGTTTTATTACAGAGATTTGAGTTGGCGGAAGCGCAGGACCGGTAGGGTCAGGTGGACACGTGGACATACATGACTCGGAGGTTACAGAAGAGGAGGAATGGGAGATTGCCACGTAGGATAAATGTGTCACGTTGGGCCCCTTTGGTGACTCTACTTGTGTCCGGATGTGATTGGTAATTTGTGGAAAACTGGAAATTGACTACTGATCCTGACTTTGACTGTATGACTGACTGTGTGTCTGTGTGTATTAGGAATTGTCCGGAAAACCGGACTGCGGCCGCAGCCGTGGCGGCTTGACAATGCGGTGGCCGGGGGAGGAGGAATTATCAGATACTTTGCGGGTTCAGGAATCAATAGATGCGCGTCAAGTAGAAAAAACAGTTTCTTTCTTTTGTAAGGGTTTCGCTTTCTTTATTTATGTAGACAGTAGAAACAGGAATATCAAAGTAAAAGAATTGAGGAATGAGGGAATCCAGTCAGTGTAATTTCTTTAACTCTGTGCATTGTGCAAGAAGCGGCAACTCTATCCGAATTTACATTACATTCACCGGACGAATTCAGGTGGAAATGCTGCTCCTTCAGCTAACTCTTTCTTTATCCGTCTCATGATTTCAGAAACCTGCATGAATGTTAAGTCTAACATTAGAAAACTGTTCATAGTTTTGAAAGTAAAGGGCCCTTTGCTGTATGTTTTACTTTATTTCCTAGAAGCTTGGGTAATTGAATGTTTGCTCAGTGCTCACCCCAAAGTTTTGTGACAGAACAGCTGAATTTTGATGCAGAGTGAGGTATATATTCTGAAGGAGGCAGACAAGTTTATCCACCTGATCTCCCAGCAAATCAACCTATACAACCAAGTTGAATTCGGTTATTGGCCCTTTGAATCGCTTCCAATGATTCAGTACAAAACATCAAAATTATAAGGAACTGAGTTCAAAGGTTAATGGATGATTGTGCTTTCAGCTACCTCAGTTTCAGCTAATGATAAGTTCTCACATCTACTTATGAATGCCTTCTTGTAAATCAATTTCTTTTCTCGCACCCTGACCGCTGCTTCATTTAATGCGCTTACTTGGTGCTTCAATTTGTCCATCCTGAAAAAAGATGTTGAAATTCTGATTAGTTGAATCAAAAAAGAAGTTTCATTACTTGACATATTCCAGCATCCCTGCATTTCAGTTTTAGATGATTGCAACCAAGTATTTCTCTTTAATCACGGTATACAAGTTACTTTAGTTTCTGACTTATCCAGAATGCAGCCCTGAGGCTTTCAAGAGTTCCACTGCTGGAGGATTTTCTCATGTTCTTGTTAGAACTCAGGAGAATTTTTTTTGATATGAGATCCTATGCTTGCTGCGAAAGTGAAAGCTTCTATTACTAATGCATAGTACCTTGAATATTTCGCCTCCAGCTTTTTGTGTACCATATGTTCAAATTCCATAAAAGCTTGCTGAAAATCAATCAGGGGCAGTAGGGTGATAGTTATATCCTGTTGCAAACCATCATCTTGTTCTGGTTCCAAACTGAACTGTTGTTTTCCGGCTTCTTTCTCTATTTGATCCATTTCAGTAAGATGATCATTTTCTTTTGAGACTTCTATTGTAACGTCTGGATTATACTCCTTATTTTCTGAAACTGCCTTGCTGCTAAGCAATTGCTGAACCGAAATAACTTCTTTCTCGCTTTTGATCACAATGTCATGCTCAGAGACCTCATCACATTTCTCATCAAACTTCATTATCTGGCCACCTGCTCTTTGTCTTCCAACCTCTTCATGATCATCGGACAATGAATTAAACTTTTCATTCAGGTCAGGAACTTCCAATTCAGTATGCGAACTATTTTCTTCATACTCTTTCATCCTCTCTGTTGTTTCAATTTGTTGAACCGTGACATGGAGGAATTCTTTCGTCATTTCAGCCATGAACAGCTGATAAATGTCCTCCCTTATAAGCATTTCAATCTCCAAATCAATTTTCTCTGATCTCCATCTCATGAAGAGCCCTCTTAAGAATACAGCTTGGATTTCTTCCATTAAAGTGACACAACAAGAAAAATTAGCCACTTCCATTTCAAGGCGGCATTTATCCTGTTTACTAGATTGTTCAATGCCTTTAATCAACTCATTCAGAATAACTCTTAGAATCTCTTCCTCAACTAGGCAATCTTCAGCTTTGCATTCCATTTGCATGTTCCATTCCATTATTGTTTCTAGGAAATAACGTTTATGTACATCCTCCCTGATGGAGCTCTCCAAGTAATCCTGTAGAAAATCATGCCCAGTTTCTTTTGCTGAATTGCTGACCTTTAAGCTGAGACAGTTGTTATTTTCTGTTACTCCAAGGTCATCTTGTCCATCAGCCATCGAAACTCCAATACCATCTTCAATGGAATATTTCGTTTCATTATTGAATTGCTCATCTTTAAGGTTCTTCATTGAACCTCGAAACACAAGCATGTAGATGTCCTCCATTAACGAGACTTGCAATTCAAGATCAAATCTTTCTTGTCTAAGTTTTTTCATTTCATCAGCTAAATCTGCACCAATGCCGACATTTATGTCTTCTGTAGCTTTCGAATCAGAATTAGTCGCACTCGCCTTTAAAACATCAGTATGCTTCTTGCCTTCTCTCAAACTATCATCCCACTTGATAAGCCTCTCCAGTACGACAATAGCTTTTTGAATCCTACTTTCCAGTTCATCATGATCCTTTTCTCGCTTAATGGATGAGGACCCCTTTCTTTTAAGGAGTTCCAGCGTCCGCTGATTCCACTCCTTGCGCTGCTTCTGAATAAACGATTCATGATTCTTCACCAACTTAGCTACTTTTCGGCTTACACTATAATCTGGATCCTCATTTGGAGGCTTAGTTAAAAAATCCGGCAAAGGTTCACTTGTTGTTCGCTGGAGTGATGATTGAGGAGCTGGCATTTCTTGCAAGCCCTGTTTCTCCTCTACCTTAATTTGACTGCACAAAGCCTTCAGTTCTTCATGCAACACTCTTATATTATTGATAAATTCTTTGAGTTTCACCCCAGAGAAGGCAAGAGGAAAGGAGCAGTCTCGCTTCTCAAATTCTGCTTTAAACTGTTCTTTACTGTCAAATATGAATCCATGTAGCGAAACAAGAAGCACGTCCCTTTCGATGCTCCATTTCCATTGCTTCTCCAAAGGGAACACCTCAGCATTTTGCATCCTTCCAAAGGCAAGATCTAAAGTTCCTTTCAAAATGTCTATATCAGAGCTCATCTGCTGAATCATGGCATTGTTCTTTCCAGGCTTCAATGAGCTACTCAGCGGCTTGATTCCTGGAAAATGGTTCAGAAGATCATCACCTTCCATGAATTGTGAACCCAAATTTCGGTTGTTTTCCAAGAATTGGAAATAAAGTTCATTGTCCGAAGGACAAGAAATCGAAGCCCTTCTTCTCCTTGTTGATGAACTCTTTTTATGCTCACCCTCCAACCTCTGTTTGATGCTCAAAACCTGCTGATCCACTGAGTTCTTCAAATCACAAAAATCGCCACCATGAGATTCATCCTCGATTTCTTGATTGCTGGGTATGAAGTCCTGCAAATCTTGACTCTTGGCCCTTTCAAATTCTAGTTTCTCCTGCATATAGAGCAGCTCCCTCTCATTTAATTCCAATGCATGTCTAAGCTTTAACTCATTTTCTTCCCTCTCCAGTAATTCCTTATCTTTTTCCACAATCAAAACCTGCATTTCCTCGATTCGCCTGTGAAGCCAGTCTTTGATCTCTGTCAAGTCGGAGAGCATCTTTTCACGGCTTGTCTCGAAAATGTCTGCCTCATCTTCAACAATGCTGAGACCACCATCCACTAGGATAGCTGCTAATTCATAAAATTTGGATCTCTTGTGAAGAAACTCTATAGGTCCATTTTGAGATTGCACATTTTCATGTGCTTTATCCATGGCTGATCTCAGAAGCCTCATAACTATTGCATCTGACTTTGATCTGCAATCAATCTCTTCAAGGAAATCATCCATTACACTATTCTTTAAAATGGAAACTGGCCTGAAAATTGTCAAAAAAAATAGTGACTGTGATCCTATCTAGTTGGTACTTGATAATGAAATTGAAATGTAGATAAAGAATTTGTATTATTTCTTTTTCTAATGGCTTCAGACAGAGTTCTAACATTTGTGCTAATGAAATTTGAGTTTGAAGGGAAAAAAAAAAAAGAGTAGTCTCGCTATTTTGTCTCCCAAAAACATGGAGAATAGGGAAAAGACACATTCCAAAGTGTTACATGGGCCAAGTGTTCGTATAATGACACTTTTCATACTTAAAAATAGGAATTCTTCTGATCAATTACATTTGAACTTACCAATCTCATAATCATAATAATCGTTAAAGAACTTAACCTTGCATTGATTATGATTATACAAAAATATTCGGATAAATTTGTGTCACATGGTTGTAGTACAAAATAGATAGATTCGGATTTGGGTAAAAAACTCTTGTATTCGTGGATTAGTCCTCAACGCAAAATCTTCGTTCTATCTTTGTCCACATTAAAATTCAGCTTATTTTGTTAAAACTTTCAGTATGTAACAAACGTGTGTTACTAGCTACGAATCTCGAAATGGAAAAACAAAAGAACATTTACGTACCAAAGATTACATTTCAAAACTAATTAAAAGGAAATCACTAGATCAAAGATGAAGGAAAAAAATTCCTTTAAAACTATAATAAGGTATATATCACAGTATAAAATGTGATTTTCATCTCATGAAATTATTATAATTTTTTATTATATTTTAATGATCATAAAGAGATAATAGTAGTAGAATTTAGATAATAGTATATTATATTATAGGATGACAAAAAATTAACATTAAAATAATATATTAATTCCCATTAAAAGCTACCAATAAGTTCACGTACAGTGTCATATGGGCAACCTACCTAACCAACCAATCACTAACATTTATTTTTCATCCGTGACAGTCTCCACCACCACCTCAGGACGCAGCGGCGGCGCGTTCCGCTCTAGTCTTAAGCCACTCCACAACATCCCCAAACACGCGCTCCACGTCGTCGTCGGACTCTCCAACCATCTGGTGCCACAGGCCGGAGTACAATTTCATAGTCTTGTCTTCACTGGCGGCGCGTTTGTGCAGATCCTCCGCGCAAGCCGGGTCACACACCACATCCTCGCCGCCGTGGACGATCAGAAACGGAACCGTGATCTCACCGAACCTCCCCTGCAGTTCCCGGCACACCCTCAGCAGTTCCTGAGCCGTGGCGGCGCGTGGCCTTATCTGGGGTCTTTTGGGGCTTGCCAATGCCAGTTTCCTCTTCCACTCAACCTTCAACATCAAACAAAAAGACCGGAGATTTGATAGGAAAATTTTCGGAAAACATCAGGAGAAAAAAAGAAGAAAGATTTGAGACAGAATATTGACCTTAAAGGAAACGTCAACGATTCTTCCACGGGTGGGGACGATGGGCCACGTCGGAATCAACGCCGCCGCAATCGAAAGAAAATGCTCCAACGGCCACGGAGGCTTAAACTTGTCACTGACACCACACATGGCTCCGTTCAAAACGACGCCGTTAAAGGGCCGTTTCAAGTCCTTCCGGAGAGTGATCAGAAGCGCAATCGCCCCGCCGAGGGACTCGGAGTAGATGAACGACGGCAGGTCCGGCGGCGCGTGGCGTTCACGGAACGAATCGAAGAAGCTGATGCAGTCTTCCACGACGGGGTTAATGTCCGGGATGTGAGCCTGAAGCCCGTCGGAGTAGCCGTGACCCTGATGATCGATAGCGCAGACGGCGAACCCTTGTTTGGCGATGTGTACGGAGGTGAGCTGCACGAACCAGCTGGACTCTCCGGTGAAGCCGTGGATGACGCACACTACTCCGGCGATGGGGTTGGTTTGGGGAATCCACCATTGGGTGAACAGCTTGAGGCCGCGAGGATTGGTGATGTAGTCGGAGCCATGAGTGACGAAATGGTGAGCGTAGAATTCGTCCGGAGTCAGAGACCCAAATGGGCTGTTCTCGTTCGCTTCCGCCACCGGATGCATTTTGTGGCCGCGGTGAGAAATTATTCAACCCAATTGGATTGAAGAACAGAAAAGAAAGAAAGAGGAGAGATGTTTATTATGGGTGTGGCCGTTATTGAGTGGCAGAGTGCATGAGCAGAGTGGCAAATAATTGGATTGGGAAATAGGGTAGACCCAGTTCGTACCCGGTGGGTTGGTGGGGACGGAGCTTCGTCTTTGAAGTAATCGGATCTTTTCTCTTTTCTTTAACTTGTTGAAGATTATGTAGTTGGTCGTTGGGTAAGGACATGAAGGGGGAAATGATGTGATATGATGACGTGTATTAAATGATCTTCTTGTTGGAGCTACAAAATATATACTCCCTCCGTCTCATAATTATTGTCTAGTTCTAATAAAATGAAATGTTTTATTTTTTGTCAAATTTAATTATATTTTACCTTAAACAACCGAATATACTCCTACATAAGTAATTATTTAACCACTAAAATTTTATGGATAATGTTTTTTTACTAAGGACAAATGTGTAACTTGATCCATAAAAAGTCAAATTGGACAACAATTTTGGGACAAAAAATTTTTTGGGCAAAGTGGACAATAATTATGAGACGGAGGGAGTATATCTCAATCCAATTGATTCAAGGAGGTTGAGAAATACAGGTAAGCATTTCTCTTGTTCAATTATATCCACGTCTCCATTGTTCAATTATCATTTATGGGTGTGTTAATGTTTCATAGTATTAGTTAGTCCTTTTGGATACTCAAAATTTTGTTTTCAACTCTCATGTTCAATGTTTGTTGGTATTGAACTTGTTTTTGTTTGAGTTTAATAATACACCCATTTTCGTCTTCGTTGCCATTGTACTCCACAAAATAGACTACACAACACAAATCCTTGTTATCCCTACAAAGAAATGGAGATTAATTGCACACTCATTAAGTTGTCCATTGATATTTAACTTGTATAATCTCTTATTAAAAAAAATTAGAATTAAAGATTATGAAATTGTAGGTATAGCGAATGGGAAGTTGGATGAGCGGTAGCACCACCCTTGCTCCAAGAGGAGGTTATGAGTTTAATTCCTCACTCCAAAAAATGAGGAGTTGGTTCCACTTTGCCTATCGACACCTCCAGGGACTTATTATGGCTAACTCACTAATGAACCTCCGATTTCGCACCCAGACATGTCTAGGATGGCTTACCTCCCACTGTAGTTTGCAAGCTATTACAGTGGGTGTGGACTTACCCATCTCTGGTTGGGTTCCCGGCGTTATAAAAAAAAATAGTAGGTATATAAGTCTTCCTCTTATTTTATCATGAATTTTTTGTACTTCAACTTGTCACATGGACATGGGGTTACATTCCACAAGTTTCCAAAAAAAAAAATCAAAAAAATTTTCTTGCGGAATTATAAAAAAGTAGTCATTGGGATCAAAATTAAAATTTTACTTATTCTCTTCGCATTAATTAAAGAAAGAATTTAGGACCATTCTCCTTCATTGTATTCATTTTTTTTCTCCAAAAGAATGTTTATTATTTAGTTTCAACCTTTTCGGCGGGAATGGAGGATGAATTGTGTAGAAGATAGGTAGATCAATAAACCAATCGTAACAAATTTCCTAACCAAAGTAGAGGTAATGAATGGTATCCTAAGAAAGTGCAAACATTTGAATCAAACAATTGACTCCCAAAATCTAGAGGGGGTCAAAAAGACTAGAAAAAATCGGTCCTTCTATTTTTCCTCAAAAATGGCTACCAACGCAGAGATATTATCGGGTTCTTAATGTTTTTTAACTCCCATAGTTTCATCCTCAAGTCAAACAAAAGGACTATGTTGTTTTACCAATTCTACTTGTGGCTAATAACAAATCGTTTGCTCTAGAATAATTCCCTATTCTCACACATAAGAATTTGATAACAATAAAACTAGAATTTTTTTTTTTCCAAAAAGAAAGAAATTCAGGGAGTAGTTTTGGTTTTCAACAGAGAAAAATCTGAGAGAAACAGATGATGATGATGATGATGATCATCCTAATTACATAAATTTGCAGAGAGAAGAGAAAAGAAAGGTAAGAATAAAAAAAAACAAAAACCAAAAGAAGAATGTCATATACTAAAGGAGGCAATGCAGGAAAAAGATTAGGCAGAAATGGGCTGATTGCTGTTGCCATTGACAAGGATAAATCCAGTCAGTATGCTCTTAGATGGGTTGTTGATAATCTGCTTGTTAAAGGCCAGACTGTGATCCTCATTCATGTTTTGCACAAGAACTCAGCATCAGGTAATCTTTGTCTTTTTTTCCCTTTGAATTTGTCCTAAAAATGCAAACTTTCTTGCATTTGACAATCTCAATCTCACTGTGTTTGTTTCTAAAGTTTCTTCAAAAGGCCATTTTCGGAAGTTGACAAAATAGATGAAGCATGAACCACAGTGTGTATTAGATGTTAGCTTTGATGCTAACTTTCATCGATTTTTGTCCATTGCGTTTTGATTCTCAGTGGATTGAAATTAGTACACATAAGAACTAAATACCCGGATGAATGCAGGTGGAAACACGGGACCAGTCTATGATCTTAATGTAGCAAATAAGCAACAGCTCGAAAAGCAAGCTAAGGAGTTGTTCCTTACCTTTCATTGCTTCTGTACACGAAAAGATGTAGGTTCTCCATGTTTTGTTTTGAGCCAAGAAAATATTTGTTTTGTTCTTCAAGCTCTGATTTCTCATCCTTTTCAAATATCTTTTTGTATTTTGGCAACAGATACAATGCTATGATGTTACTCTTGAAGACAATGACATAGCAAAAGCCATAACGGAGTACGTTTCTCATGCAGCAATCGAGAATTTGGTGTTTGGCTCATCAAGACATGGCTTTATCAAGTGAACAACCTCTTCTTCCTGAATTTTTCATACTGCCTTCATTCTCCCATGTTTTATGCCAAAAGTTTGAACCAAAATGGTTGATTCCTTTCCTGCAGGAGGTTAAAAACTATTGATACCCCTACCGCTGCACTAAAATCTGCGCCGGATTTCTGCACCGTTTATGTCATCTCAAAGACAAAGATCTCGCAGGTGCGAAATGCTTCCCGAGTAGCTCCATTCGCGTCTCCCATTTTCAATGATGTAAACCCACCTCAAGATCAGTTTAGTAACGTGTCTTCTTCTCCTGATGCACGTCCCAAGCATAACTTGAGCATTAGAGGTTTGGTTTTTGATCTTTTTCCTTCATAGTGTTCTTTCCCTTGTTTTTGTTTGTCTTGACTATTAGGTCCAAATTAATTAATGCTCGTATATATCAACTGTGGAACAGAACCGGTGGTGACTCCTCGGAGGGCTTTCCCCGCCCGAGATTTTGACAGCGAGATGCTTAGGTAAGTACTAATTCATGTTGATGTAGGTTTGATTGAAAAATTGCAAAACTTGGCAAATGATGTTTTTCATGTGCAGCAGGTCACCTTTTGCTAGAGCTAGAGGTTTACATGGGAAACTTCATGCGGACCTGTCAGAAACAGAATCTGATATATCGTTTATAAGTTCTGAGAGGCCAAGTGTTGATCGGATGTCTGGGATGTTTGATGGCCTAGATTCAGGTCGAACTTCTCGAATCTCAACCAGTTCAGAAAGTAGTTTTGGTTCGGGGAGGACTCATTCAAAGGCCAGCGACATAAGTTCTTTCAACGATTTCTCATCATCCTCTATTGAAAATGTAAGATCATTGGAAATTAGTTGTTATTGCTCTTTTGATTGAGAAATGCTAATTGCTGACAGGTTGTTATGCTGAATTTGTACAGGATGATGTAGAAGCTGAAATGAGACGATTAAAGTTCGAGCTACAAAAAACAATGGAGATGTATAGTACAGCCTGCAAGGAAGCTTTAACTGCAAAACAAACGGTAATAGAAGCGGCCTCTCAATGCATATCTGAATAACATTACAGATGTATAATAGTTAGTTCAATCATACTACAGGCAACAGAACTCCACCGTTGGCGAATTGAAGAAGAACAGAGAATAAAGGAGGCTAGAAGAACTGAAGAGGCTGCAGGAAAATCTCACTCTGAGATAAGTATTAGGACTCCAGAAGCATCCCAAAGAAGTGGTGAATTCGATTCAAGAAGCCGGCTAAGTGAGGGGAAGAGTGCGATTGAAGAAGACGAGGACCATCATAGAACAAATTACATTGTTCGATACAGAAAGTACACTATTGAGGATATCGAAGAAGCCACTGAGAATCTGAGCGAATCTTACAAGATTGGTGAAGGTGGGTATGGTCCTGTTTTCAAGTGCTATCTTGATCACACTGCTGTTGCAGTTAAAGTCCTGCGCCCGGATGCTACCCAAGGAAGGTCACAATTTCAGCAAGAGGTAATGTGATAAGCCGATTTTCACATCTAGTTTATTCATATTGCTTATGGGACTGCAGAATACCCTAATTTTTACAAAACAATGCATCACAGGTTGAAGTGTTAAGCTGTATGAGGCATCCACATATGGTACTGCTGCTAGGGGCTTGTCCTGAATATGGTTGTTTGGTGTATGAATACATGGCTAATGGTAGCTTAGAAGATCGCCTTTTTCTACGAGGAAATACACCTCCTCTACCATGGCAACTGAGATTTAGAATTGCAGCAGAGATTGCTACAGGCCTGCTCTTCCTTCATAGAACTAAACCTGAGCCAATAGTCCACCGCGACCTTAAGCCAGCCAACATTCTACTTGATCATAACTTTGTCAGCAAGATTGGCGACGTGGGATTGGCAAGACTAGTCCCTCCATCAGTCGCAGATGATGTGACACAATACAGAATGACATCCGCAGCAGGGACATTTTGCTATATAGATCCAGAATATCAACAGACAGGAATGCTGGGAGTGAAATCTGATGTGTACTCCTTCGCAATCATACTTCTGCAGCTCATAACTGCAAAAGCAGCAATGGGATTGACTCATTCTGTCCAACGGGCAATAGATAATGGAAAATTTGAAGACATACTTGATCCTAAAGTGCCTGATTGGCCAGTCGAAGAAGCAATGGTCATTGCGAAATTAGGGCTCCAATGTGCCGAACTGAGGCGAAAAGATAGGCCTGATCTTGACACTGTTGTGCTGCCTCAGTTGAATAGATTGAGAGAACTTGCAGATGAAAGCCTAAGTCGTCGCTTGTTGGGCGGGTAATCAGTTCTGAAAGGCCATCTTCAAACCAGCTGTAATATAGGTGTGTAAGTTCATATAGATTAATCGTAGCCAACATAAAATGACATTGTTTCAAATGTCAGAAAGCTATAAATAAATTTTGGAGTTAATATGGTCAACACTAGAATCAGAGTAAATAAAATAAAACCCCTATCAAAATGTGGGATGAATTTTAACCAAAACCTTACGTTGAAGAATTGTATCATACCTTCTATTTTAAAATAATTATGTTATTATTTTAAGACATAAAGAATAGCAACTTTAGATTGTTACTTGGATATCTGCATCCAAATGTCAATCAATATAAGTTTGTATCATAAACCTGAGCTCTTAGACTAATGTGCCTTTCACTAATGCCTTCTCAATTTTAAGTGAGAATGCAATCGAGTATATGTCCGGTGTAAAGTTTTACAGTGGGGGCGTCCTAAGAAATAAGACGGTACGAAGAAAAGGACATGAATGAGAAAGACTATAGAAGAAAAACTGAAATAAGGGATAAAATCACTAACCAAGGTGGAAAGAGATCTCTCTCTCTGATGATGAGTTTTTCTTTTGTTGAAAATCTTGCAAATTAGTTTGCCCGTGCACTGATGCACAACGTAAGTAAACTTCATTCAAAAAAAAAAAAAAAAGACACTTTAAGTCATTAATGCGCAATCTCCTTTTGTGTATCCACAATCTCTTCTCCTTTTGTGTGAACCATTTGCGATGCGGGGTACCATGTGTAGTTTCAAGAACCAACTTTTTAGTGTCATATCTGAAACGAAGACTCTTGACACAGTTGGGTGGATTATGTGAATGACAAATTGATTCGACAATGTTTGCTGGCATTAACAGCTTCCGTCCGTCCTCAATTTCTGCCAGGATTGTTAGGGCAGTAACCAGTGCTTGACACCATTGATAATACTACAAGGAGATGATGTTAAATGTTGTTGTTATAAAATGGCTAAATTAATGGACACTCTCAATCACGCAGTATTATCAATTGTGTTTTCGTCCGTTTTCATCATTTTGACCATTTCAGTGTACTGCGTTACACTACATCATTCTGCTTATAATAAATGTTGCTTCTATCTAGGAGTATGATTGTTTTAGGACAGGGGGGACTGCCTATAGTGTCAAATTTATGACAAATGAATTGATTGGAACAATAATTTATTTTTTATGAAGAAAATTCAAAGTTTTTTTTTTCTTCTTTTAAGAAATAAGAAAATTCAAAGTTACTTAAAAGTTAGTAGTGGGAGTTGCCTAGCTATCAAATGAAAAAAAATCCATTTCTTAAAGGGGTATGAGAAGTAAATAATAATCCTTCAAATTTGTAGTTAAAAACAATACACCAATGGACATGGATTATACGAAACAATATATACTAGTTAACTAGGTAGAAGAACGGTAGAATAATCTTTAATACAGGTGAACTGAAAATCGGAACAACATCATGCTAACATCTTTTTCCCCCGGAAACTCTAACGTTACAATTTCTCCCTCTTACTATTTCATTCCAAACGTGAAAAACAGCTGCACCATAACATAACATGTTCAGTTGCTCCTGAAGGAACTGAAAGCCTTAACTGCGCCAGCCCTTAATATAAACTGGTGGTAGAAAGCTGCAATTCCCGCACCAATGAAGGGTCCTACCCAGAAAATCCACTGGAAATAACCCAAGAAAAAACAACAACACACCAACACAAAGTAGTTGAAATAGTTAGTCTAATCGTACTAATACATTTATTGTCAAGTGCAATTAATGTCAGATTGAAAATGAAGAAACAAAAACACGATTTATTAAGAAAGACTAGATCAACTTAATTTAGACATACTTGGTCGTCCCAGGAAGCATCCTGGTTGAAGATAACAGCAGCTCCAAGAGATCTGGCGGGATTAATGCCTGTACCCGTGATTGGGATGGTGGCCAAGTGAACCATGAACACCGCAAATCCAATTGGAAGAGGGGCCAACACCTGCCGTTACCCATTACACCATTGTCAATCCACACATATTTTCGTCAATTCTACTTGTCCTCTTGTACAATTACAATATATATATGTATCGTGTTAAAAATTTACACCCTTTATTTCTCCGTTATTTTCTTCGCTCTTATATATAGACAAAAAAAAAAGTCAAACAAATTTAAGCCTGATAACCCACGCGAAAACATCTCTTTCCCAGAAAATAAAACTCTTTTTCTTTTATTTTTTTTTTTTAAGGAGAACTAACATGATTATTACTTAATAATGATCCTTACGTTTGATTTTAATAATTTGTTTTGTTGAATTAGAGTTATAGTGACGTAACGATGTGAATGATTAAAATGAGACGGAAATAATACTAGTGTTCTGGTGTATAAAAAAAATTTAAGAAATTTGGTTTGGAATCTTACAGGGATATGGGAATCTCTGGCATTCCTCTTGGGATCGGTGGCGGAGAAAACGGTGTAGACAAGAACGAATGTTCCGATGATTTCAGCACCCAAACCGACGCCTTTGCTGTAGCCGAGTTGTAGACGATTTGCGCCGCCGCCGAAGTGGTTGAAGTGAGACTTCTGGAAGCCCTTCACCATTCCGACACCAGCAATGGCTCCTAAACACTGAACCACCATATACATCACTGCCCGGATCAGTGACACTTTCCTTGCCAAAAATAGCCCCAACGTCACTGCCGGATTAATGTGACCACCTGGTATACACCAAAAAAGTACAGTACCGAAACCACATCAATTTAATTTATTTATGCGCCATCAATTAATGAACCAATCAAACAAATACACTGATAATGAACCAATCAAAAAAAAAAAAGTTTGCATCACATGGATTTTGAGAAATTCTCACTCTCACTCCATCTTGATTGATTGTACTAAAAATACGAATTTAAATTAGACATATATTTTAGAACAGACGAAAAGTATAAGCTTGATAACGCTAAATATGTGGGATAAGATATTTTGTCTAAGTACGCTGTGCACTATTTATACCGATGCTTATTAACTTATGAAACTATATATACATACTCTCATTTCAATGACATCACGGCGTTCTGAGAATATTATAACACGATTACTACACAATGAGAATGAGATAATCTACTTAAATATCTAGTTCATTGCTGAGCCTAATTACATGGTTCTTTCAGTGGAATCTTACTATAGAAAGAAAGAAGAATAACAAGTAGTATTACCAGAAATACCAGCGGTGCAATAGACAAGAACGAAGATCATGCCACCGGCAGCCCATGCAATTCCGAGGAGGCCAACTCCGGCACAAGGGTCGGTGGTAGTCGGAGTAGGATGTGTCTGAGTTTGGTAGCCGATGATGGTCAACACAAGGATGTAAAGGAAGAGAAAGGTTGCTACGAATTCAGCAATTAGAGCTCTGTAGAAAGACCATTTGGTGAGCTCTTCGAAATCGAACAATGGGGATGGTGGTGGATCTTGGTAATCTTTCGTGTTGAAAGAACTTGCTTCCACCATTCCTACATCCTTGGCCATCGCTTCCAGAAATTAAGACTTCAGGTTTTTTTTTTTTTTTTTTCCTTGGGTGTAGAAAATAGATTACAAGGTTCTTGGAGTGATATTGAGGCTTGAGTGGAAAAAATGGAAGGGTATTTATAACCGTAGAGATGTGTTGTTGGAAGAATAATGTGGCTGGTAATTAGATGTATTTTCATCATTTTAAATTCTTGAATTCATCTAGAGAAATAATTAAAGAATATGAGGCGGCTTTTTGAATAGAAAAAAGAATATACAATTATATATCTCTTTCTTTTGATCATATCGAAAATGTGAGATTAATTATTGATATAATGTAGATATATACTGTAACATGTCACATAAGTATAAAATAGAGAACAATTAAAAAAAATGCTACACTTTTCATTGTGGCGTGCTAGTCATTTTTTTACAATATAATTTTACCCAACTTGGCTAGTATGTTGATTGATTTTACGTCCAATGAATAATTTCACAAAAAGGGTAAACTTATTTGACACTAAAAATATGAATAATCAGGTTTAGCATATGTAATTTGCCGTCCAAAACAGTAATTGTTGCTTGTCGACCGGGCTTGATGAGTTTAGTAATCAACATTTCATTTTCACCGACGTGCTTCCACAAAATTCTTTCTTCTTTAACGGCTATCTGTCCCTCCGGCACCGATTTTCTTCTTGTAGTAACGTTTTGGTACGACTTTTTGTTGTTGTTGTTCCTCCCCCAACCTTCCCGCACCCTAATTAAGTAAGCTAGCTAGCTAGCCCAGCCTAACAAAATTCGAAAGTACATATTATTATAAATTTATAACATGTTACAAAGACGTATACTACTTCATTCATTCCGAAATAAGAGTTAAATTTAATTAATATGATGATAAATTAATCCCAGTAATACCTGATCATTAACTCTAATTGGTACCCTTTCTCCCAAAAAAAAAAAACTCTAATTGGTACTACTGTTTATTACATAAATATCCCACCGTAACCAACAGCTAAAAAAAAAAAAAACGGGAGAACAACAACAGTGAGATCATACGACCTGGTCTCTGACCTAACACTCTACCAAATAGTCTTAATTAATCACATGTGGCCAGCGGGTTCGATTCTTTCGAGGGGTGGAGTTTTAGGCGATTTTTAAGCCAACTCATCCATCTCATATTTGATCTCATTACCCAATTATTAAGTTCCCGATCCTGGTCATATCTCCAAACACAAAATTAAGCTCAATTCATCTGGCCTAATTAAGAACCAATCTTTCTCTTCCGAAATACTACGTTTCTACAAGATTAGATTGTTACATGTTAATTTATCACTGATTATTACAAGTAAAATTTTCGGTCCTAAACTAAACCGAATAATACATGATACACAACGTTTGTTTTGTTCATAGTACGGCAATAATTAATATCGTTGCATCTTACACGCCGTTGAATGTCACAATAATTAATTAATGCATAGCACCAAAAGCCTGGCTCATTTTATAAGTGCACATCCTTTCTGCTAATGATGCACCAACCATGCCATCGATCGTGTGTTATTTTATCCAAGTCAATAGGAGACAAAGAGGATTCCGAGCATAAATTATGTTATATGTTTACATCACATATATAATAAAAAGATGGGGATGGTTAAGTACTAAATTAGCAACACGAGATTTGGTTGATTTTTTTTTTTCATAATAATAATAATTAAAACAAAGTCAAATATTCATCTCTTATATCTCTTATTCTTTCCAAGCTGGATCATCGGTTGGGACATCTTAACTGTCGGTTTGGAATCTTAATTTATTTTTATTTTAGCCATTTGTGATGTCTTAATGTATAATCTATAGATAGTCTTCCAGGTAACCTAGTGCATTTCACACAAGTCGTCGTTACTAAACAAAATTGTTAGTAATCAAATAAATGTCTGTTTGGAATATTTTTTCATTACACATTTGAGATTGGGCATGTTAGGATTCCTCCGATGATGAAAGTAAGACTCTGTCTTTCTTTTTTTTTCTTTTCTTCTTTTTTTTTTTAATTGAAGAAGGACGACATTGTTTTTAAGTCTCCCACACTGAAAGAGCCTTTTCAATAGGTAGAGAGGGCACCTTCAGGATAATTCAATTAACTGTGTTTATTCATGCTGCCCAGTATACATTATTTTTTTTAAAACGGAAATTAAAATGATTTTAAGCTATCAGTCACTATTATCGATGGAAGATACTCAATAATACCTGCATTAAAAGTATAGATTTACGTGGCAATGCTCGTATTAGTTAAAAAATCCTACTACTACTAATTAAGCTAGTGTTGTAAGCTGTTGTAGTGATAAAATGAAGCAATGATTTTCTAGTTTTTTTTCTCATAATGTCTAACAGGTCTTAGAATTGTTGTAAAGAGGCTAAAGTGAAATGGCGTAACTGGGTCATTATATGGGCCTGCTCTCTCACTTCCGTGTATGGGCCTGGCTGATTTAGCACGTACCTTTGGCCCTTTTCTAAGAATTTTCTACAAATTTTTTTGTTTTTAGCAATTCAGGCATTTTCAATATGTTAGAAGTGGATATTGTCTCCCACAAAGTGAGATACCTCTTACACACAAAATACACATTATACAGGGAATGGAAATATTACATATATATAATAGGAATATATCTATATATAGAAAATTTGATTAATTCTTGATCCCATCCTCCCAGCAAAAGATACAATACAAATGGCCCAGCGGTTGTTTTGATTAGTTCACATCTGGAACTTTGTCTTTAATAATTAGATGCTTCTGAATGAACTTATGGCTTTAACTGCACCGGCCCTTAATACAAACTCATGGTACAGTGCTGCCAGTGCTGCCCCAATGAATGGTCCCACCCAAAAGATCCACTGCCACAAAACCCAAATTGTTATAGTTGACCAAATTAGTTATTAGTTGAAAGCTTAATCAGAGTCTATCTTCTCTTTTCTGTCACGAAATAATTGTTTATTTTGAAATTTTTATTTTTTATTTTTATAAAGTGAAAACTTAATTAAATAATTATTTTCGGAGAAAAACAATACTAATATTTATTGTAATACATTCCAAATAATAATTTGGAGGACCAAAGGGGTAATGAACGGTCTTGATCAAGTTAGAAATTTACCAAGTCATTCCAAGCCTTAGCATTGTTGAAGACAACAGCTGATCCAAGACTCCTAGCCGGATTAATACCGGTGCCGGTGATGGGGATGGTGCCCAAATGAACCATGAATACTGCAAAACCAATTGGAAGAGGCGCCAACACCTGAAGTACGCATATTTCAGTTCATTAGAGATTTATTCCATAGTAAACGAACTTAATTTGCTAAGTGCAAAAACCATATTCTTTTTGTGACTTCTAAACTTGTCTTTTTTTTAAAAAAAAAAGTCACGTTAAGCATAACCGTATTATACTAATTCATATGACATATTATAAATTGTGTTCTTTGACGATTTTCGAAACAAACGACAAGAAAAAGAACAAGAATAATATAGGACTTGGGGATATTCTTACAGGAATATGGGAATCTCTAGCATTCCTCTTGGGATCGGTGGCGGAGAAAACGGTGTAGACAAGGACGAATGTTCCCATAATCTCCGCGGTCAAACCGACGCCGTGGCTGAACCCGGGTTGAACCCCGTTGGCTGAACCACCAAAGGTGTTGAAATGGGACTTTTGTAGGCTCTGAACCAGCCCAACCCCACATATGGCTCCCAAACACTGAGCCACCATGTACATCAACGCCCGCACCAGTGACACCTTCCGCGCCAAAAATAGCCCAAACGTCACCGCCGGATTTATGTGACCACCTACAACAAATTAGAATGGGAGGAAAACATACATTATTTGTAAAACTATTCATCTCTCACAAAAATTGTAACTTTGATCAAGTAAATCTGTCTCTAATTGTATTCTGTTCGGTCCATTTTAATAGTTTTCTTTGTTTCAGTTGATAAATGAAAGGGAAACAACATTATCAATCATTGCTCTTATAACAAGCAACTTAAAAGTAATATGTTACATCCACTACTAATTCATTTGACTCTAATTTTACATGACCTGGTATTTCTCATTGAGTAACTTATATGATAGTTTTGTAGATTGTATTAATAACCATTACAAATAAAAGAATTATAATGTGAACTGTTTTCTTAGTACAGGGCGGAGAGAGCAGTATAGTTTTTAGGTAACTAAAGAAGCGGAAAAATGGAAAAAAAAAAAGTGCAAATAAAAAGATGAAGAGAGAAGAGCGAGGCACCTGAAATCCCGGCGGTGCAGTAGACAAGGACAAAGATGGTGCCCCCGGCAGCCCAAGAAATGCCGAGAAGGCCGACGCCGGCGCAGGAATCTACCTTTCCAGGGGAAGGATGAGTCTGGGATTGGTAGCCAATGATGGTGAGAGCGAGAACATAAAGGAAGAGAAAAGTGGCGGTGAACTCCGCGATGATGGCTCTATAGAAAGACCAGCTGCTGAGCTCTTCCATATCAATGAATGGTGTTGGGGGTGGATCCTGGTAGTCTTTGTTGCTGCTCAGCGCTCTTCCCGCCTCCATCATTCCCACATCTTTTGCCATATCCTTCTTTGGGGTATATATAAAATTTAATATTAAGAGCTTAAAGTTTTTCTTATTTGTGGGGAGAGAAGAAAGGTTGATGAAATGAGTTGCTCGTGTTTTGAGTGTGGAGAGAACCGAGGAGATGTATTATATATAGGGGGAGTTCGGGTCGTGTGGGAGAAAAAATGGGATGGAAATGTGATAAACAAATAAAGACTGCCTTTCTCTCGTTTTACTCATTTGATTTTGTGTTTTTGTCTTTTGTAAGTAACATTGGGGTCCAAGGTTTTAACTAACATGAAATCACTTTTTTGAATGTACATAAACAAAAAAAATTAGATGTTCTGCACGAGTACATATTACACTCAAACTGATTATCTATGTATAAATAGAATAATTTAGCCACTATTCATAAACCAAAAAGAAATGTATGATTAAAATCCACCTTATTATTAGTGATCACATGATTAAAACTACAACCCAAAAATTCACTCTTTTTTTTTTTTTTTCTGTAGATGCATGGTGTCGTTTGCCTATAACTTACCCATGTTGAACCAAAACAATGAAACCAATTTTGGTCACTTACTCATTCCTCTGTTAATTTGATTACAAAGTGCAATTTTTCATATAGTCCTTTTTTCTTAAAAATAATTGTTTTATTTGTTTTATTATTTTATAGTATTATCATTGGTACATCTCTGAAATGCAAAATTAAACATACTCTACCATTTCTTTGAATTTTATGAATTTTATTTTATGTATATATACATTCAAATATTAACAGTAAAATAGAATCTATCAATTTTAAAATAAATATCATGTTTATCGAATTCACAGCAAACATAATAATGGAGAGTGTCAGAACGAACATTCTTTGTACTCACTAATTGAATGTACTCTAGGATACCATTAAAAAAGAAATGGGAAGAAAAATAAAAAGAAGCATCACCTTGGCTTTTGGATGTAGTTGATTGACTATTTGACTTAAATACACAAGTCGGCGGCTAGTGCCACAACCAATATCAAGGTGGATGACTAATAATGATGATGATAAAAAAAATTTATCCTTCACCAAATTATGGATTTAATCCATCACCATTACACAATTTCTCTCGTCCGCCACAGCTATGCATCTATCTTCTCATGCACCACATTAGCTCTACTAAGTCCTATTAAATCATCGTCCTCGAACATTAACAAGCATAAATTTTCACGTCATTCGTCCCAAAATAACTATCATTTACTTATACTCTCTCCATCTTATAATTATTGTCCTGTTTGAGTTTTTGTTTTTAGTTTAAATTGTACTAAAAGTGAAAAGCTAAACTGGACAATAATTATGAGACGGAGGAAGTAATATATATTATAGAAAATAGGACCCAAACATGATTTGATTTTGGTAGATGTGTTCTTATAATTAGTTGAACAAAAATGGGCATGTTATACTTGTTTTATTCTTGATAAGTGTCTGTGGATGACATTTCACTTAAAATTAGAAGGAATTAATTACTAGCATGCGCGATCAAATTTTACCAGCCGCCCGAATTGGATTCTAAAACAACAAGAGAGTGACGGAAGATGAACAAAAATATAAATACGAAATATACATTTGTCTACAAGATTCTGATAAGGATAGGATTTACCGTTGAATGCTTCATATTGTTCTTGTATTGTACGAGGGATACTTAGCGAATGCAAGTCATGGACGGCTTCAAAGAATATGTTTATATATAAGATACATACATTAGCCAGAAAAGAGATGAAACTTGGTTGCATTAAGTGAGTGTACATTTGGAATCTTTATAACCATTTGCTTCTTTTAATTAAAAACCCCCCTTCAAGATTGGGACATCATCTTGGTATTTTAACGCTTATTTTGGCAAAATTTTATTCGGTTCAATCGTTCGGGAGATTCTTCAGTGATTTTTCCTTGGAGAGGTTTTGGCATTTTACACAATGAAGTTGATAACTATATATGACACTCTCCCCTTACTAATTATAAGACACGAATTTGAACTAGTTTTATAGTGATGCCATTTGAGAACATTCCATTTCCTTCGCTATTTATAGACAGTAGTTTAAATGACGTTTTATGAATAGGATCGAAGTGAGAGTACCATGTTTTTCTGCGTTTCTCATAATGATTGAATTGCAAATGTATAGAGAGAAGAACCTAGTGATGTGTAAGATCATAGTTTTTTCCTAGGAGCAAGTTTGGAATTTCTTGCATAGTTGTTTAGTTTTGCTAGGTCAGATGAGTGCACAACTATGTGGAAATTAATTGGAATGCACGTTCGAATTTAACGAGGGCAACAGTGATGTCATGTACAACATGCTATTGAAAGTTAATCGTGATCAAGTTGTTTTGTACTCCCTCCATTCCAAAATAAGTGTCGTTTTAGCAAATGGAGAAATTTCAAAATAAGTGTCGTTCTCACATTTCAATGTACTTTTTTGTCAAAAGTTTTCAAAATTACCCTCAAAAGAGTTGATGCTATTGGTGGACAATTTTATAATAGGGTTGGTTGAGGATATTCAAGTAATTTTACTCCCTTTATTCCAAAATAAGTGTCATCCTACACTTTGCACATAGTTTAAGAAACTCTTAAATAGGATAATAAAATTACTTGAATATCCTCAACTAACCCCATTAAAAAAATGTCAGCCAATAATATTAACTCTTTTGAGGGTTATTTTTGAAACTTTGAACAAAAAGTTCATTGAAATGTGAGAACGACACTTATTTTGAAAATTTGCCATTTTGCTAAAACGACAATTATTTTGGAACGGAGGGAGTATTACCCTATTTAAAATTTTTTTAAACTATGTGCAAAGTGTAAGACGATACTTATTTTGGAATGGAGAGAGTATTATTTAAAACAATTGATAATTACTCCAAATGTTTTGCTTGAAGTCTCTTACAACTGAGTTATTATAACATCATTAAGTGCATGTTGGAGGATGCAGTTAATGTGAATACATGCGCGCACAACATCCTCTTCTTTTGCTGCTCTCAATTTTTTTTAATGTGCAATTCACGTTCCCATTCCCCTTAAGTTTAGAAATTAGGTTTTAAACATTTCTTAAATTTTCAAATCACTTTATTTCTTAATTCGTAAATAATTAGACCTAGTGTCTTATATCATTTTAATAGTACTTGATGAGATCTATCCAATAAGATCACTCATGAATATATTTTTCGAAACTTAAAAAAATTTATGCAGTAGCCTTGGTCTTATTAAAAGACATTCTGGTCTTATCGTATTTTTAAGGACTAAGACCTACAGAAAAGACCAAAGGCCAAAGGTCAAAGACCAAAATTGAATATCAAACAGCAAGATCAAAGACCAGAGTAAAGAGTGAGCGTGTATGAGGAACAATGACAAAAGATCAAAAACCAAAGACCAAGAAACTGAAAATCAAATAGCAAAAACCGAAGACCAAAGACCAGAGTGAAAGAGCGAGCATTGTGTGAGGAACAAAGACCAAAGATCAAATATCAAAGACCAAGGGACAACGACCAAAGACCAAAGACCAAACACCGAAGGCCAATGACCAAAGACCAAAGACCAAAGACCAAAGACCGAAAGTTAATTGGTTTAAAAAAATTTATAATGTTAATCGTGTTACGGCACAAACTAGGCCCTAACCGATACGGAAATACTTAAACCCCCTAAACCCTAAACCCTAAATAACTAGACACTAACTGATACGGAAATGGTCAAATCCCCCTAAACCCTAAACATACTAATTTTTTTTTTTTTGTATAAACTTTTAAACATACTAAAACGAGACCCTGGCCTAAGTGGTTTAAAAAAATTTATACGGTTAATCGTATTACGGCACAAACTAGGCCCTAACCAATACGGAAATACTTAAACCCCCCTCTACACCCTAAACCCTAAACAACTAGACCCTAACCGATACGGAAATGCTCAAACCCCCCTAAACCCTAAACATACTATTTTTTTTCTTGGTTTAAATTTTTCTAAATCAATTAGGCTAGGGTTGGTTTAAAAAAATTTATAAGAATAATCGTGTTATAACACAAATTAGGCCCTAACCGACACAAAAATACTTAAACCCCCCTAAACCCTAAACAACTAGACACTAACCGACACAGAAATTGTCAAACCCTTCTAAACTCTAAACATACTAATTTTTTTTTCTTGGTTTAAAAAAATTTATAAGGTTAATCGTGTTACGACACAAATTAGGCCCTAACAGACACGGAAATGCTTAAACCTCTCTAAACCCTAAACAACTAGACCCTAAAAGACACGAAAATGCTTAAACCCCCCTAAACTCTAAACCCTAAACAACTAGACCCTAACCGACACGAAAATGGTCAAACCCCCCTAAGCCCTAAACATACTTTTTTTTTTCTTGATTTAAATATTTTTAAACCAATTAGGCTAGGGTCTTGTAAAAAAATTAGCCCTAAGGTTAATCGTGTTACGGCAGAAACTAGGCCCTAACTGACACTGAAACACTTAAATCCCCCTAGATCCTAAACCTTAAATAATTAGACCCTAACTGACACGAAAATGGTCAAACCCACCTAAACCTTAACCACAATAATTTTTTTTTCTTGGTCCAAATTTTTTTTTCTTGGTTTAAAATTTTTTAAACTAATTAGATTAAGACCTAATTCGTTTAAAAAAATTTATAAGGTTACTCATGTTACGGTACAAACAAGCATGACCATTGTGTCTTTCAGGAAGACCACGGGGAATACATAAAAGTCAAGACCTACAACAACAAATAAAAAGACTAAACTGTTTGTACAAAACACTCAGGAGCAACAAATAAGACCAGAGTGTCTTTTAGGAAGACCAAGGTTATTTAATAAATTTTTTTAAGTTGTAAAAAAAAACATATTTATCAGGGATCTTGTTAGATAGATCTCATCAAGTACAATCAAAATGATATAAGACACTTAATCTAATTTTTTACGGATTATGAAATAAAATTAGTTGAAAATTAAAGAAAATTTTAAAACCCAAAAACTTAATAAATAAAAAAACAAAATTCTGTACATTGGACGCGCAGCATGTAGCGCGTGAATATCACGCGCAGCATATAATATCCGCTTACAACTTCATGCTAACCAGTAACCACCTCTTTTGGGTGCGGGGGTGTTAATGCTTACATTAGAATTTGCGGGAAATAGTTGACTCTGAAACTAAGGTTCTGGTTGTTTGATTTTTTTTTTTTATGATTTTTTCAGTTTATTTTATTAATAACTGTCTTATCTCAATATAATTTTTTACATTTTCAATATATTTTTTTATATTCTCATATAAAAAACACATAAAAATACACACTAAAAAAACGAAACAAATATACCCTAAGATAGCTATTGACCAAACCCTCCACGGCAATACTGAAAAAATAGTTCAATGAACCGTTGTAAAATGTTCAAGGTGAAACAGTTAATTTTGTGGGCGAAATATCTATCTAAATTAATTTCGTCTTGGTTCCAAGACATTTTTTTTTCAATTAAAAAAGAATAATCGGTCATCTCTGGACGTAGCAATGCTTCCAATTTCAGTTTACTGATTTGAAATGGATCAACTGTTCAATTTTGGCTTCTTCTTCTTTTTTTTCCAATTCTATTTTCCTTATTAAAGTGTTAAAATATAATTTGTACAAATTCAAAGTGCTAAAGACAGTAGTTAATATATACAAACACACTAGACACACATATTGCTTAATGTTCGAACATGTTCCCGTCATATAGTAATTATCCCTGCAACATTAGACCAAATTTTGTTGCTATGATTAATCAAATGGAATGAAATCGTCAACAATGAGTTGATCTGGTCAATTGAATTTGAGCTATTTTAATTCTTTGCCTACATTCCCTTAAACATTAATTTAATGGTTCTTTTTTAGTTTTAAAAAAAATACTATTTAAAACCATTAAATTATTGATAGGCAACAAGTTGACTTGCCCTCTTTTTCTGTATCTGTGTAATAAAGCAACCTGAAAAATTGTTTCGATTAAAGGAGATATGTAATTGATTTTAAAAAAAATTTATATACTCCCTCCGTCCCAAAATTATTGTCCAGTTTGAGATTTCACTTTTAGTACAATTTAAACTAGAGATAAAAATTTAAACTGGACAATAATTATGAGACGGAGGGAGTATTAGTTTTCCTCCGCTTCACGTTGATAGTTTTGGTTACGGAAACATGGCAACATGTATTCGTATTTGTTATCGGTTCGCTTTTCCCATTATAATGTGTGCATAGTGAACTTAGTTAAATTCGAGAAAACTGGAAGAGAACTCAAAGAGCTAGATATACAATAATACTTTTGCAGATGCTCCCTCAATCTGCATAGCTCATTCTTGCAATCTGCGTAGCATATTTTTTTTGTCGAACGCTTTTATCTTGTTCTTCGATTTGCAAGTTGAATATATGTAGATATGCAATATCAGAAAAGGGATTGAACCAAATGATAGAGATATTTATCATGATAATGAATCATTACATGATCTTTTATCTTTATGAGAGGAATGATCCAGTAATAAGCCACCTTATTATTTTTTAAAAAATGTTCCGTCTTATATATCTTATTATTAGACCATGTGTTTCTCATCTTTTGTTTTTGTTTTTTCTTGATAGTATATTTTTGCAAAAATCCGTCAAATAAATATGTGTGTAACATCCGTTAAATAAATATGTTTTTTACATGTCAAAAATAATCTGTTCCACTTAAATATAAATTAGTCAGAACTATGATTTCAATTATTTTATACCCTCACGGTGGAATTTGGTGGTGACTGGCCATAGTCAAGAAAAAAAAAAAAACACAGAATGTCGGATTTGATGAAATCCCATCAAGCAAGTGAAAATGTATGATCGACCCTAATGCATTGTACCATGCGTAAAAAGAGAACAAAGACTAATTCAACCAAGCTTTATACAGGGCAATAAAAATGTATTCTTTTACATACAGTAGATGACCAAACCGTTCACTCAATTGTTGAGGAAGACCAGTTTTGATTCCTTCGCGATGAAATCGATCACTTTCCGAACTTAGCTACTTGTTGGTGTTGTCATGCTACTCTCATAATCACTTTCATCTTTTATTAATTACTAGATCTACACACCAGAATAAATGGGAGGAAATAAGGTATCAATTTCAGAAAGATTCAGTTCATATTGACACATGATCGAGTAGTAGTGCAACGTAAGAAAAACCAAAGTCCTTAGAGGCCATTATATGTCTACTTTCGGTTGCAAATGTGATTTCGAAGCTTCACAAAGTAGAGATTTGTTATTATTATTGCTTCGGATTTCTGTTCTATTGACTTGCGAGCTAAACACCTATATTTTAACAAGAAGTATATGAAAAATTCCTCTTATAATTTGGAACTTTTTTTATTTTTATTTTTTGTCTCTTTATGATTATTTCTCATTTTAATAGCTAATAATGTAATGCACCAGTCTAATTTTTGACTGACTTATAGTCACGAATATATGTACGTTTTATTTATACATTTGTTTGATTTGTATCGTTTTAATTCTACAAAACGGAGAGTCGGATACCACCAGTAAAACGCCATCAAGAAATACATGACTAATATGCATATCTTAATCACCCCTCAAGCGGTAGCAACCAGTAACTGCGCTCAACTAATGATTTTTTTGGTAAGCTACATTCATATAATCTATTATGATGGGATCAATGTCAAATGAACACTTTTGATAAAAAAAAATCACTTTTGGTCAAAGTTTTGCAGCTACGACATGGGCAAAAAAAAAGCCATTAAAACCAACTCCAGATTTGATCATGCCCGAAGATTGATCCACTGTTCTAGCAAGTGTTGCTGTTCCTAATTTTCCAATTTCGCGAGTAAATGTCAACTATAAATATTGATGTGAAATCTTGTTGATTCACCTAATTTCCAATCAATGTTCCCCACAATTACACTCTCTACGTTGTTCAGTCATTTTCTGCTTCATATTTAGTCCTAAGGGTAATAAAGTTTTTCTGCATGCCCAAAGAAAATTAACAAAAGTCACTTTTTTTTGAAGAACATTTTTGATCAATTACTTTTCATATGTTCCCATTCCCACTACTTGAAGTGGACTGACTTTGACCGCTGCTTCTGCCTTTATTATGGGAGATTCATCGGTCAATATTCAATCATGCCTTCATTATTTTTTCCTAAGCAGTAAAAGTACTAAAATTAGTTAATGTTACTCTGGAATTTTCTTTCTCCTACGATATTGTATGGATTTTCACGTGACTAAACAATACAATAGATGAAAATGAAAAAAAGGTATGTTCACATTCTTGTTCATGTGATTTGGGACAATTTTCTCGTCTCTTTTGAAAACTTTATATTAGTTTATCCTTTTGTTTAGAGTAACCTCAAAACGGGTTATTGAACTATTAGATAATTCTATTACAGGTCATCAATCAAATTTATTTGTATGACATATCATTTTACTAAGCAAAAAATTCATCCGACATGTGAAAAAGCATGTGAAAAATAGATTTCCGTCACTATTTAATGACCAAAATTAATAGAATGATCTCGGATGAATTTTTTGCTTAGTAAGTTGACCTGCTATACAAATAAATTTTATTAATGACCTGTATTAAAATTATCTAATAATTCAATGACTCGTTTTGAAGTTCACTCTTTGTTTTATCAACACATACAATGACGAAAATCCTAAGACTTTTCGCCTCTTATATTATATATATAAAAAAAACCCCTAATTGCGCCCAAGTGCACTTTGCCTCCTTCAATGTTTTGAATCAACTACTACATCCGCGATGTAATAGCAACTACCATTTAAACAAGGGAGTCGACTGAACGGTTGAGTATGTAATATAATGATTACAATAATTCCCAGATAAAAAAAAAATTTGTGACCTAATAATATTCCCACGAGTTATTCCCTATATAGGTCATGAAATTTGTTTTTGTTTTGCTTCCTGCTTTAAACAATTGTTTCTATAAAAAGTTAATTAATGTCTTCATTTTTTTTTCAAAAAAAAAATTGCTTCAATAAAGATAATTAATTTTCAAGGATGAGAAGTAGTGTAAATAGTCTACAAAATTATGAATTGCACCGATCCACATTATAAATTGTCGTAATTTATAATGTAAAATATTTTTTTGGAACAGATAGTGCATTATCTACTTTTCCGTTTGAACAAAAAATTTCAAAATTTCCTACCACTTTCATTAAGAATATGTTTCCCATTTTCTTCCACAAACTATCTCAAAATAATTAAATTCTACCTTGAGCTTTTCACCGCTTTGAGTTATTCCCCGGCCCCCAACCAAAGAAGTTTTAGGTATTTCAAAGAGTTGCGCCCATTTTCCTCCCTTTATTAAACATCATTGTATGATGCCAATTTGTGAGACATACAATGATGAAGTCACTAAATCAAAATAATTTACTTATTAATCACAACGAATATGTAAATGGAAAAAAAAATTTTACCAAAAGAAAATTGTAAAAATTTTAAAAGCTAAAATTGACATATTAATTATAGAAAATAATTCTCCCATCCTATAATTAGAGTGACAATATTCGAAACCACAACTTGGTCTCCTTTGGTAACATTGAATTCCTTGATGTCCATAATTTGTATTCTATCCTTCTTTTTCTTTTTTTTAAAAAATCATTATTAAATCAAATGAAAATAAAAACAAATAAATAAATAAAATGAAGTGAACCATGAAAATTGGGTGGCTTTGAGTAGGAAGCCTCCGAGACTAATGCTTCCTAACTAAACCAAGCAAACATTTGGCAAAGTAAGTTAACCATCACTTCCTAGTTTCCTCTGAACCTCAAACCGATTCAATGACTTACAATTTTTTGAGGTACAATGGCCAGAATTAACCTCATCATCCTCAACATAAATACCTTCTCATCAAACCAAATTTAGATAAACATTCGCCAAAATTAAATTGGCATCAACTCTGTTTTTTTTTTTCTTTCTTTTTGTTAGATATGGAAGGAAAATTTTGCTTGGTCACCTTGTTTTGTTCATGGCTACTATTCCTGGCATGCAATGCAGAAAAAGGAGCAAAATCCCAATCCCAATCCCAACTTGATATCAGAAAATATGGTTCTGGCTCCGAAATTAGCAAGGTATAATATCCAATTACTCTGTTTTCGACCCGTTAGAAAAGTAACAGAGACTCTGTTATCACTAATTTTTTTTTTTTTTGGGTACAATGAGAGAGGGTAATGCCTAACTGTTATCACTAATGTTAATTAGCTACAATTATTGGATTTTCGTTTTCGTTTTGGTTTTGGCAGGCATTGTTGGTTGCTTGGAAGGAGGCATGTAACGCAACAACGCCAAGCACAATTTTGATTCCACAAGGCATATTTTCAATGAATCAAGTGAAACTGGAAGGTCCATGCAAGGCACCTATCCAGCTTAGGGTACAAGGCACCATTAAAGCCAACCCGGATCCTTACCAATTCAAGGAGGGTGCTTGGATCACAATCAATTACTTGACCCAATTCACTCTCTCTGGTGGTGGAACCTTTGATGCCCAAGGTAGCACTGCTTGGAAGCTAAATGATTGTGCCAAAACAGGAAAGTGCACCAAGCTCCCAAATGTAAGTAAGCTTACGTTTTTCGTATTGCGTGACAATCGAGTCGTGTTTTGTGTTCCAAATACTGACAGATTTTGTGTTAAATTGCATATGTCCAGAGTTTTAGCTTCAATTTCCTGAACGATTCAGTTGTGAGGGACATAACATCCAAGGACAGCAAACTATTTCACATGACCGTTCTGGGTTGCAACAACCTTCAATTTTCCCGGGTTACGATTACGGCGCCGGAAACAAGTCTCAACACGGACGGAATCCACATCGGGCGTTCCAACGGGGTGAACGTCAAGGATTCGGTTATAAAAACAGGGGATGATTGCATCTCGATTGGGGACGGGGCGAAACAAATTCGGGTGAACAGGGTAACATGTGGGCCGGGTCACGGGATCAGTGTGGGGAGTCTCGGAAAGTACCAGAATGAAGAACCTGTGGAGGGAATTTTCGTCCGGAATTGCACCTTGATCAACACCATGAATGGTGTGAGAGTGAAAACTTGGCCAGCTGCACAACCTGGCTCTGCAACCAATATGCATTTTGATGACATTGTCATGCAAAATGTCAGCAACCCAATTTTCATTGATCAACAGTATTGCCCCTCCAACCAATGCAGCCTCAGTGTACGTAAAATCAACAATGCATTGTTTAAATTGAATCACCTACATGCGGAAAAATAACAAGTTATACTCCTCTGTCCCGAATTGATTGTACAATTTAGATTTTTGCTTTTAGTACAATTTGAACTAAAAATAAAAATCTAAACTGGACAACAATTTCAGGAAGGAAGTAGTATAAATTAGTTCTCAAATCTCAATTAATTGTTTTAATTAGGAACAATCAGGTCAAAAAGTCAAGATCAGGAGTCAAAATCAGGCGACCTGATCTTGACTTTTTCGCCAAATTGCTTTTATTGAAATAATAATAAGGAACGAACTCAAATTCCAACATAAAAAATTAAAGAGCCTATTAAGGGGAATTGCCCGTTTGATTAAACCGGTTTTATTCTGATTTTTCTCAATCAAAGTTCTGAAAAATGGGTAAAATTGTGTGGGATTTTTGTTTTGCAGGCACCTTCAAAGGTTAAAATTAGTAGGGTTAGCTTTAACAACATAAGAGGAACAACAGCAACTCCACTTGCAGTAAAGCTTGTTTGTAGTCAAAGCTTACCCTGCGATGGTATCCAGATAGGTGACATTCAGCTGGAATATCATGGGAATCAAGGGAAGCTCACCGCCAACTGTGCCAATGTCCGGCCGACTTTCGCCGGAAAACAGAACTTTCCCATCTGCGGAACCTCTTCTCAATCTTCTTAAGGAGTAGTAGATTCCATGACAATTTTTCACATGCTTGATTTCCCAGTGCATTCATAGAGGATTTGGTTGTTTAGAGATGATTGCCAGCTCCCTCCTTGCATAAGAAGTGAAGATTGTATAGCTTTGCAAGAGAAGTGGAGAAATGTACCATAAATATATATGTAATTATTTTTGTTTATAATAAAGACATGACAAATTTATATTTAAGTGTATGTTCTTGTCTTGTTACACAAAAGTGATACGAACACATTGATCGATATTTGGATCTCGAAATTTAGATTTTAGAATTATTCTCCGCCTTAAAGGCGTTACTCTTCCCCAATATCCCTCCCCAGACCAATAATTAATATAGCTTTTATATACACGCATTGTTCCTCGGTGGAGATAACCAAATTGTTAGTAGGAGCCATTGTAACAACAATTGGGATAGAAGTTTTAATTAGAGTTGCAAAATGATCAAATTCGAAGGTATCAATCTTAGGATTATGCTACTAGCTAACATCTTCTTCTTCTTCTTTTCTTTTTCAATTAATTACTCATAAAATACTAAAAAATTATTTATTGTCTTTATTTGATAACAAAAGTTTAAAATATTACCATGTGCCGCCAGAAAGTTAAAGAGTATTCCCTTTTTATTTTTTGCTAGGTTTCCTCCGAAATTAAACGGTCAAGGTCTTAATCATGTGAAAGACACGTGGGTTGACCAAAAGGATATTTTTATCTTTTCATTAATATTGATCAGTCCGCAGGGTCATGTGACTTTCACGTAACTCAATCTTTCCCGTTAAAATTTAAAATTTTAAAATTTTTAGAAAAATGTTTTTATCATTTTATTATTATAGTGTTTTTCTTTTGGACTAATTTTTTTGTGGACTTCGGACTTGGGCTTTGGCCCAAGTTTACTTTGGACTGAACATGCAAAACAAAAGAAAAACAAACCGAAGTTAAAAAAAAAATAAAAGCCAAAACCCAAGTTAAAATAGAAAAAGAACTTTTGGGTGGGAAAAGGTTAAGTCACGTGAAAGTCACGTGATCCCGTGGATTGGTCAATCTTGTGAAAAGACAAAAATACCTTTCAGCCAAGCCATGCACCTTTCATGTGAGTAAGGCGTTACTGTTAGATTTTGAACGGAAACCTAATAAAAAACTGAAAAGTAACACTATTCAATTTTCTGGTGGCAGATGGTAACATTTTAAACTTTTGGTATCAAATGAAGACAAGTAGCAACTTTCTGGTACTTTATGTGTAATTAATTATTTTTTTTAAAAAAAAAATCTGTACGAGATGTATTAAAGATTACAAACTTACAATTAATGTTACAAGAACAGTTGAATAGGGGAAAAAATGTCATTCCGACCCAAAACTTTATCCTCGTCGTGAATCATACCCAATAGATTTTCGGTTAACCAACTTTAGCCTAATGTTTGAAATTTTTGCCAATTTCATCCAATCGGCCCATTTTCCGTCCAAATTAACGGATCTCCGTTAGTTTTTTAAAAAATAATAAATTTAAATACAAAAACATCCCAGTAGTTTGTAAAATTTTTAAAAATAACCCCTAAAATATATAAAAATAACAAAATAGTCCTTTTTTACTTTTTTATTTCATTTTTCTCTATTTTGTTTCATTTCTCTCAACTACTTTTAATGACCATAAAAGTATATTATATGAGTTTTAAAAAATATTTATTTATTTTCAAACTCTACCGTAAAAGTTAATTTTTGTATAGTTGTAACACATGATTGTATTTATATAAGCATGTTAATCTTTTTAATAATATAGTTTAGCAATAAAGACACTATTTTTCTGATTTATTTTATTCTTTCTAACATAAAGATTAAAAACATTTAAATGAAACTAATATTCTACATAAAAATAAAATATTAGCTCAAATAAAAATATAATATATTAGTATAGTGTATTACAATTTAACTAGAGAGACTACATGCCATAATATAATTTATAAAAAAATATGTTTATACTTATCAATGCGAGGATTTAATATTTTGTAACAATTATTTGAGATGTTAATATATCTAACAATAGAGGAAGTCTTACTAGCTTATTCTATATGATTTTAGTTTAAAATAAATGAATGGAGGTAACAATATGGTAATAAGTTGTTGTGATAGAAAATAGGTTTTAGATTCAAGAAGGAAAACTTATGTTTGGAAGATTTTTTTAAGATTTTAATTATTTTATATTTTAGTTATTTTTTTATGAATTATATTAATGCAAGTTATAGTCTTCTTGAGTTAAATCGTAATACACTAAAATATATTAATATTTTTTTATTTAAGCAAAGATTTTATTTTTATATGGAATATTAATTTCATTTAAATGTTTTTAATCTTCATGTTAGGAAGAATAAAATAAATCAGAAAAATAGTGTCTTTATTGCTAAACTATATTATTAAAAAAATTAACACGCTGATATAAATACAATCATGGGTTACAACTATACAAAGACTAATTTTTACGGTAGAGTTTAAAAATAAATAAATATTTTTTTAAAACTCATATAGACTTTTATGGTCATTAAAAGTAGTTGAGAGAAATAGAACAAAATAGAGAAAAATAAAATAAAAAAAAGTGAAAAATGGATTGTTTTGTTATTTTTATATATTTTAAGAGTTATTTTTAAAAATTATTGGGGTGTTTTTATAATTAAATTTATTATTTTATTAAAAAACTTACGGAGATCCGTTAATTTGGACAGAAAATGGGTCGATTGAATGAAATTGGCAAATTTCAAACATTAGGATAAAATTGGCTAACCAAAAATTTATTAAGTATAATTGACGACGAGAGTAAAGATTTAGGTAGTAACGACATTTTTTCCGTTGAATAGGTAACTCCTACAGTACTATTCACTTACTGATCTAATAATAGGGGGTGCATGTATTAGTAGTACAATTTGAGATGGTATACAAGTTTTTGCCGATCCTTACAACCAATGGCGGACCTAAGTTGGGGTTTGGATAGGCTGAAGCACCTCCAGTCGGCCAGAAAATTTTTCCGGACAGTCTATACAAGCCCCAAATCTTTAGAAAAGCACCCCAAGAAAGTTCTAAGAGCCCGCAGATCGAGAGAATGTTATGGTGAAGTGGGAATAAAAACAGTGAGCCTTAAATTCAATTTGACAGGATTGCCATGAATCCCGGCGGCGGAAGAGGAACTCACTCGATGGAGAAGACGATGGTGATTTGAAGTTGTTCAAAAATTGCAATTTTAGTCCTTATATATTTGTCAAATCTCCTGATTGTCCATGTGTGTTTTGACCACTTTAAAATGCACCCAATTGTTGTCTATTAACTTCTTCTTCTTTTTTTAATTATTTATTTTTTAATGTAAATTGTTGTCTATTAACTAGTATTAAGCTGATAAGCTCATGAGGACCAGTACCCCTCCCAACCTCTTTGTCATTTTTTTTTTTTAAAAAAAAAGCTCATGAGGACCAAAAGACTTACAAAGTGACGTTGGAAGATGACAAAAATATTTTTTTTCTCTCAATTTTGTAAATTTTTCTACAAATGCTCCAAAACCAGTATTTTTAATGAGGATTTTTTTCACCATTTTGAAAGTCTACTTATCATTATTTTGGATACTGGGTGTATATTTCCTCCACAAAGATACCAATAAAAAAAAATTTTTGTTTCGTGTTGGATTTTCGAAAGCAAAAAAATAAAAAAATAAAAAATCCCCATACTATAAATTTCACTCTCCTTGTGGACCAAAAGAAAGAACACCTTCTATCGCCCATCCATTGGCTTCTAATTTCGGGCCTTTTTCTAAAAGAGCACCTGCAGAGTCGGAATCCTAGTTCTGCCACTGCGTAGAACTAAATTAAATGATAGAGTTCAGAAGTTTAATTGGTTTTCACTTGATCCGAAGACGTGAAAAGGGTATTTTTATGTCTACGGCGGAAGCTTACCTACCTCTTTCGAAGAAATTTGACTTTGTCTTGGATCACTAATAATTAGTGTTGCAGTTTATAAATTTTGTCGAAATAGAAGCTATCTATCTATTTATCTATAGTATATTATAAAGGAGAAATCAAAAAGAGAAACTAGTGGATCTTTTTAGAGTGTTACATAGGAAAAAATCTTATGTGATATTATTCTATGAATTCAAAATAAAAGAACTTTGTATAATAACAAATAAAGTTTTCATAAATTTAATCAATACAATATATGTACAATATCAATTTGTTTAAATTTTCATACTATTATAAAACATAATATGACCTCTACTTTCATAACTACTAAGATTTAACTTTTTTCATATTTTACACAATATTTAATTCGATGTTACATACAAAATTTATATTTTTATATCTGTAAGTAGCTCTTATAATTTATATTTAATCATGTCATATATACCATCGCATTCAATAACTTCATTTGTGTTTGTCACAATTTTACTTTTCAATGATTTAATCGTATTGTGTTTAACTAAATCCCCTGCGAAACATCTAGTATGATCTATATTAAAACCACCCAATGAAGTAAAATGTAGTAGCCTCTAGAGGACAATGAAAAATGTTTAATTATTATAATAATAATGTGCACAGCAAAGGAGAACTATTGAAATGAAACAGTACGAGTGTTTTATATTACTAGATGTTAAACTCGAATGATGTGCGGGGTATGTCACATTTTTATTTGAGTTTTTTTATGCAATTTAAATATGTGTTCACATGTGTATAAATCTTGTAAAATATTAATTATTATATTTTAAATAAAGAAAAATCAGTTACGCAAA